GTTTTATAGCAGCTAACTGATCGAGAAGAAGATGAAACTGTGACGTGTGTTGCCACAGTCTTGCCTATCTGCATTTTTAAAGAATGCAATGCTTCTCTCAGTGTAGTTAATTCAGTATGTGACAAGATTCATATACCTTTGTCAGCTCGTTCCGAGACTCAGTAGCTATTTGAAACCGAGCAATTAGTGGTTGTTATGGACTACCATCGCATTATTCAACATTGCCAAGGAGATGATGTTTTTTTTGTTTCATTTCTTCTTACTGCGTGCGTCGGACGAAAGTGTGCTGGTTGTAAAATTAGGTGGAGTGATCGATCAGAGCTCGATACCTTTAATGAGGTCCATCAATCCTTCAAAATCGAAAGATCCAACTTATATGATCTTTTGAACAGTGAAAATGTGTCTCATCAAATTTGGAGAAACCCTTTCATGTAACTTAGATGGAAGCTCCTGAAGAAATCATCTTCCTCACAATGTGGTGCAGAACGTTGATACCACTTTCAAAAATAATTACGCAATTTTGTGCTTGAATTTCATGAATCTATGATAATTTGCTCAAAATTGTAAAAAATATTGGAAATTTATGCTACTATAATGCTTCAGATTAGCATTGATAGTTCTTTGACAAATTTGGTCGGTCAAATATGATCAAATTCAAAGCCAAAATTTGAAGCTTGATGGAATTTTGGGATATCTAGTAATTGCTCTATCATGTAGCACAAAGGTGGTTCAAAGCAAGAAGCATACTAGTGGCTTGTCTTGATTCAAGCATACTTGAATAAGAATGCTCTAATATCATAGTAAATCAATAGAGCAATGAGAGTTGAGAGTCCACGCAAAGGTTGAGGAAGTATTAAAGAAATAGTTGATGATGAACATAGATATCCGGATTGGGTATTTAAACCTAATCCAAATCATGCGAAGCACACGAAAGATCACACATCCACAGAGGTGTCATGCCTTTACAATGGGACACACCCTTGTGAAGTATCACATCTCCGAGAGCTAACAGTACTAAGTAATAGTAGAACACTAATCACTACATCTCAGTCCTAACAATTAGGACATTAATTGTACAAATCTAAACATTTGAAAGTAATCTGGAGTAGTTGTATTCTAACCGTTCATATAAGTAGTCAGTGATTAGTATCAAATTAGAGTTAACTCTAGTTGGGTTAACTCAACTAGAGTTAATCATAGGTTAGTGTCCACTCTTGTTGAAGATTATAGTTGAGTGAAGACTCAAAGAACCTTAAGTTCTTCGAGTCGAGACTTCAACGTTGGGAGTAGCTTTTTGTCGGTTAGATATGGTGTTATGTGAGCATTGCTCTACATTCTCCTAGTAGTGGAGTGGATTTGACTTGACTATACATGAGTGTCATGTTTTGTGCCAATGGAGCGTTAAATAAATAACATTTCACACATATTGTATTTGATATTTTGTATTTATAAACAATATATACAATAAAATATATCGCACTCTTATTATTATATTATTATGTGATGTTCATGCTTATTACAGTTTGAAACATATATAATGTCAATAAGCTAAATAAAATTTGTTAGAATAATGATTTAAATCAAAGATATTGATGAAACAAGAAAAATTTTGCAGAAAATCCAAGTATTTTTAAATCTAGTTGTAGATCAAGTGATGAACATTAAAATTAACACATTAAAATTAGGGATTCGCTAGTCACCACTCACCCCCAATTTTAAAGAACCCCTGCGCACTTTTCTCGCGCTTCAATTGGCTGGATGGAAAGCACTATTAAGCATCATCCTTCATCGGCAAGGTGTGAATTTAGAGCCGCGCGGGTAGCCTTTAGACTAGCATAGGTTGCTATGGTAAGTTCTTGGTAATGATTCATGGTGATGTAACTGGTGTTTTGGACTCGCTTTAGACGTGTTTTGGATACCGATTTGAAAATTGGGGAAAGTGATGAATAGCAAAAAGGGAGTGGTGACTAGCGGCTTCCAAAATTTTACGTGTTACCGTTTTCAACACATTGTGTATGACAATATGATCTAAGTAGTCGGGATTAATTTTTTATCAAAGCGAAAGATTTGTGAAAGATTATATCACATTGCAAATTTTTCATAATAAAGTATACTATCACTATAGATGATTCAATTTATCAGATTTTTGAAATCAGCTATAATTGGTAGTTTATATCATATGAATCTAAAAAAATTCAAAGTTATTTTATCAATAAGAGAGATTATAGTTTTCAAAACATCAGTCAAGTTACATGATGTTATGCATTGTAAATGAAAAGTAAGGAATAACTATGAATTAAATCAGTTAGCATGTTGTCATATAAAAGAGTTGGTATTAGTTGATATTGCCAATTAGTAAAATTTTAAAAAAATATTTTTTACTTTACTTTAGACTTTCAAGTGCTTCTAAATTTTTATTTACATTACCAAATAAATTCTGATATTTTGGATTTTAACTTAGAAATTATTATTATTATTAATATACTGTGAAAAATTTTTAAAGCATATAAAAATATTATTTTTTATTTAGATAAAAATTATGAATGTCCAAATTTTTGTAAAACATACCAACATTTAGATCTTTGAATTATCACACGTCTGAAATTTTTATAATTCATTTTTTAAAATTTAACTTATGAATATGGAGTTGAATTATTATAAATATACTCAAATATTCACAAATCTGATTCTCAAAATATTTTTCAAATCTTTGTTTATCACCGTAAGTAAAAAATTGGCTGTTAGATCATTATTCATATATCTTTAAGATGTGATAATAGATTAGTGAAGATTCAATAATGTGCTTCAAATTTTCATGAAATTAATCATATAAAGTTGATGTATATAGATTTTCAAAAAAAATTATTTAAAATTTTGTAACAAATTTTTCCAAAAATGTTTACAAGTTTATGATGGAAATAATACACAAGAATTGAAATTAAGATTTGAATGTTAAGTACTGAGATTTAGTGAGTATTTGAAAATAAAATATCAGTAAAAATAAGATTTTTGAGTTTAGACTAGTAAAATTTTGTATATATGAAGAAGTAAAGTATTTACATATGAATGAATGATGACTATCAAATATAAATCATGAATAAAATGTGATATTTGTGTTATTGCTTAAAAGTGATGCAAAGAAATTTCAAAAGATGGAAGTAAAGAAAAACTACCGTGACTAGGAGGAGGAAAAAAATCAAGACATTATCTTAGAAATAAATTTGCATGTTAAAATCGAGTTGTATGAGTGGAGAGATTTCATTGCCAAAAAAACGCATATGAAGTATTGAATTACTGATGAAACGTTAAAGTTAATTCTGATTCAATTTTATCACAGCTTGTCAATTTTAAACATAATCTTGATTTGTACTGACGTAATGACATTGGACTTGTATGGGGACTGCCGGATGTCTTTCTAGCAGTCTATGTCACGAGAGCATACCAAAGATGACAATATAGTTACGCTTCATTTATCACTTTGTTTCCGTTGCACTTCACAATCTCCATGTCTCCGATACCATGTAGATCTACTTTACGTCAGTGAATTTCCCCACTTTGATCATGAGGCCCATGCTACCCCTTGGTTTCACGCACGACCTGGTGGGGTTTTTGCGTCGTTTTGGCAATCTGACAAGGTGCTCGAAGAAGACTCGAGGTGAAAACGTAACATTGGTGCTTTCAGGCGAAGAAAGTACTAAAATGTGGGTAGCAAGTGAACTGGGACCCTGATTCCCGTGGAGGGCAGAATGTAGGAGGCGCCTTTGAACTTGGAGAGTAAGGTTCATGTGAGAATGTGAGAGAGAGACGAGGATCGCATTGTGAATGAATGACACTCTGTGTCCGCGGCTACCCAACAGCGCGGCAGAATGTGGGCACAGTCAAGGCATGAAAGTAAGCGAGGCCTACGAGAGGGGCCCTCACGTGAAGCGAAACTATTCGGAGACAATGATGCTGGCCCCGCGCCGTACCTTGAGAATCGCTGGAGCTTCGTGCTGCTCGCTAGTTTTGTGCTCTCTGGCCCAATTGGATCTTCCATCACCTTCCACCTTCACGCGCCAACATTGAATAAGTGGGGCACTCGGCGTACATGTGAAGCAAATCCTGGAGCGAACGAGCCTGAGGCTGAGGCTCGAGTCTGACCGGCGGATAGGCGGGCTGACTGACTGACTGACTGACTGACTTCGGGTAAAAGCGTCGAATGCTCGATCTCGGAATTTTCCTTACAGTCCGGCCTCAGGGGCAAGCGCGGCTCCGCCCCGAACTTTGGTCTGCCACTCAAGGAACACCATATGTCGGCTCAGGTATAATTGCGGTGATCTGTTGGTTGCCGGTGTGTGAAAGTCACGGCGAGATTCATCATCGACGAATGTAAGCCGCTGTCTTGCGGCCTCACGTCAGAGCCTCGCGTTCCCAAGACTTCACGGAACGCAGTAAAGTCTGTACTGCACTACACTGGGGTCAAAACTGCTCGAAGACAGATGCAACGGAGGTCCGCCGTACTGCTTCGGACCTCCATAATAGAAAACACGTCGATGAGCTTTGACATGGTCTCCACTGTTACATGTACAAAGAATTTCAGGGTTGTTCCGAGTTTGCTGAGATCCAGATTTACCCACGTGCCCGCTTTTCACAGAGCTGCTGCTGGTGGTCTAGACTCTACATCCACACCTTTTCGCCAAATTGCGACCCGCTCGATGCTAAGGACATGTTCGCAGGTGTGCGATGATTCTTCTCGAAACCGACAGAACTTCACTCTACCACATCCTTAGACACGATACACTGATCGCCAAGTGGTACAGACACGTCCTGAAGTTTCTACAAGATTTCAGTGGCGGTAATCTTAGATTTTGCTGTGGTGATAGCCATTGCTGCATACGAACAGCACGTTCCCTACCACGAGCTTTCGGAGCTAGCTGGCACGGTCGTTCTCCCATATATTAATTTTGGAAAATGCGGTTTCTCCTGTATTTCGCTTGGGCGAAATCTTATTCCTGCGGAGTTCCTCTACCACGTGTCGAGTTCGGCTAAGCAAGTGCTTATCCAAGGCTGGATGTAGCGACATGTGGGTACGCGTGAGGAGGTTGAGTACTTCTAGTGAAATGCTGTAATCGAGAACTAAAGTGGATTGCAGTGATCGCCTTCCTCATCGCCTTCCTGAATCAGCTAGCGGAATGACAAACGTGAGATCACTGAAGGAAGAAGACAAAACTTGTCGATTTACCAGAAGGCTTTCCATAAATGGCATGCTTCCTCAACAGGTTTGAGCTCTTGCACATGCTGCTGGTGCTCTTACAGAACATTGAGAGCACTTTTCAATACTTCGACAATAAGTCGTCGCAACCCAGGTTCATTTGCATGAACATTGATTCTGGTTGACGATATTTCAATCTTGGCAGCTGACGGAGACGTAATTTCTATAATAATCTCATTGTTGCTGCGCTTGTCCTGCGGACTCTGGTCATCCTGCATTGTTCTTTCTGTCACATACACGTCATACATCTGCCGCTCTTTAAACGCTGTAAGAAGAGAATCAACGTCCACTTTCCCCCACCGTATCTGATGCCTTGGCAAACTACGCAGACTACCCCCACAGTAGCTTGAAGGAGAAGGCAAATCAAGTGACCATCGACCATCCTTAACGTGAAGATCGGCACTGAGACGAGCAGCTGCCACTTTTCCGCTTTTTATTTGTTTCAGTTGAATCTGGAGGGCAAGATCTGCAGACATCTCAACTTCCAAGTCATACTGAAAGCGGGGAACCTTGTACAACTGCCATGATTTGTAGCACAAGACCTCTCCACCAGGCACAGACCCTTGCCTTGAAGAAGATTCCAGGCCTTTGAAACTCTCGGGTACCTGTAACATAGAAGGAGAGCTCTACTTAGAGCCTATAATTAGCAAGAAAGCAAAAGGCTTGCTGTCACATTAAGTAATCCAAGGAGGCGAACAAAGACGACGTTGGATATCATATTAAGATGTATTCCAAGATTGTGGACATGCAGCCATCTTTGTTGTGGAAAAAAGGGTTCTTGTTTCACAACTATGACCCAACAGCTGAAATTATTCAGGTTGCAAAACCAATCGCTATGACTTTCAAATAATTTGATCCTGTGAGGATCGTGCACACTGACAACGTGAACCTCAACAACATTGAACTGCAATGTATAAGCAGGCTCCAGTCCGCTGACAAAACAGGTATAGAATATGTGCATGAGGATGACTCAGTAAATAGACGACCATCAAATCATTGTCCAGGTTTTTGTCACCAAAACAACAAGCATCCCCCACTCCTTACAGATGAACAGTAAGACAGTGCTTTGAATTAACAATGTGCTCTTCTAATCACACTCGTTAGGTCTAAACAGATGCAGATGTATTCAAAAAGAGAGCATGGTTTAACCCCTAAATGTTGAGAGCTGAGTTCCGTTATTCGGTTGTGCAGATAACTATACGGAATTTATCTTTTTTTCGTATAAATATACACAGTTTATCTATTTTTTATATGTGTACTTTTCAGGAATTATCTTTTTTATATTTACATGTTCTCGGAAATTTTCCTTAATATTTTCTTTTATTTTGAACCATAACAAAATGTAGCCTTACCAAACTTAATCGTGGCTTCAAAGTTTGAATGATGGAAGTAACCTCCCGAGACCTGTGATCAGCCACGAACAATTGGAAGTAAGAGCCGGAATTGTTCCAGCACTGAAGTATGTCCCTGTAGGGAAGTCTACGAAATTAGAAAGTAACCATGAAGTGAAACATTTACAAGTTTCAGCTGTGGAAACGATTTCACAGCTGACGAGTGACAAGAGTCAGAAAAGCGTCCCAGCAGACAACCAGTTGTAACCTTCGTTGGTTATGACTCAGACTGACGTAAAAGCTCGTTGTCAACGCAGTGACTCCGTTGATATATGTAAATATTGAACTTGGAATAATTTCGACAAATTGAACAATTTATGGTGAACAACAAAAAACTTGCTACAACTCATTGCAAATAGCTATGATAACAAACAGAACGGAGAATATCAAATAGCTATGATAACAAACAGAACGGAGAATATCTCCGGAACTAAACAAATGAAAAACTACTTTCAACTCTCGCTTAGAAAGCTCTTTAAAAAGCAATATGCTTACTGAAAGGAATGTGATTTTCGGAAATACAACTTCTATATCTATCAATCACTCTTCAAGACCGGTTAACTCAAGGAAAAAAAATAAAAAATTACGACTCACGTCAGACTAGAAAGTATTGGTTGATGAAGAACTTGAATAGCATATGGCTCGAACGGCTCCAGTAGAAGATTTGCATCAACATTTGGCTGGGCAGATAGAACGACTGGATTAGTCCAACAACTGACAACGAAACAAGAACTCGCAATTTTGTCTGCTGCTAGCAAAGACTGGAAGTATTTAAGAGACCGTGTAAAAGTATCCTGACGTCTGAATACAGAAAACAACAAGGGATCCATCGAACATTGACAGAGTTGTGATAAACACATGAGCGACTCCATCTACCACGGCTTATAAACTCACCACATGTAACAGTATGAGCAACCGGTGAAAATATCTTAAGCATTCGCATATCATCTATGGCGCGTTTACAATAGATTTTACTTGAATTATATAAACGAAGGAATTTACAGCAGCGACATATATATGATGTAGTTGATTAGTGGGGCTCGTATCCATGACCATTCCCAAACAAGAAAACATTGCACATCTCCAGAAACTACACATCAAACTGTACACATGAATTAAGAAGAAAAGACCAACAGCTTCCTTCCAGTAAGTATATTAGATTCACCTCCGTTAATATGAGCAAACAAAGAGGATTATTTCGCCAGCGCTGCAGTAATTGAAGAGCTGAACCAACTCTCAAACTCCAGTGAGTTGCAAATACCACGCAAGGCTCCTGCCAACACCGCCTGCCAGCCAAAATCTGAGAGTTTGTACTTACTCGGAAGCAACGGCAGACAGTTAGATACAACGTCCACAGAGGAAATTTTTGTTGGTAAAAATTTAAAAAGAAAATCCCACACGATAGATGTACATTTCTTCAAGAGAGTAAAGGGACTTGGAACCAGTCCTAGACATAAGAGCTCTTCTCCATAATGTCAACTTACTACGCATGTAGCCGTTCACGTTCAAGTTTAAGAGCTAAAATCAACTCAAAGGTAGCTCCGTACGAAAACTTCCTGCTTGTAAGAACTGCCAAAACTTGAGCCGGTGAATCCAACAATGAAATGCTGGCCTGATAACAAGAATCTCTCAAAGGCAGATAGATAAAAAGATATACTAACAGCAGATCAAGATTGTGAAGGGCTGAAAAATGATGCAGTCGTTTCTCTTGCACAGCTTCGACATGACCGAATAACGCTTCCCCGGCATAAAGCTGTAACCATCAATGGGAAAAAATCAAGAAAAAGTTACAATACACCAACATAAAGCATTATAAACCCCAGGTAGCAGTCTAACTTAATCTTCTTGCAAGTAACATGAAAGCGAGTTCGAGATCAGATCTCAGCATTTCAATTGCTTAAGAAGAAACTGGAATCAGAGGCTAGGGTTCATCCAATGACAGCCTTCAGCTTGGATTGACATATTAATAACTGACCCCACCCGTCCCTACGTTATGAAATATCTGCAAGTCTTGAGAAATATGACGAGAAGCAGAATGAAAAATTGATCATGCTCCTATGCAATTTCGAGTTCTGTTCATAGATTGCGATGATCTTCTCTATTGGTTGAGTTTCGTTAAATCTTCCTTGAACGCATCTATTACTACAAACGTAATGTGTATTTGCCTGAGAAAAACAACTACAACGTACAAAGTAGGCCAGATCTCGCAAGCAAACTGCATCTTACTTCTTCTCTATGCATTAAGCTCTTCGTCTGGTTCTACTGTGCAATAAGTAAGATGTATCAAGGGCGAGGTGTATGATGGGACATCAATAGGTCCAGAGCTCTACCAACGACATATAGATGTATGACTAGAGATGCTGTCGCCACGGGATCAAAATTAGGAGATGATTACTCTTATTGCTCCCCTCTCGACGTCGGAAGTAAGACTTTACGTCTGATGAATTCCCACGGGAAAAGCTAACCAAACGTTAAGTAAGTTGGACTAAGATATAGACCTGGTTACACGCTAGATATTCCGGTACCACTGGGATAACAACAAGCTCACCTTTCCAACTTACAAAGGTATAATTCCTTTAGTCCCTTACCCGGACTGCCTATGCAAATAAGATCCTGAGAGTATACCCAGCAACAAGTTGGATTGTTAAGAATATCACCTTCTCTTGTCGAGCTGGGCATAGCCATTCGGGTACAGTGTTCACATAAGCCAGCACTTCTTCTGCCACTGGCGAGACATAATACATCGGAACTCTGCATATTAAGGCAAATTGTTAAAGCTGATTCCACGTGAACTGTCAAAAGTCAGCTATATATTTCGCATAGACTTTAAATTAGTACAACTCGTTCCGGTAAAACTTTAAACAGCATTATTCCATATATAAGATAGCCAAGCTTTTATGTGCATAATCATATAATAATTCGAAAGATAAATACGAGCGAAGTCTGATGAGCTTACTCTATTCCAGCCGACCGAAGCTGAGTTGACATCTCTTCTATTATCTCCAGGAAAGAGCCATAGAAGCTGACGGGAAACAGCACGGAACCTCCTGCGCCTACAGCTTCCACCCCAGACCTACAGACTGCCTTTATTGTGGCATCCACAGTCAACGAGGTGGACTGTTTCGGGACTTCTTGCTCGTCAGAAGTAGTCTTTATTAACTTCTCAGATGTAACTGGCACGAGCATACTGGATGAAGGTTTTTGTGTAGACCCTGAATTTCCGGCTGCTGAGCCCACAGGAGCAGGAGACAGTGAAGAAGCTGGACTTGCTGAGTGACGTTGATTTGTTTGTTTCTGTACTGTGGCCCCTTCAGTAACTTGCTGAGTCTCACTTGAAGCTGTTTGAACTACCTTTGAATCCAAAGTCCTGTTCCCAGGAATTGATATGGCTCCTTCCTTTTTGACTTCAGCAGACTCTTCTAGTAAGGGATTCGGGGCCTCCACATTGGAAAGCAAAAGAACCTCACAAGATCCCAATGCGAGAAGATCCAAAGGCGTCGCATGGTTTGGGCTTAAGATAGACGTACTGATGTAAGTGAGACTCCTGTGAGTTCCTTTAATGACCCAATTGCACGAACCTATACCAAAACCCGAGCTTGATGGCTTAATTTTCAGGAAGCCATTAATATTAGCTATCTCCTCGTATCGAAGTCCATGGACCCTCCCCATACAAGCTCTGATATCAGCTGTGCTGTGTAGTATCCCATTTATAATATTGCAGCCAGAAACCCACCACCCCAGAAGGAAAGGAACAATTTGAAATTACTAACAGAAATAGGCATATTGGCTGGTTATATAAAACAAGTGGAAACTAAGGAATAAACAGACACCAAAGTACAAACACGAAAACAGCTGTTCTTATGAACACTTTCCGCAGGCAAAAGAGGTTCAACCTGTATAGACGATGCCAGTGTTCTCCTCCACGTTTCCCACCAGCCTGCCCCTCTTGCAAAGGTACATTCTCAAGCCAGGGTGGTAGCTCTGCCTCTGCTGTTCGACCATAAAGCTGTACAAACTCTGAATGGAGTGTTACTAGTTCCTCCATCATCAACTGGCCAAGCTTGGCAGTTGCATCCGTGGCATAGATCTAGTTAACAAGTACCGATCACAACTCAACATCAGGTGCTACGGCTGCACGTCAACAAATACTCTGGTCCATCAACTAAACGAACACGTGACCACTACTTGCGATCAACATGTAAAATAGACGTAGTAAAGCAATAAATGTATACGCACGAACAATGAGTACATCAACTGATGGCGGAGAAAGACCACACCTTAGCAGTAAATTCAGGATTGCGGACTAGGAAAGGCAATCCCAGCATGGCCAAAGGATTGGATACTATGACTGCATCCAGTAATGAAATGTCTAGGAGATGAAAACTCGGAGTTTTGTACCAGGGTGCGGCATCCAATGAGTAGTTCCCCCCGTGGTTATGCCTATTGGACACTCCGGCTGGAAAGCTTGACGCATGTGTTGAAGTCCTCTCAGTTCCCACTTTTGGTCGTTTCTTTGCTGGCAGAAGAGTCTCTAGCTGGTCACCAGAGCCTTCGTTGATTTTTTTACCACTGTGTGTAGAGAAGCTACCACTCCCGGATCCCAGCCCCAAGCTTGAGCTGGAGAGAGGGCCTGAGCCACCTGCAACATTTCTACCCTCAAGAGAACCAGCCTTTATTTCCTTCGCTGGCAGCACAGTTGGGAGGAATAACAGAAGTGCAGAGAGGTCAATTGGACACTCCAAGAGTACTTTGGTCTGGCAAATGTTGAGCAAGAAGCTGTTCGGACTTGACAGGTTTCCATTTTCCCCTCCTAGACATGTCTGCATAAGAATAGTGGATAGGCACAAGCATCAGTCTGCTTGAACATCATTAAAATGCTCGACACGCCGGACGAAAAATTATATGACAGCTGTCCTTCAAATGTATTTTAAACGCAGCCGTTGTTCGAACAAATAACTCAGGTGAGAGGAAAAGATTCCAACAAAGGGTTGACAAGTGAAAAGTTCCAGTTCAATGAGGGTGTGAATACCCGACCCATTCAGAAGCTACAATAAATACGGCATTACTGTATCATGTTTACTTAGTGTACACCGTTTTTTGTTTTCTTTTCTAAGTTTTCCATTTAGTGAGGCAAATAACTCGTTGAATTGTTCGGCTTAAGGAATGTGACAATTCACGACGACAGCTTACTGTCAAGACCCTTCGATACTCAGCTGCAAGCCAAATCAGTTCTTTTTTCATCATAATTCAAAGCACATTGCAGAGGCGAGTTTGCTCGTTAGAAACGATTTGGAGAATAAATTTCATGCTCTCACCAGCTTCATGACTTGATAGAGGGTAAAGCACCCAAAGTTTGCTCAGCAGCGACCAATGCAAAACCATTCACGTCCGCAGGTTCTGCCGACATAAATCTCTCTGACCTTGTCTACATCATGAATGTGTCACAAGACCAGCTCAGGTATACAACAACAGCCTCGTTGTCGTTCTGCTGCCTTTCTCGACCTAACATTTTCACGAACAGTTCAGTGTTCAACCCAACTCAGCGACAGAGGACCGGAATGAAACAACATAACCATGAAGCACGAAACCACAATTTTGCCCGATCGATCAATTCGTCACCGAATTTCCACTTTCTACTGGAACCAAAACCAGTAGTCACCGATCAGTCTAGAAACGGCGAAATTTTAGCACGTAGCGGACGTGATGCGCTCTCGTGCCACCACACTTTGCCATCAAGCGACCCTCTCTCCCTCTCCTCGCAACCTGAACACCCATGACAGGCAATGGGCGCGTCACGATGAGAGTACGTCAGAAACCATTTATATTTGCCACCCAACATTCGCGGTTTTCAGCTCGTTGACGACCAGGTGACCGAGGCACTATTCTTCTGCATTTCCTCTATGGACAGATGACATGACGAATCAACACCGCCAAGACATTGAGCTGTATGCTGTATAAATACAGCTCAATGTATTTACATCTGTACATTAAACTAAAGGACGAACATGTGTTAAACCTCAATGTCATTAGATTGATAATGTTCCGCGCATGTTTAATCTGAATACGAACCAACTAAATGCATGTTACTCCTCATAATGTAGCACTGCGGTGTTATGCACGAATCATGGTGTTTTGTTGCTTTTGTAATGGTAATCACAGTTTGTTTTGCGCTCCAATAACCCCTAACGTTTTGGATCTGATTGAGGTGGACATACTGTCATGATCTCAATGGAGCAAAATGTGAAATAAAGGTGAACATCGAATATTTATGTATTTATATTTATGTATGTTTTCTCTCCCTAGTTTGTTGAATGAAGTTGGCATTGATTGAATGATTCTCCAAGATTCATAGCAGATCTTTATACGCATAGCATTTGGAAAGTATTGAGATATCTACAGTTCATAGCACTTCCAAAATATTTCTGAATGAAACGATATGTGAATGATTTCAGAGCTTTGCTAAACTAGAAGTGACATAGTATGAATATCAAAACCCTACATCCGCTTCGCAATGCTGTCGGTCGAAACCAAGTTTGAATGTCTTGCTTTCATGATTGAAGAGTGGAATCACTTGCAGATATTAGAATGTACAGATATTTTAGAATCACAAAACACACAAAATCATATGTTAAGCAATTGTTTTACAATTTTCTATATCATAATATGTGTTTAACGTAAATCTTATCATGATCAGACTATCAAAAGACTGACTTGGATAAAATTCATGTTTTATAGATATTTGTATCAAAATTCTATGTTTGATATGAATATTGAATAAAGATCACATGTATAAAAATATCTATGTAAAGTAATAAATATTTTATATAAAATTATATGATATGTTTGTGATTTGAGGTCAATTCTATTTTTTTATTCTCTTTGTTTGAGTTTAAGTTAAATACATGATAGATATGTGGTGATTATTTTATCAATCCAGTACATATTTGATATGGACACATGTTGATATGTTTAAAGAACATCATATGGAAAATTTTAACAAATTATATAGTAATGGACGTTTAGTTTCTCTTTTTTGAGGTCTTTGTCTAGACAAAAAAATTTTATCAAAGAATTTTTGTATACATTTGATATTTTTCTTATAATATGAAAAATAAATATGTATTGAATAATGTATCGATTTCACAGTATGTTCATGTATACTTAGCTCGAGTAAAACATTATAAGATTACAAGAAAAACGATGAAATTAAAAATATTTAACCAACGATTTTTAAAAAAATCTTGCAAACAATGTCTAAATGCACAAACCACCTAAATTGTAAATTCAGAAAAATGAAACGACATGGATATGAAAAGAGATGCAAATATCAACTCAATAAAAATAAGGAATAAAACCAAAGGAATTTAGAACGAGGTTCGCATTGTTTATCCGACATCATTGATTTAATCTGAATTATCAAGATCAAATGATTCACAAATAATATGAGCATCTGTAACCATTAAATTGATTGTCCTATATATAATGCTAGTAAGAGTTCATTGTAGAGCAATGTATACTCGATGTCGAAACTAAATTACTCAATAGGTGCAATGCTAATGAAAATGATAGCATTGTTCGCTTAGGATTAGTAGTATGGCTTATCACTCATCCTCACAACTAAAAAACTCAAAACTAAACTAAAATTTGCATCAATATTCCCATAATACTCCAATGCTAATGGAACATAGAGATTATATATCCACATAGTACTAAAGTATGGTTGTTGCACTCGTTGCCGTTCATTAAAGAAAATAGATAATCAGCATGAAAAACACTTTCACGAGTAGAATTTTAAACATAGAAATAACGAAGACCAAGTCAAAGGAGGCCAAGTGGATTAAAAAAACAGGGGAAGAGCTCTTACAAAGAAAAAGAAAACGAAGGGGATACCGAGGAATATTAAGAAGATGTGAATCTTCAGGGAGGAAATCAAAGGGTAACGTATGCGAGACCGAATAAAAGCACAAATCAAATTATGCCATGTGGTTTGGAGGTTTTCACTTTTACCGGGGATGATCGCAAGAGATTAACTGTGGTAAATGGGAGCAAATAAGCGGGGATTCATACCTTGAATGAATTGAGAGATCCTGTACAGGAAGAAAGAAGAGTTCACAACAGCAACGAAGAAGAAAGGAAGAAAACACAGAGAAGAAGAAGGAAGGACGGAAAGAAAGAACGAAGAAATGTGTCGTAGGGTTTATGAACTCATGATCTCGCTTCCCTGACCAGGCATACAATGGCTCAGTGTTTCCTGCGCATCTCCTTCTCGTGCACACGTTCGTCCGTTTCCCGCGACGCCCTCCCTCCCGCCGGTGCTCACGTGTAGCCAATCTCCGCTGTTTTCAAATACAGTTTGGGCATTCATTGTTGAGTCGGTTTATGAGTTTTTCTATGAGCTCTACTACCACAGCCACATCCCCTGAGCAGGAAGGTGCTACTCTCAATGAACAGGTGAGGGTTTTTCGTCCTTCGACGGTCACATTCTTGGTTTTCCGATTTTCTTGTTTCCGAGTTGTTATCCATTCAGAGCTTATCAAGAAGGTTCGGAGATGAGGGTATGAAAAGGGCGATGTCACGAAGTTCAATCCTTGTCTCTGTGCAGGCGAGGGAGCGAATCAGCGTGCAACGTTACGATGTCGAGGCTTGGACCTCCATCGCCAATGAGGCACAAGTAAGGGTTTAAGATTTTTCTCATGTATCGACGATTTGCCGACATTTTTGTTTCTGCCTTGTGTAGAACCTCTACTTCTCTGCATTTCAATGGAAACGGCCATAAGCGCAAAATCTTTGATTGGAAATAATTAGGGACCAACACTTGAAAATCTCATCGTTATGGTTTCATCCGTCAAGAGAAGTGGGATTTTTTCTCTTTCAATGCACTGCATCGTAAACTCTTTCTTGGTGTAAATGTTGGCATATTTTGTGAACTCTTTAACCAGCGGACTCACAATTTTTTGATCTAGTATCTCACACAAGTCTGCTTTTCTGAGACTTTTATAAGACATGCACGTACGTGGTTCTATGGTGGATGATTATTATTTTACGGAAACTATGAATAGGCATTCAACATTTAGAAGCCACAGTTTTACGACTGCTCCTTACGAACAGTCTACTTACCCTGTTCTTTTCATACAAACTGAAATTTTATGGGAAGGACTTGGTCCATTCACTGGCCAATCTCCAGCAGCCTTTTTCAGTTGAAATTTACAGAGAATAAAAATAATATACAGAAAGGACTCAAGCTCATGACAATCATAATTGAGAAACCTCAGAAATCACTGACTGTTTTCCTACTCCGATGTTTGGTCTTCTAGGTCTCTTTGGAAACACCTTGCCTTATTACACGTTTTCTCATGTAAATATTGTTTTTAGTCATCTTTATCTGATTGGTTAAATATTCTTTATCTTCTTCCTGGGTACGTGACAGTCTCGGCCAATCAACGAGGCAGCACCACTCTATGAGCAACTTTTGGCAACATTTCCTACTGCTGTAAGTTTTTTTTTGTACGATGATTAGCTTACATGGCTTTTTTTCCAAAAAAGACAGCTTGTTATTGTTTTGCAGACATGCAGATATTTGAAGAATTGCATTTATGGATAAAATACTTATGCAGATGTTAAAATGAACTCTGGCTAGAGGACAGTAACAATCGTCCATGAATGCAGGCAAGGTTCTGGAAAATGTATGTGGAGGCTCAAATGGCTGCCAACAACGATGATGCGGTGAAGCAAATTTTCAGCCGCTGTTTGCTGAACTGTCTCAATGTGGACCTTTGGTCAGCATAATTTCTCTCACGCAGCAATTTAAACAAATTCTTTGCATGAGAACTTTGTTGTAATTTGCTGAAGTTTTAGGAAGTGTCAATGTTTATTGTGACGTCTACACCAAAAACTCACAGCTCTTGGACCTATTTAATAAAATGGAGGGCACAGGAGGTGCTATATCCGATTCATGCGTAAGGTGAACGACAACAGGGGAAACGAAGGACGAGAAGAAATGAAAAAAGCCTACGATTTCATGCTGAACCATTTAGGTGTGTGCATCCGTTTTATCCTACGAATAGCCTTGATTGCAGTATTTTTGTCAGCCTAAATTCTCTGTCTTGATAAGTTGCTTTTTACGGCTATTATATAAGCAGAATCAGACTTGCCTCTCTAAATCCAGGTGGCACTATCTTTGTAAGTGAATTATGTGTCATTTTTTTTTGGGTACCCACTTGATCTAGAGTTTTCTTGTCTTTGTCTTATGGTTATAAGGTTAATAAAATCTGTCTGAAACCTTGGTGAAAGCGGGAATGTTAAAGTTTAAAAAAACTTCGCTGCGTGCCAGTCCAGTCGTTCAAGCTCTTCACAAGCCAAAGCTCGTAGAGCCCTTTGCTCTCTTAATGAAAAATTTCCTGGTATTTGACACCTAGAAACGTATACAAAAGCATGTAAAATAAAAGTAATTTAAATCGTGTTTTATGTTAAATTTTTTTTTATACAAATTAAAAGGTGACTTTTTTAAACAGAGTGTTATATATGTCTATTGAGCTTAGGGTTTTGAAAATTCCACTGTTTTTATAAGCCAATGTGTCCCCATACCTACTTATTCCAACAACTTGTATTAAGGGGAATTCTTTTTCATGTAGTTCAATTTTCCTGTCAACTATGTCTGAGCTTACAAGTGTTGAAGGAGTATTTTCTTTTTCGAAACTCAGAGTGCTGTTATTCTGTTTTCATTATGTCCTCTGAACCACTGCTTCGGAACTTATGAATTTGATTTTGAGGCACGGGACATTTCTGACTCACACATGGAGCGGCTTCAGAGAAAGAAATATTGTGTGGTCTTAGTGCAATTTTTCAATGCCATGCTCTGCAGTGTAGTGGATGGAGAGCTTATCGGCCTTTATCAAAATACAAGAATCTCGACAAAGACGTCCTTGATATGCTTTGTTCTCCTGTTTCTCAACCAATAAATACGACATGTCCACGTATCACAACTGAATGCTGTATGCTATTCAGCGCTCTCATGTTTGAATACAAATGGCCTTTACCTGCAAGATTTCGATGTCAGGGTCTGTATATTCTTTTACTGATGTATGTTGTCGCTTCACAAGAGTAGTAATAAACAGGACAAGTTCAATATTCACAACATGTGAAGTTTTATAAATTCACATGTTATTCTTGTTTTGTTATTTCCTGTATATCATGCCTTGTTTCGGGCGTGTTTTTTTTTTAATATTGACGTTTTCCCTGCGTCGGTTATGCATTAGATATAGCCCCTATGTTGTTACCTCCATGTCTGTGTTCTTCGGCCCAACTGAGTGTTGAGCCCATGTGGTTGATCACATCTTATTTCAAATGCTCCATTCCACTTAAGCGTTTCATATACAGATGATTTATCATTACCAGATGAATCAATTTTACAGTCGATCATGTCAGAAGATCACTTCCAGCTTAACTTTCTTCCAGACCTCAGATCCTACTCAAGTGTGTACCTTACTGCCACTGATAGAGTGTTTGTGTAACAGGTGTGGACATAGCAGCTGGACCTGTTTGGATGGAATTTATTTCATTTCTAAAAGCCGCTCCGGTACGAAATTTTCTTGCTTGTTCTGCTTCATCTGAGTTGATTGAATCTTGACTTCTCTTTTAAATTTAGGTGATTACATTATTTCCTTCCGTGTCAACATGGAAGTACAAAGTGGAACCACAATCTCCTTGTTATTTTCCGTTGTTTTCTTCATTTTATCAGTGGGCAAACACGTCGATAATGGTAGGGAAGTCGATTGGATTCCGTTATATCGATGTCGCCTTGAATGTTGAAGAATCTTTCGTCGGAGTGTAAGCTTTGACCGTTAAAATATCAAGTTGTAAACATTATAGAAAAAACTGGTTAACATTTTGTATGAATATGAGGATCTAATTATATGGATTGTTGCCAGGCATTGACCCCCCAAGAAGAGTCTCAGAGGATGACATCAATTCGAAAGGCCTATCAAAGAGCAGTGCTCACTCCGATACACTTAGTTGAACAGCTGTGGAAGGACTATGAAAGTTTTGAAAACTCTGTGAGCAGGGCACTGGTAGAATGTCCTTACCTTCTTGTGAGATTCATGTTTTCACGTGTTTAGCTGAGGTATCGTTTTGCCTCCTCATGAGTCTCTTGAACTGAGCTCGCAAAGTCACGTCTAAGATCATTTGTACTTGAGCTGCAGGCAAAAGGTCTGTTGGCAGAATACCAGCCAAAACATTTCAGTGCTAGGGCTGTCTACAGGGAACGGAAAAAGCACTGTGAACGTATCGATCATAGTATTCTAGCAGCACCACCTACTGGGTCGATCAAGGTCAGTACACTTTTCTGCTAGCTGTTGCTTAACTCGCATAAGTCATTACTAACTTTTGCAGATTTCATCTAATCTGATTTTGTGAATCAATTTCAGGAGGAGCAACAGTGTGTAGTCTGGAAAGCACTTCTGAATTTTGAGAAGTAAGTTTGTCAACCTTTGAGTGTTGTTTCGAACTTCGCACTTCGGAATAACATGGGATGGCTTTAGTTTTTGAATCGCTGTGGGAAGAGCGCGTCAACAACCTGCTTGTTTTTTCGGGTCTAATATCATTCACCAGGATCCTACATGATACTGTCATCGTCTTCTAGGCTTGCTTCTTGCGTCCTCACATTTCCGGTGAATTCGTCATCTTATGTGTGTGCCTCTGTAGCTAAGTGTTGGTAGTTAGTTTTGTTTTGAAGTGAATGCCTTACAGAAGTCACTGTGTTAGTTCTTGAGTTGATACCCCGCTTGAGGAGAATTGTACAAAAATATAAGTCGTGGGTGTTGAACCGCCAATCAAAATCGTTCGGTTGAATATCTGCATCTTATTACGTCATTGATTTTCCTCTCTTAATGGCTATTTTTAACTCTCCATACTGTCGCAATAATTAGAGGGAACCCACAAAGACTGGATCCTGGAGCTTTATCGAAGCGTGTTGCATTCACTTATGAACAGGTGAGTGGCTCATTGTGAACACCTGATACTTTTTGAATTAAGAAAGTAGTGGTAAGTAAGAGGAACGTGAATTGCTTAGAGTTACGAAATGTGCCTTTGAAAGCAGTTTCCACACTCTTTGTTGATTTACGTACGAGGATGACATATTGTACATCCTTTGAGTTGTCAACCTGCAAAGAGTCAATTGTAAACTGTGGACTTGATGTTCCTCTGTCTTACTCAAAATTCATCCTTTGTGATGTAGATTCACCATCTATCTCGAAGTAGTTGTTCCCTGATCATTCAAGTTCTTGCGTTTTGGTATTTTTTTTTTTATGTCACAACGTTACTTATTCTATCAATTGTTGCACACTTGTAGTGCCTTATGTACTTGTATCATTATCCAGACATTTGGTATGACTATGCCACTTGGCATGCCGAAAACAATGCCTTTGATGCAGCGGTAGCAATCTTCGGACGAGCCCTGAAAGCTTTACCAGGTTTGCTTTCCTTCTCGTTACCTTGAATGGTCTATGATCCTGCTTTTAATTAGGTGTGGATACGCTGATATGTTTGTAGTTCCCTTGCTCTTGGATATGTACGAATAGGTCATCGCTTCCAGCAAATGGAGATACGTGAAACATGATTTTCATTCTGCAAAACCTTATGCTGCGGATACACTATATCTATCCTTGGCAATCGACGCAGAAACTCTTGAACTGAGTGTATAGGTGTATTCTTTTTGCTGGAGATGTGCTCTGGTTATGATCACTCGCTCAAGTCTCTTGAGCATTTGTTGGTTAACGTTTCCTACATTAGTCTCTAATAGTACACGGTTTGTTCTTTTTTCGTACCTGTCTATCCCTCTTGTGAGTAATTCTTTAACTTGTTCCACAGATACCTCTGTCCTTCATTATGCTTATGCTGAATTTGAGGAATCTCGTGGTAGCATTGAGGTATGTTCTCTTGTCAAGACTCATATTGTCTTTAGCTGGTCTTGACTTTTGTACATTCTATTGATGTATCGAATCACAATGAGAGCCGCTTCGTATTTGGCAAAAAGGAACGATTGGTGCCGTTGGTCTCTGGAGAATTTGTGTTTGATCTCTTCAGTTGTATTGCTCAAATTCCCTTACGTAGAATGTATACTTGTCGTTGAGCATAGTTGGAGCTAAATATACTGTTGGTTTAGTCATCACCTTTTTAATTCTTCTATTTTCGGATGTCTCTACATTTGGTATAGACAGTTTATACAACTGAAAATGCTTTACATACTGGTTGAACAGCCTGTATATTTATGCTTATCTGGAAATATACGCCCTTCAGAGGTTATCCTCTGGTTAAGTGGGCGACATCGTTACTGAGTTTCAGCTTTTGTGTTTTGCAGGAGGCGAAAAAAGTTTACGAGACGCTGTTGCGAAACGACACCACTGCGAACGCACTAGCCTACATTCAGGTATGCTGTGCTGTTGAGTTAACGTTTTTCCGAAATGGAGAATCTGGCTTTTCTCTAGAGAAGTTTTTTCTTCCTTCGAGTTGTATGTGGTAATTCAGTAGTCGGAGAACTTTGACACTTGATTTCCTTTTGAGAAGATTTGCTATGCTAAGAGTCCTATGGATATTACTGAAATCAAGTCTAGACGATGTTTCTGATCCGCGTCTCCTTATGCAGTACATGCGGTTTGTGAGAAGGACAGAAGGTGTAGAGGCAGCTCGTAAGATTTTCCTTGAAGCCCGTAAATCACCGGGCTGTACATATCATGTCTATGTGGCTTCTGCTACTATGGAGCTGTGCGTAGATAAGGATCCAAAGGTAACAACCTGAAGTTTGAAGCAAATGAAAGTTCATTCAATCGATTCGATGTTATTCATAATTCAATCAGATATTTGAAATTTTCGCTAGATTTCTGCTAGATTTTGGTAATTATCTACGCTTTGCATTCACGAGTGAGTACATAGTGTGTCGACGCTATCCTCTCAAAGTGAAATGGCTGTGACACAAAGCCACCTGGCCTTCTGTAGCCATGGTGGACTCAGCGTGACGTTGGTTTAGCAAGAGATATTTGAGATCTTAAGGTTCGAGGGATGGAAATAACGCTGAGTCATATGTAAAAAGATTTCCATCTTTTCATCGCCATCCCAGCTAATCTGAAACGAAATACACTAGGTCAAACTAGAAGCGTCTCCTTTCGGTTTTGGTGCATCTTCCAGGTTTCCAAGATCAGGATTTGATCAGAGGTTTCGTTTGCTCTCCTTGGGATCCTAATGTTTATCTGTGGTGTTCATAGTAGAGAGAGCTATCTCAGTTAGTCTCGACGTGCAAGATACGTATTAGTGTTATTATCTTCGTATATTAGGCTGCTTGGTGTGATGAGATTCAGTCTTTTAAGACATCTAGTACTCTTACTGAAATGCAACAGATGCAACAGAAGTCTCAAACTCTACTGTTCGCAATGTGCTTGCAGGTGGCTCGAAATATTTTTGAACTGGGTCTGAAGAAGTACAGTCATGAGCCAGCATATGTTTTAGAGTGAGTTAGCGAAACGATATGATGTTTATCTAGACAGCTCAAATTCCTTTCCTTCTCTTGCGTGGAAATTATTGGCCACTTCCTTTCATTTTTTATTGTGCCTCAAGGCATGTTTTGGCAATCTAATTTGAGAAAGAAAAAGTATGGTGGTCATCATTTCATGCTGATTGAAAGAAGTACAATTATCCTGCTAATTCTGTTCTTTCTACGAACAGAAATCAGTTCAGTTCCACGAAGCTCATGGGGTTTGTAGGCAGTCTTAAAATTCAGATTGATAGTGCAATACACTTGAATGTCTGCCCGTTTACTACACTTTTGTTGTAAGGGCGAGAGAGCAATCGGGGGTCTATTGTTCTGTTATGCACTTCATCATAACAAATCTTTTTACTTGAATAATTTGCTTAGAAGTCAACTTTCACTTATTTTAGTTAGAATAGTAGACTTGAAATGTGTTTGTTCTGTACTGCAACAATTTATATAGACTTCCTACATTCGATTGCACAATTTTTTGACAACGCTCCATTGGTGACAGGTACGCTGACTTTTTGTGTCGAATGAATGATGACCGGAATGTGCGGGTCTTGTTTGAGCGTGCGTTGAAAGTCCTCCCACCGGATGAATCAGTTGAGGTAATGTTTCATCCTGAGTTATTTTCCAAGGGTTCTGACGTTTTCCTCCTACCGTGAGCTGTTGGAAAAGATGCCTATGCGCCTTGACACACTGGTGATGCAACCGGGTTGCGTGATGGCAAAGCGGCGCTTGCGATTTAGGTGTTGGGCATGGTCATTAGCCATCATTGCGTGACGGCCTACACACTGCACATTATCTACTTTTGTTTCTCAATCTGACTGTCTTTTTCTTTATGTATGCCTCTGCTGGTTGTTCGTCGTACATCCTTGCACTTCTTTTATCAGTGGACTGTGGGTTTAGGACCTGGGTGGCCTGTTGCTTCCCAGGTCATGAACCTGTGTGGTTGATCAACTTCAATGTAATGTATCAAAGTTTTAATGATATGATACATTTTTATGCGAGATGGCCACATGTGCTCAAGTACATGACCATCTAACATCATCTTGCGTTCTTTACGCATCTGAGGAGTCAAATGTATAGTTGGAGATACCAGAGTCCATGTTATGGATGAAACTTTTGCTAGAGTGAGGTGGTTTTGGTAATCTAATGTTTATTCAAGCGTGTTTTACGAGCTTGTGACGACGATTTATCATTTTATGTTACCAATCAGTAGTAAGAGCAATAATTCATATCTCCTCACAATTTTTGGTGGGGCGAATCAAACCTTCTCCTTCTTGAAGTGCACTGTCACAGTTCAAGACATGGCGCCTTATATTCTTTTTCCACATCGAGTGTATTTTGTGCCGTTGAGCGCTTGTCTCTTGAATATGGACGTTGATGTCTTGTTTGCCTTGAATTTATGTTGGTCAACTGCTTATCTTCTAGTCTTGCCTAGTTGCCAACCTCAGCCTTGCTTTGTTCTTTCTTACTTTGTCGCCGTCAAATCGAAGACAATTTTCTTTAGACTATCTTCTATTCTCCTTCGTAAGTAGTAGTGTGGCTTCAAAGACATCAATTTGTTTGACTGTTGATTGCAATCTGGTATAATCTGGAGTATGATCATAATGTGGCCACGATTTTCATCTCAAGCACGTGAGATTTGGACAAGGTGCAGCTGAGTCATGGACACAAAAATTGTTTTAATTTTACAGTAGCAGAATCAAGACAAGACCAATGAAGATGAGCAATAAATTCTCAAGGCTATTGTATATGAAATAGTTAATCAGTTCCCATGGTGTTCCTTTGCCTTGAAAATGTTGCTGATTTAGGCATATCATCTATGTTTCTCAGGTGTGGAATCGTTTTATGGCGTTTGAACAAGCATATGGAGACCTGCAGAGTATGTTAAAGGTACTGTTTAAGGCATATTGAGCTAAATAACCTCCTTTTTTCTTGGATTGTGTTGGTTCATCATTTATACAGCTGGATTATCGTTGCGATAGTTAAATTATTTTGATTATTGTGTATCATATATGACATAAAAACTATCAAACCCAGAAGGCAAGGGTGCAAATTCGTAATGTAAGCACAGGAATATTTCAAGGAGGTAGTCGCAACAGATTAGCACTGGTACTATGTAAGTCAATTACATTGTCACTTAGATTGTAGTCATTTATATTGTGATGACTTTTCATTTTAAGTTTTTGTGGGAAACAATGGGTGACCAGTCGTCTTCATTCTCCTCCAAAGGCGGAAGTGGTCGGGAATTTGAACTTTTGTAGTGGTAAGAATGTTGACAAGAATATTTAGGTCAATGTATTTCTTCTTGAGTCAAAATAGCTACTTTCGAGGTAACTCAAAACTTATTATGGTCATTATTTATGGGTGGAACATCAACTTATAGTTAGCATTTGCCTCAAAGATGAAGCTCAGATATGACGTTGTGATTGACGTACAGGTAGAGCAGAGACGACGGGAGGCGTTAAATCAAAATGGTGAAGACAGCCCGAGCTCATTAGAAGACTCTCTACAACAATTAATAGCAAGATATCGATTTCTTGATCTTTGGCCTTGCTCATCTTCCGATCTTGACCACCTAGCCCGTCAGCAGGTTTGTATGGTGCATTGTAGTTGTCATTCTTTGTCATTTCACAAGGATCATGATTGTACTTACTCTAAGTTGTCCTTTATGTTCATACTTGTGTCTAGAATAGAATTAGAACGTCATTACCTTGAGGTTTTCAATGTGACCGAATTTGTCTGGTCAACTTTGGGGCAGAAACAATTTTTTTATCTCTTTCCTGGTCAGCTGGTTAGCGATATAAAGTGGGAATTGAAGTTCGTATGCCATTTTTCATGATATGTATGTTTGTTTACTTTTTTCCTATGTAAACTGAAGTTCATTGCTCTCGCTTGATGTCTTCAATAACTTTATCAACTCTGAACTTTGGCTTATGTGTTTTTCAGATAATTGCACAGAAGCCTTGGACAAAATCGGAGAAGCTTCCTGTTTCGCAAGGACCTAATATGTTAAGTACTCAGTCAACAGGTTAGTTCTCTTGAGTTCTATTCTAGGTTTTAGTGAAACCAACCAACAGACATTCACCTAGTTTCTGAGTTCTTCCATTCAAGTCGAGCAGAGAGATGTTCAATTTTTTATTATTTTTGTTTAATTTCAGAAACCTAGCGCCACACCGCACCGTCTTGTATTCCAACATGACAAAATTCCTTCAGTTATCGGAGAAGTAGAACGCGTAGGAAGACCAGTCTAAGCATTACCTTTTGGAAGCTCTACTAGATTCAAGCCGTATGGATTTATTCCTGCCTTTTGAGTAAGACATAAATTGAGAACTGAAAGTAAAGGTCTGGTTTTCACGTCTTGCATCAGATAAAGCTCAACCGACAGTAACTGCCGCTGATGGATCAACAACAATGAGTGTATCTGTAAATATTGTGCGACCAGATATTTCTCACATGGTCGTTTATGATCCCAGACAAGGCTTTGGTAAGTTTCGACGGTCATGACTTGTTTCTAACAAGCGAAGGAGAAAATATCTAACTTCTTGATTCGAGTTAGTTGATTCTTTTGCTTGTTGGAGGCCTTCCTTAGTTGAGGAGGTTTATAATGGTTGTATTTTCTTTGTTCATGTTTGAGTGTGCAATCATGTTAGTGTTTGAAGGTATTAGAGTGCTAATTTGGAGATATTGGATGGATCAAGTGTGAATTTGAAAACTTCTGAATGTGGTCAAAGTGATATTACTGACGTTTCTGGTTGCAGCAGGAATGATGAACAGTGTGCCGATGCCAGGATTAGGCCTACAGATGCGTCCACCTGCTCCACCACCAAGTGGGCTACCTCCAAGGCTTGCAGGACCGCCTCCTCTGCCTCCAGGGCGGCCTCCTGATGTGGCCCTGGGGCCTAAAGTTAGTGAGGAGGTCCTCAAATCTCTACCCTCTGCAGTAAGCAGTTTCCTCAGTCGACTACCCGCGGTAAATGGTAAGAGTCACAAGCGTTCTATTGTCAAGTTCACTTGAAATTGCAGAAGGCTCATGTGCGCGCTTTGCCTGCCTCTGACGTGCAATTTATCGAACGATTCGAGCGCTTTACTTATTCTAACGGCGTCATGTGAATCACCGATGTGTGTACAGGTCCAATACCAGATGTAGATGTAGTGATATCGTTCTTGTTACAGGCAGAAGTACCGTCGGCATCTGAGAGTTCCTTACAACAACCCCAGCAGACTCAGCGTGTGCCCAGTCCCGGCAATGCCGGCAATGTTGCAACCCCAGCAGATTCCTCCAATAGCGTCAAGCAACAGCCTGGCACGAACGGAACAGCCAGAAGCGGCAATCAACAGGCTTCATCAGGTGGTGCTGAAGGACGAAGTGGAGGAGGGTCTGGACCTCGGCACCAGCGTCAGCAACAACATAAACGGAAGGAGCCTGACAGTAAGTATATAACAAATGACCGGAAGCAGTCAGAAATGGACGTCAGTCTCGGTGCTTCTGTGTATTTACTCCGTTGGACACTATGCTGTTTCAGGAACAGAAGAAGAAGAGGACAGTCCTGTATCACAGAGTCGACCTCCACCGCGTGATGTGTTCCGGTTGCGACAGCTGCAGAGGGCCCGCGTCGTTGGCAATTCTGCACTGAGCGGAGTAGCGTCAGGAGGGAGTGGGGCATATAGCGGAGAGCCATCCGGTAGTTCAGAGTAGTGATGCGATGAAATCATGTACTTACTGGCATAGCTTACTCAAAGATGTACCATTTATTTACACTAATCATTCGCCAGGAAACATTCACATTCTTTTTGCACCATCTCGCGTGCACCGTCAAAGTATGTGCCTTCTGAATTGCATCGCCTGCGTTCCACGTATATTTCCGACCCGATTCATCGATGCAATCACGTGTCATATTGATTGAAATCACTTCATTGTGAAATCAAAACGGAAGTGAATCTGCAAGGGCTGGACGTTTTTTTGAAGCCCCGCAATGCACCCGATTTTCTCTCATGTCAAAATAATGCTTGAACGAACGGACATTCCAAGCACTCTCGTGGAATTGTGGTATGGAAAAGGAAAAGCACGCCGCGCATGGACTCCAGCACACTACGTTCGAGAAACAACTAGAACTAGACTGAACTACGTTCGAAAACTCTGCTAAAGAGTCGAGACTCCCACGCTAGCTCTTTGGCCACGGACATAGGGACGTCGGCCGACAACGTCCCGGAAGCATGAACACCATGAATGAATCTTTATTTCGGGACTTCATGCATCTGTGGAATCATCAACGTGCCAAGAGAAAGCCCCATCAAGCCCGTCTATCCCGACAATCTTCTCGAGCAAAGAAGCCAATTCACAGAGGAGCCAATCTGACCCTCAGCAATCACGTACGGTCACATGAATTCGTCGGTCGAGTATTCACTCACTCACTCAGACAGCGAGGGGACGGCCATGTATGTACTCGATTGCGCCTTGAGCTCAGCGCTGAAGGAATCACGGCTTGTAACTGCGAGCAACATCTTGCTGAGCCCGATCCACATGTCAGGCAGAATGACGTGGCTGCGGCTGCGGCTGGTACTCACGTCCGATAGAGACATCACACGACGACTGTTGAACGCGAAGAGGCTGCCGATGCGCTCTGCATCCGATCCCCATGACTCTCGTGTGCGACCTCTGCAGTCCGAAAAGGAAAAGGCGACGAGGGTCGGTCAGCCAAGTCAGAGCGTCAGAGATGAGGACGGATGAGGTCAAACAATTTCGATCCCCGATTGAATAATTGGAGCCTTTCGTTAGGCGGGATTTTGGTCCAGGCAGTGAGCGTATAAGGCATCGATTGGTCGTTGGAGCACATGTGCGTTGGTTCATGCAGTAGCAATTGCCGTGAAAATGGATCAGATTTTTGACGCGCGGCGTTTTCGTCCCCCGGCTTGTGCAATGGTAGGCGTTTTGTACGTGTTGTCGCTGGCGGCGAGCGTGGCGCTAGCAACGAGCCGGGGCGATTCCGTCTTAGCCTTGCCAGGTTCTGAAAGCTGGATCTCTGCTAAAGCAAAACGTGATGCGGACGCCATCATCAAGGAAGCCTTTTCCTCCAGGTTGGTCGGTTTGATTGCCACGCTAATCTGCGAATAAATTTGAACTGTAAAATTATCGCAAAGACATTGTCTGCATCTGATCTGGTGACTGTAATCTATGGCTTTCTATTCGGTTTCCCGAATTGCCGAAGAAAATTGCATTCTTGCCTACCCTTCAGTAGGCACAAGACGCCATTGATACCACTCCCATTGCTCCGATCTGGTGTGCAGTCAGAAGATGAAATCTTTTTTTGCATTGGAGTGGAGTGAGCTCTACGAGGCTGAAGTTATTCCGGCTGCTCCGGCACCCAATTCTCAGTCCTCAACTGTTCGTTGCGTTCTGGGTTCAGTAGCTTAGAATTGTGGAGCGCCTTCCCTTACAGCTGTTGTTACTCAAAGCTCAATTATCCTGGACTTAATCGGCATTGTCAGATTAGTGCCAAGACTAATTGCTTCTTCCCGCCTGGGAAAAAACTCTTTCCCTACAGCACGGTGTACGACAGATTGGCTTATATCACAGACACATTCGGCCCACGACTAAGCGGCTCATCTGCTCTTGAGAGTGCACTAGATTGGGCAAAGGTTTGTCCACCAGTTCCCCCTTGTTCCAGGTTTCAGAAATGGTTGTAAAAAAAAGTTTTGATCCTTGAAGTTTTCGGACATTTGTATGCACGCTGGTGCTAATGGTGAGTTCTCAAGCATGTAGGCTTGACTGGCGACATACATTCATTCATTCGCGTTGTGTTTTGCGACTTTCAGGACCAGGCACAAAAAGATGGGCTCAAAGTCTACGAAGAGGAGGTGAAAATTCCGAGCTGGGTTCGTGGCCGTGAGTACGCATCTCTCCTATCTCCACGAACCAAGAACATTCGGATTATTGGATTAGGAGGCAGCATAAGTACTCCTGATGGAAAGCCCCTGGTTGCAAAGGCTCTTGTTGTCAATTCTTTTGATGAGCTTGAGAAAATCAATCATCAAGCTGAAGGTACGCTAAATATCAAGCTGAGCCTTTAACATTATTGATTGTGCTTCGAAATTGAATCTCATGTGTGACTGATAATGAACATCTTAATTAGTTTAAAAGGTGTCCTAATTTTGCAAGACTGGATCTGCGGACTGCTCTTTCTTGTGACAATAATCGTGTGCTTTTGTATATGCCAACTAGGAAGAATTGTTGTCTTCAATCCCGACTTCGTGGACTACGATACCACAGTTCCTTATCGCGCATTTGCTGCTTCAACGGCTGAAAAATATGGGGCTGTCGCAGTCCTTGTGCGCTCCATTTCTCCCTATGGCTTGCAGGTACCACTAGTGAACTCTCCAATTATCTTTTACTTTTTTCTTAAGGACATAGCTGACAAGACCATTTGTCACCTTATGTTAACATCTTACGTGCTGGACACAGACGGTTCACGCTGGAGTAATGAATGATGCGGGTATTCCTGCTGCTGCGATAACGCTGGAAGATGCAAAGATGTTTGAAAGGATGCAAAACCGTAATCAGGACATTGTTATTGAGCTTTACATGGAGGTATCTTCTCTAAAGCTCGTCCATGCACGCACACCAGCTGTGATTCTTTTGTCTCATGAGGAGCCTTGAGTTTCATAGATGTTTGAGCAATGATTTGTCCTTGTTCTGGCATAAGCCAAAATGCCCAACTTACAGATATATGTAACATGCAACTTGCCCATGATTGTTTGAGTTAAGTGTTCCCTGGATGAGTCTCTGTTAAGTTATTGTTTCAGATTAGAAAGTTAAAAAAGACTTTTTAACAATCTTTTCAGGTTGAGTGCTGCTAAATCTCCACAGAGCTCAGCAAATCTTCACATCTAGAAAATATCACCCTATTTAGTTCTCCAGCCCATTGTGGCCCTATAACTTGTGGATCATGTGAGCTTGACGTAGTAAAACGAGGTAATGGTTCATGAATATACACCTACCTGGATGATTGCAGGCTCACACTTTGCCCGATCGGCTTTCCAGGTAAAGATTTTTCCGAGCTAGATATCTTTGGAACGACGAGTTTATTGAATTCCAAGTCGCAGTAGAGAAGGTAGATGGTATCATGATGTAAACATCAGTATGAAAACTGATTTTCGTATCGTTGCAAATAAGTGAGACTGAATCATAGTTATGTCGAGTTGAATTCTTGGATGCATGTAAATCATTTTAGCCGGTCTTTTTTATAGTGGAGAGGTACATTGTACTGCTTGACACAGGAACGTGATTATTGAGATGGAGGGATGTGAAAAACCACAAGAGCTTGTTGTATTCGGCGGTCACATGGACAGTTGGGATAATGCTGATGGTGCAATGGATGACGGAGGTGGAGCTTTTATCTCGTGGGAGGTCTCTCTTCTGAGCTTTTTTTAGACTCTCACTGCTGCACATTAACCCATGTGAGAAAAATTGAAATGAAGTAAAAAAAGTTGTGCTTACTCCTCCTTCTTGTGCAGGTCATTCGACTTTTGAAGGTGCTCGGCTTGAAGCCCAAACGCACTCTTCGAGCTATTCTCTTCGTGAACGAGGAAAATGGATCAAAAGGTGCCATCAGTTATGCAAATAAACATCAACATGAAGCCAATTTGTGAGTATTTCTTATATCTCATGAAAGCGGTTGTCTGTGCGAACTTATGACTTACTTGTTTCCAACTTCTAAGGCCTTCGACCTCGTAGTTTAGGAAAAGGCTGAACCCTGTAATATTTTTCTTCTTGATTGGTAAAAGTCTGATTGAAATTGCCATGAATTTTCTCAACCAAGTAGTAAGCATCAATATTAGAATGTCTGGCAGATAGTTGGAGCGGTATTTCTTACATGCTTCTGGTAAAAATTTCCAGAACGAGCTTGGCAATTGAATCAGATGCTGGCACTTTCACTCCATACGGCATCTCAGTTACTAGTTCGAAAAAGGCGCGGGCTATTTTGACACATGTAGGTTCCTCTGCCGTCCATATTTTGTACAGTTACTGTGGAAACTCCATGCCTTTGGGAAGCCCATGTGCGTGTCAGTATTTAAAAGGTGAAGGTTATGTCCTGTTTCAGTTGGCATCCGTCCTCTGGTTGTCCCGCCTGCTTATAGTATCACCTCCACACGCGAACAACGTTTTCAATTTTTTTAGAAATGTGTAGATTAATCCGGGATCCGGACTGTTCTCTAGATTGGCCAGCGACTGCTGAGTGGTATCGGAAGTGGAAATGTCTCCGGCACTGAATATGGAGAGGATGTTTCTTACTTGGTACTTCCCTTTCTCCCTACTATACCGATTGCACTTCCTGTTAGCTTCAATTTGTGTGGATCAAACCAGCTATCTGAGCGGTCGCGTGAACAAATGATTTACGAGTCTGGAAGAATCTCGGAGATGTGAGTCCAATACAGCGCTGACTTGTTTCAGTGAAAGTAATTAGTGCTGCTCGTGCTGGTCTTTGCAGCTTCTGGCTATTTATTTGTATCACAACAAGTACTAACACTACTCAATTACAGGCAGATCAAGGGGTACCAGCAGGATCTTTGCAAGTCCTCGATCCCAGATATGGGGATTACGCCAACAATCCATGCAGAGCTTTTGGTGATGGTGTTTCTGGAGAAACCGATCCTATGAAGAGTGCTTATTTCTGGTGCATTTATATTCCAACTCTACCTAGTTTCTTCTTGTGCACTTTAAGTCTTGGTGTTCAAGTTACCTATCTGGCTGCCTGACTTTGTGATAGCCCCTGGGTCCACATACTCGGAGCCAGATCAGACTACTCCATCCGCAGTACTTGTGTTTCTCACAACGATATGATTATAGATTGGAGGTTTAGGACTGTGTACATCTAGTGCTAAATGATGCTGAGTTCGTTCGGGCCTGCTACGACCGTGGTACTCATTCGATCATGATGCTTGTCCATGCCGCAGGTATCATCACACAGAGGCAGATACTATAGACAAGCTAGACCCGGAACAACTCCAGCATTGTGCTGCCACAATGGCAATATGGACGTACACAGTAGCCAACCTAGACTCTCTGCTTCCCCGTTGAGAAGTGTTTACTTGTGGAGCCATCATCGCACTTCTTGGAGTCGTTCATGACGGTGATTAAGGTTTCATCTTCCCTCCCACAGAGTAGTGGGTGCATTCAAATAAGTTCTGCGCTGATCAGATTCACCCCACCATACAGCTGTATCGGTCGTAGCACCTTGCTCCAATGCCTGAAGGTTGTACTGATCCTATCATAAGTCAGCTGAAAGAAAACTCGGCCCGAATCTCTGCTGAAATGGCGGCCCCGAGAGCAGCTGGTGCAGATGATCTCGTCCATGTTTGTAGATTGTCCGAGAGATAGATAGATGGTCCACAAGTTTGTCACATTTCGCACTCTATTGAAATATCAGGAGAGTTTCCTTCCTGAGCCGAGCCTCTTCAAAAGTTCACCTTGAAACCGAATGGGCAGGCAGCCAGAGCTGACCAACTGTGCGGTGGTCGTTCCTAGCGGTCTGCTTCAGAGTTAATGGCAGAGTTCCATCTTCTGATGTCCCAAGAGCTGAGGCTCAGATTGAGGAAGGAAATCCTGTGCATGGACTTGTGAGCATGAGTCACTCAAAACAAAGAATTCTCGATGTTTGCGTTGTCTGTCTTGTTTCGTCGCCTGCATGGAGTTTTTTCACTCGCAAGCACATACAGTGGCAGGAGTTGCCTGATCGAGGCTCTTCATTCAAACTATTTGGATTTAGGAGCAGAAAATGTGGACCGATGGCGGACTAGGAACTAACAGAAGAATTCAAGCCCACGAACTAACAGAAGAATTCAAGCCCACGAAGTTGCGAGAGTAGTAGGTGGGAAAGATATGAACAAAGCACCCAAAGGCACATGTCTTCGTCCGCTCTTGATACAGAACCGAAGCTGAGCTGCGCACTCTTTCTGCGACTCAAAGAAATTTCTGGCCCACGCAAAGCCCTGGCCAAATTCTGAGCGAAGGAACACTCCCTTCACTGCACAGCAGAGATGAGTGAACGCGATCAGTCGGAGATCGTCTTGACTCACGCTTTCGTGACACACACGAGCCCTACGTGTGTGCTGCTGCCTACTGCTTTAGGCGTCGGACGAGCGAGACGGCCCGACACTCAATTGTAGACAGAGGATCGTCCATTTGGCTGTGAGACACTGATACAAGAGAGGAGAAGAGGAGAAGGAGGAGGCTGCGTCTGCAAGCCAGATTTAGGCGTTTGGACCGAGAAGGCAAGAGCGCAGGTAGTCAAGTCTTGTTGGACTGATTACACGCAACCTGCTCCCTCGTTCAATCGTCTAATTGATGATTGACCTCGGGCCTGGGAAGTAGTGAATCAAGCCTGCGACGGTGCGCAAGGAAGGATGCCGTTGCATCGCCTGTACACATGAAACTCAAACCCTACAGGAATAATGGTCTCGTGCAGCGATCGCTATGCCATTGCCGGGTGATGATCGAGAACGAGATTCACAGATTGTCAAAAGTTGGATCGATAGATGCTGAGTGCGAGCGAAGTAGCTTGTGAATCAAAATGGCTCCGGGATCCAGCTCGGGGACGGAGAAGGTGAAGGCGAGCAACGATTATATTGCTGGAGTTGCAGCTGGGGTGGCGACGGTGCTCATTGGACATCCTTTTGACACCATCAAGGTGTGACTGAATGGAATTACGCTCCTGAACTGACCAAATTCATTGCACTGCACTGCACGGCCGTTCTTGGCGAGAAATATCTTCAGCTTTTCGACATGTTTGTGATGAACGTCCGAGGGTCTTCAGCCCTTCACCTTTGAGCAAAGCACGCGGTCTTCATCGATTGACCTTATCGGTTGGATCGCAGGTCAAATTGCAGACTCAGCGAAGGAACGCTCAGGCTTCTCAATATCGGAATGGGGTCCACTGTTTAATGCAGATTGTTCGTGGAGAAGGGGTGATTGTCAGCACCTGTCCTTTATAGTCATTGTTTCACCGAGTCCTCAATATCCTTGAATCGATTTCTTCTGTTTGTGATGAGATGTCTGTCACCTGCAGAAGATTTTGCTCTCGAATCCTGCTCAGAATTTGCTCTTCGGGGCACAGCCACGTTGGTACATTACAGAAGCAAACCGTGCCAGTTTTCGCGGTCCTAATCACACCCCGTACAACATCGTCTGGCACTCTTCAACTTGTATGTAGGCGAGAGGACTATACAGAGGAGCCACACCTTCTTTCGTCGGCATGTCTTTGGAGAGCGCCCTGCTCTTTGGCATATACACACAATTGAGAAGTACATTCCAGGTACATCGACATTTCTCGATGATATCCTGCCTCTCTATTTCGGTCTTTTATCAATGGTCCCCACTCACATTCTCAGCAAATTAATCCTTTACCTTGGGAACTCATCTTCCATGTCAATGGTTGCCAATGAAGTGGTAATTCAAAGCGTCGATACTGATACTGGTCGGTCGGTCCGTTCATATGTCACTGCTGGTCACTACCCGACGTCGTCAGGTGTGATTCTTCGCCGGTAGCTTGTGTAGTTTACAAGTTGTTGATAACTGGCAGTAGGTCACGCCAGCTTGAGATCACCCCATGAAATCAAGTGTTGATTATGAAGGCGGGTCGCGCTTGGAAATGGTAGGAGAGCATGTGTGCAGGCCTGATGCGGAAATATCGTTGGCATGCATGATGGGCAATGATTTATCAAGGCAGGAGATGAGAAATCGCCACTTCTGTACTCTGTTCTGCCCGCTGGATTTCTAGCTGGAGCAAGTGTTAGTACAGTTCTCTGTCCCACAGAGCTGGTCAAGGCAAGTCCAAGAAGTGTATCCAATTCTTCGGAAATTGAAGCAAGTTTTTACTGTGTTGAAACTGTTTGCTTCAACGTCAAGCGGTGGGTTGTTCCTGAAGCACAGTCAATCCCATTCGTGTTTCTGTTTCAGTGTCGACTCCAAGCGCAAGTCAAGCGAGGTAGTGCAGGTGGCCGCAGCCTCAAAGTATACGACGGGCCTGTAGATTGTGTTTTGAGGACATTAAGAAGTGAAGGAGTGAGTATGACAGCATTCACAGAAGTTGCTCTTTCGTCTTCAAGCTTTCAGTGCAGACTTCCCATTTTCTCGCATGGCGTTTGCTAGCATAGACTGTCTTCTTTGCTGATTCTTCCAGTCCATCATTTCTCTTTTCCTTTGTGTAGGTGCAAGGTCTATTTCGTGGATTGACGGCGACTTTTGCAAGAGAAGCGTTCGGGAATTCAGCATTTTTTCTCACTTATGAGTTTACTCGGAGTCACATGCTGTCACGCTTAGGCCTCCAAACGAACAGGGTTGTCAAGGACAGAGATGAAGCTCTGGTGGAAAGGGGTAGCACGAGCTCAATGTATACGAACCACCTGATGGAGGCTGGAGTTGGTATCGCGAGTGGAGGGCTTGCAGGAATAGCGGTGAGTCTCTTGTATCCATTGTACACTTTCGTTACAGATACAGGTGATCATGCATCGTTCATGTCCCTTGTCAGATGTTGCATCTGTAGAGGTTTCAGTCCTAAACGTAAATTCTCAAACTGTGACCTTGTTCAATACAGACACGTCTGCTGAGTTGACCGAATCCCTTGGTCAGGTTCCCTTACGTCTTGTTTGTGTCTCTACGTATCCCACTTTCGTACTTTCTAAAATGGAGATGTGTTCACAGCATTTGCTTACATACTCTCAACTTCTACGTGTACATGTCTTTTAACATGACTACCAAGTGTAAGGTACATACTACATTAAAATTGTCAGCGTCAGAGGCCATTCGCAAAGCGAATATCACGTTTGTTTGTTTGCTAGGTTCTTCAGGATATACAACCACTGGCAGCAGGCTGTTCTTTGTTGAAAACCATCACCGTCTCAGTCTACACCCTTCGTACTAACAGAGTCAGATACATGGATTTTTTGTAGATGCAGACGTCATTTTACCATTTCTTATATGTTCAAGTGCGTTAGAACCTTCGTTTCTGTTTGTAAGAAGCTCTGTTGCACTTTGACATTCAGAGTCTTATTTGTCTCAAGGTTTTTCGTCCAGTCTTCTCCATGGGTGATGTATGAATACATATTAAACTTTTCTACGTGCTTACATGTCAACTGCTGCCACGATTCTGCAGTTCTGGCTTGTTGTACTGCCTATCGATGTTGCTAAAACACGGATACAAATCTCGGAGGAATCACATCAAAGCCGTAACCCGCTTGTACATTTGAGAGCTGTAGGTTTAACTTTTCCTCTCCTCTTTTGACTTCGTGACGCCTCGTTATTGCTAGACTCCTTAGTTTTGGTCCAGGTTTTGCTTACCCTCTTTCTATTTATGAATCTTTAGGATGTTTGTATTTGGTGTAAGGCAATACTGTGCAGATAGATGACTGGCATCAAACATAGCATATATAGATAACTTTATCTGTTCTTGCATGTCTAGTCTCAGTCCTAGAACTCACACCCTACATATTTCGTTCCAGATACACAAGGACTTGGGCATACGAGGACTGTATGCAGGCTTGGGTCCTACATTGATCAGAGCTTTCCCGGCAAATGCAGCATCTATTGTAACTTGGGAAGTTGTTTCCAAATTCTTGGCAGGAAATTTTTAATTGTAAAGTTTTGCCATGCTTGCAACCATTTTTTGGCCCTGTAATTCAAGAACTTTGACATTATTGTCTCATGGAATTCTTTTCATCCAAATGTCTTTGAAAGCTGCGGATTGTGATACACGTAACATTTACATGTGAAGACAGTGAAGGTGCTCCCCAATGAGCAATCTTGGAGTAATCAGACTTCTTTTCCCAATGATAGCCTCAGACGACCTATCGGGGCCAGCGTTTAGGTCTACCTGTGTCACATGGCAACCATTCAACCACTGAGGTTGCCTAGACGACAGCAATCTTCACCAGAGTAAAATCCAAGTGCCAAGTCGAAGAACCTGTTCAAATGACCCCTGATGGGCACAGAACGCGTTGATTGAACTGAAAAGCTGTCCGACCATTGTAGCTCATCTTCCACCGTCTCTGAAAGTAATGTAACGTCATTAGCTCATTGGAGTGTGTGTCTTGCCTGAAACATGTTCTTCCACTTCTTGATCGATGCCTTTGAGCCGGTTTTCAATCTTTATACTTAATTCAGTCATCACGTCATAATGAATTTGAGTCAATTGAACATTCATTTTCGAAATATTATGAAAGATATAGTCTAATTAATTTCCAAGGTTAACAAGCGAATTATGTCGTATACACTGCAAGATAGCTGACAATATTTACAGATACAGTTCCCTCTCTCAGTGACCTAACACACTCCCAGTGGTCTAGAGTTTTGATTAGTGGATAGGTGGCAAAATAGTATAGCTCATATTAATGATATTTCCCATGCGCAAGCTTTCAGCTAAATCGTAGGTGTATTGACTCACAACTTAATGTATTGAAGATAGAAGCATGAATTAGTTGTTATTCTCATACATGAATATAAACTTGTGTGAGGTATATTTAAAGTAAGAATTTTAATATGCATCAACGTCTCGTAACTAGACCAAAACTACGGCTTCTTTCTTTTCTTCCACTGATCCGCGTCGAGTTTCCTGTCTTGTATGTTTCCGACATTGTAATATTGTCAATGGCCATTTCATTTTGGTTTGTATTTAAACTTGGGCAATGACATTCTAATGTGATCATTTGGGATAAAGATTTTATATTCTAAATGATGTTCGCGCGGACATGCGAGATTAATTCAGTTTTTACTCTGAACAACCAAATCGGAAATTCATCTTCAATTGCAATAAATTATTTTGAAATGTTTAACTTTTTGCTCTGGTTTTAATCGACATAAATGTAGATTTCATGAATATTTTATCCATAAATCATAGATGAAAACTATAATCTGGAAATTATATTGTTATAATTTATTTTGCAATTTATTGTATAGTAAAATTGTTATAGATCAATTGTACATTGTCTACTTAATTTTTTGAAAACTGGATTAATCCTAATATCTATATCTTATTGACGTAAATGATTGAAAAGTTAAAAACATCGTCACTTGAGCAGAGTGTTTACCGCAATATGACAGACATAAAAAAATGTAACAATATTATATATGATTATATAAAGCATAAAATCATGAGATGAAAAGTTAGATAATAAAAAGTTATATCAATAATATCAAGAGAGACTATCAAAATGAAAGTACAAAGAATTCACATAGATAATCCAAATAGTAATTAATAAAAAATCCAAAATAATCATTTAAATTGAAAAGCTTATAATGAAAGATAGTTCATCACGATGAATTTATATTTAGAACTAATTAAGTTTTTTAACATAGTATTAATCTCATTATCAAATAATATTTCATTGATAAAATTTTCACATAACAAAAAACATTCTAACTCAATTTTTTTTAAACAAAATTGTTCAATTTATAACGTACGATACCAAAAATAGAAACTTTTAAAGATTTACTCTTTGATTTAGAGTACAAACTTGATAGAGTTTAGAATAACACATTTATAATCTACATAAACCATAATCTCACACAAATTCATTGCGGTAACTCACATTGAAGCTTACATCTCACATATGGGATTCACCATTTCTACTCATTTCACAAAACATCTTAGGTTTTATTAGTACTCTAAAACACATAGTACTTACGAGAACTTACTTTCACAGCTTATGGTACAAATATGTGATTCACCTCTTGCCTACTTGCTATAAACATCTTAGGTTTAATAAAAAATGTTGTCAATATATTTTGTAAACTCTCTTATAGTGTTAATTTAACCAATCTAACTAATTGTGATTAAACTATTATAGATTGTATTATAACCTAATGAACTTTTAATAATTTTAACATTTAATCATGATGTGAATACTATAATCTCCATATATTATATAATTTCACTGCGGTAAGTGTCATATTGAAACCTAACATAAACATTTATGTTAAGTAGAGTTAATTAGAACTAAAACGTAACCAAAACATGAAAATATAGAAAAATCATAATAATGGTAATTGGATATAGATCAAGACTATGGAAGCCAAAGGATGAAAAGGGTAAAAAACACATAACATGTGGTTTATTCATTGATAAGAAAGAATACACTAAATATTATTTTCCTAGTTAGTGCATAGAGCTCTCATGAATAATGACATCTCTGTTATAATAACCTAAATCATAAGGCAATAGTTGTAGTAAAGAATAGAATTTTCACACATCAATTTTATGAGCTATTCCAATCTCTTCATATTTCGAACATGAGACAAATGTATGTTTTTATAGTCAATATTTACTTCGTCACAAGATTACAACTTTGTTCACTTCTTTCGATATTACACCATTGTAGTTCATCAATTTCTAGTCTATTACACCAAGTCATTACATCTAATAACAATCTTATAGAACATGTGGCTTGCAAAGCTTGACAAGGAAGACAAATCTAGTAAAGAGGTTAGTACTCTAAAGGAAGACAAATTGTTTTTCAAGAAGAATAGCATATGGAGTTTGCATTTTTACATCCAATTCTTCTTGTAGAAAGATTTTTTTGCATCCTCTCCACATGCTTTCAACCTATCTTTTTACTACCTGTGTCACACATTTGGATTCTATAGAAAATCTTTGGCAATACTAAACTTTTAAATAAGTTTTTACTAAGACTCCAAGACACAAGATGAGCTCTTTTACATTGGTTTAACACTGAATATAGAGCTTTGTAATTGGCTTTCACTCTCTTTTGCATGCAAAGTTTCCAACTATGATTCTTAGGAAATTTATAGTCTAGATATTTGTAACTCTTCACTTATTCAAATTGTAGATCTATGGCAAAGAATGACAACATGGATCCACTGTACTCTGTATTGAATCTAAGCTTTTCATATTGAATTGCATGTGATTTTGGATACAAAATCTTGCCAAAATGTTGAGGTGTTTTTGTAATCTAGTATGATGATATTATCTGCATATAATAGAGTTTGATGACAAAGTTCCCAAGTTTGACAACAATATCGTGAGTAGTCATTGAAAAGAAAAATTTTAAAAAATATTTTTTTTGAAATCTTTTTTAGATCATATGAAATAATTTATATACCATTATGTAACAAAACTTGAAAATTTATTTTGTGATTGCAAAAAATTTGAAATTTAGAATTTTTGGATTAACCTAAAAAAAATTATAGTTGAATTGATTATGGCATGATATGAAGGTATTTCAAATGATTCAAATTCATGCAATGGTCGAATTAATTTATTGCAAAATTATTTATAATTATAAGAATAAAATGTATTTTTTTTCAATTTATCATTATTAGTTAAAATCATTAGGATTTCAAAAAATAAAACAGCATTCATAGAAAATCTCTTACATAATTAAATAAAACTGGATTGAATTATATCAACTATGAGAAAATAGTCATATAAAAAAATCATTAAAAAATTGTAATCTGTTTGAAAGTCATAATATCATGCTAGATTCAGATCTCAGAACAGATATATTCGCCATAATCACAACTTAGTGGTGTCGACAAATACTGCAAAATATACTCTTATTTACATAATAAACACTAGATAAGCACATTTATCTTGTTAAGATAAACTACATAATGAGATCGATCGCTTGAAATGATGAGGTGTTGGGTGCTTGCTTCGTTCATAGACCTACGGATATCTAGTTCAACTTTATTAAGTGAAATTAAAAATACTTTCCATTATAATAGAATTGGTTTCTTGATTCAATAAGATATAAATTTACTTCTTGTCATCTGCTTGCTTTCATATGATGACTCACGTTATCTCTCATTGATTTGAATAAAAAGTTAGAAATTTATGTGACGGCAAAGATTCAAGTATTCGTCTTCAACGTCTTTTATTGAACTTCAACTCTCTTCATATTGATATATGAAAATATTAACTTCTCGCTGTAAAGTAATATAATCTTTGAATGCATACATACTAATAAACAAAACTTTGCTTATTTACCAGATGTAGGAACCGACCGAATTTTGATTAACATCCATAGATATTGAAACCACGTGACAGATTATTGTTACCTTGACTGAAACATCAGCGATATTACTTCAATATTTCGACAAGCGTCGAAATCCCAAAATTATGGACGCGATGATAATTAGTCGGTTTGCCGTTGGTGCGGGTGAAGTTTCAAAGCAAAGACCGATGTCTGGTTTCTTATTTATCACCACTAGCTTCACAACTAGCAGCACTAGCAACGACTGGTATCCCCTTTGACTGCCATGTCATCTTCCTGCTGCGCGCGCCTGTATTGGAACTAATGCAGAGGGCCCCACCCAAACCTTCGCCTGCTTCGTCGCCGGGTCATCACAGCACTGACAATCACTAAATCAGAGCATTTAGGGAAATTTTCCCGTCATTTCTCATGCATTGAATCGAAATTCTGGAAAGCTATTAAAACAGCAAAATAATAAATTGGAGTTTCGGAGAATACATGAAAGAACGAGAATATGGAATAGTTGTTGCAATTTCCTCGAATGAGTACAACATGAAGAAGGTGCCAATGGTTGGTTGATATCCCTTGCTAGGCAGGGCATTAGGGTCACTTACTGCGTTCAGCTTCCCCAGCTTTATTCGGCATTCAATGGACGGAAGCCTGAACGTATCAAATGACGATTGAGTGACGATCTTGGCGACTGTTTGCTTAGAGCGGGTGAGTTAGTGCATCCGGAGACCTGCTCTCAGCCCCATCTAATGTTAGAAGGAATAACTTCTGCACAGCTGCACTCTCGTTTCCATCTAATGTTTTCTCCTGTGCAATTAAGTACTGATTCATACGTTTCCCGTATCATCCAATTCTCAAATTTTTTATTTGTTTTGTTGGTTTCCAGAGGCTTCTTTTCTCTATCCGGGGCGTGATTTGAGGTAACCACCTCCTCAATTGGCCCCCATTTTCCAATGACTACGCTACATGTTCTCTTTCTTGGATTGGAAATGTGCCATGATTCGAACGGACGAAGTCCGTGCATTTTGTTGGAGAATTTCTTCTGCCGAAATGCATAATCCCTTCCGTGAAGACTTGGTGTCCTCTTCCTTCATACGTCGCGATCGGGTATCTTGTTAGTACCCGCGATCATTTGGAATTCGTTTTCCGACCGTATATAGCATTCCTGTTGCTAGGCGCAACCTTAACGTTGAAGCGATAGAATCCGGAGATTTTGAAGAATTCTGGCAATGAGCTAATTTCAGTCAGCAATTTTTGATCTGAGGTTCACGTTCATTTTCTCCTTCTGTGGATCTCCGGTGAAGTATAATTGCAGCAAGTTGCACTCGCGTCAACTCTAGAAATTTGTAAGCCTCATCGAGTACGTTTAGCTGAGACCCTTATGAATCGTTAGAAGATGAAAGAAACAATTAAGTGGTTTCTTTTACGATTAAACCTCCACTTAGCATTTTTTAATTTCGTCTGGTCCCGGGTGCAGTATCTTAAATTTTTTCTTAAAGATACTTCGTGATGAGTGAAGGAGTCTATTATTCTCAGATAAAGAGCCAATATGCATTCCTGTCAGTTTATGTAGGGAATTGGGATTGAGATTGAGATTTCAACTTGAGCTCGAAGGTGAAGAGTCAAATGCATAACTCCGTACTTGGATTTCATCATTAGTCCATGCAGACTGCACCAGAGGAGCAGCAGGGGAGACTTTTGGAATGTTAAGTTCTTCACTCACGACGGTTGATTCTTCTCGAGCCATTCTATCGTAAAGCTTGGAGCACGGTCCAAATTTTCCAACAGCTGCCTGGCCTGTTTCTTTGCAAGACGTTCAGTACTGATTCTTTTGATATCCAATACCCTGCTCTGAAATCATTCTCGGAATCACAATTTCGGGTTCAGTATGATTTTTGATTCTTGAGTTGGATCGTAGTCTGCAAAGTTTTGAACGAGGATCGGATGGGGGCCGGAAGGCGGACTGAGACGGTCAATTTCAATAACTACACAGCGGGAGCTGGTGGAGGTGCTATCAAAACAGCCCCTCAACGAAAATTGGCCGAGCGCGGTCGGCTTGGCTCCGTAATTTTTGGCTGTACAAATGCAACATACAATGAGTGTGTTACCAACAAACTTTTTGGTGAGTTTTCTCTAAATGTCCCTTAGTCTGAATCTTAACGATATTATTTCAATACGTTGCAAACCCGATTTTCAAACCCATGGACACCTATTACTTTCCTCTGTTTTGGATACAGTAGGTTTGCAGTGAAGATGGGTTATATTTGCAGTCAGGAACAATTATCTCAAATTGAATATATTAGAAAACTGAAGTATAAGTATACCGTGCCAGTTGTTAAACTTGCACTGGTTAATTGAGTATCCATTTTCACAACGTTGTTACTGCTGCTAATTTTCCACAAAATAGGTGAAAAGGTCCGACTTTACTAGCTAAGAAATGTCTTTAGACACATAAAACAAAACCTTAAGGTTTGGAATAAAATATGACCATTTTTCACGTTGTATAGCTGAGAAAGATTAGCTTGCAATCATAGCCACATGATCTTTCCAGTTGTGAGACTTCTGACGATGGAGTCAGTCTAAAACTTGATGAATCAATTCTTACCATTCGGCTGGGATGGTAATCCTCACAATTATGGTTAGAGGTTGACCGTCCTGACTTTGTTAAGGGAGGGAAAGAAGATACTGGTGTGCAGGTGTCTTTCAGATCTGGAACTAGCTATGGATATGCCATCTCCAACAGAATCTATATCTAATTTGGTGAAATCGTCTGTTCTGCGTTAAACTCTCTTCGGAGTATCACGGACATGAGTCCAGAAAAAGTTCGTTATGAACTTTTGTATATGTATCACCTCTCTGAACGTGGTCCATACTAACGTAGTCTCAATTCTTAATAAAGCAATGACTTGCATTGATTTCCCACTACACGAAAACTTCTGCAAATGCTGGAAGCATCATACATTCATACTTGAAGATCGAATAGTAGTTGTTCAACGTTTTGTACGTAGGATTCATGTTCTCCATGATGCCAGAACGTAATCGTTCTTTTATGACAACATATACTCATTTCCATTGCAATTTATCACTGAAGTGTATGTATTTTTCCGTTCGTGAGTTACTTTTTCTATTGCAACTTTGATATTGGTTCGTTCGCTCCCTTGATTCTTTTGTAGTGGACTGTCTTAACTTTACTGGAATGCAAATTAGATATACGGCCACAGCGTGCATACTGCATTAATCAGTTTTCTTTGGTTGAATTTCTTTCTGTTTGTCGAATGCCTACCTCTACCTTTGCAGGTAAGTATTCACAAAGCGTAGCCGTCATGTCACTAAACCTGTTCTTTTCTGCAAGGTTTGCATTTGCAATCACGAAGTGATACTAAGGTTTCTCCTTGTGATTTTACCGCCCAAGTAACTATTATGATGAAGGTAACAAATGAAAATTGCTACACTTTGTTCATGATAAGGGGTGGAGTTGAAATCAAGGTGTTTCCGTTTATCATTCTAGTCTTGCTATGCTTATTCTTTTATCTACAATCCTCACTGTACAGGTTCACGGTGATTCAGGCATTAAGGAAAATTTGACAGCTCCATTCATACGTCAAGCAAGTATAGTCCCCATACATATTCACTGTCCTCGCTGTCAGTGGCTCCCGGATGCTTATTCTTTGCGTTTCGTTTGTTCTTGACACGAATGAACATCCATGATATTCACTAGTTTTAAATTAAAGCTGGATCGTTGGTATCCTAATTCCATAACCTCGCTGATGCTTTATTATTTCAAAGCGAGTGGAGTACCCAACTTCAGTGGTTGCTGTACTTGACATTTGTGGGTAGAAGAAATTGCATTTACTTCACGTCATATGGAGTAAAATAAGATTTTTTTCATACTGCTGCATTATTCATCTCTAGATGCGAGAGTGTACAATCAGTTTAGCAACTCATATACATCTATTCGTTTGTTATATCTTCTTTTCAGCTTGGGTGTTATAAACAAATATTAGTGCATACTGTCTTCAATGCAGACCTTGGTTATTGGGAACCAATTTTTCTTTGACCTTACTCGGTGAAGTGGGCTAGTACTGTACGTCTGATAAGAGGTTGGGGAATGGAAAGATGCATGACTCACTGCCATCGATTCCATCTGTTGCTTTGCATCTAGAGTGTAATACTGTCCAATCCATAACAATGATTTTTCCTAAATTCAAAATACATTCTTTCAGTCTGACACCATTTATCATCCATACACCTTTTTGAAGGTTGTGTATCGTGGTATGTAGTCACTGTCTCTTTTGATTCACGGTTTGACTTCTTGTGGAGGCCGTTGTATTACGTTTGGCACTTGTCTTCTTTCATGTTCAAGTTGACTATTTGACTTGATCGTCGTAAGTTACATCTTGTATGATTTCGGCATTACCTAAACCTATATGTTCCCTGTATGTTCTATAAGTGGTCATCTAAGTTTTTGGGTTTTATGAGGACTTTGATTGTAGATGGGGGCTATAACGATGTGATGGATCGTGGGAAGACTGCTCACGCTTGAAGGATGACGATGTGTTCTCTAATTTGTTCGCAGGCTTGCCCTATTCACATCACTCCTATGTGGAACAAATTGATATCGGCATGCCTCTGTTTCTTTTCAACTACAATGACAGAAAAATGCATGGAATTTTTGAAGCCGTCTCGGAAGGAGGGTTGAACATCAACTTACATGCCTGGACTGGTGGTGACTCCGGATCTCGAACGCAATTTCCTGCACAAGTGCGCCCCTCCTTGCCAAACCATTCCTGAGGATCAGGTTTAGTTGACAGTCATGCATGAGAGGCAAAGCTGCAGTGAGAGCAGGTGTTGATATAATGAGTTCTTGAGTGTTGCTCTTGATTATAACCCAATGGATGGTCGTTAGGGCTCATGTGGCTTTTGTAGTTTCCGTTTTTACCTATATTTGCTACTCAGTACGATTAATTCAGCTACAATTGAGCCACTGGATTTAGTCTTAACAATTACTTGGACGTAGACATCTGTACACCTAGCTTCAGATCTGCAGATCTTGAGAAATATCTCGTGCAGATTTCTTCTACTTTTATAAATGCTTTATGATCGCTCTGAGATGTTTGTTCACTTTTCTTGTTAAACAGGTTCGAGTTCAACTACGGTCGGATTTCACAAGAATCGTGTCTATTCCGGAGGCTGTTTTCAAAGATGCTATTATTGACAGCTATTATTCTGCTTCACACTTTTTCTTTGAAGTGGATAACGAACAAACAGAGAGGCTTATCAAGCTCTTTGAAAGGCAGGTGGGTAACCATTTGAAACAGGCCACAGTCGTGTTCAAAAGTCCAGTAATTCCAGCACCTCCACCTAATGCGTGGCAAACCGTGGGCAATACGAGCAAGGTCTGGAAGAAAACAGTAGGTAATGTCGAGAATGACGAAAAGCTGAAAATGAAGAAGCCTGCCACGGTCATCATGTCTGAGTGGGAGAAAGGCGCGCAGTATGTTTCGTCCTCGTCGAAAGAAGCTGTGTCAGACAGCTTCCATCAAGAATCTGTATGGATGAACGCACATCGTGATGAAGAGTCAGAATCAGAGGCGAGTGAGGAGTCTCCAACCGACACTCCAAACCACAAGCCTCCAGAAACTGTTGTGGAACCAGATAGTAAGCTAAAGGTCGTTGTTAAGGTGGAAAATTCCGAGGTAGATCAAGGTCTTTCGAAGTCGAGTAGTGGTTATGTCCCTAAAAGTGTGGTCATTACCGACCCCTACCTTTCTACATCAGATAAAGGTAGTAGAACTGTAGGTGCTGATTCAGAGGAGTGGACTGAAGCAAAGAAATACGAGATGCAACGGGTTCTGGGAAGACTTAAACAAATAACATTAGAACAGGTAGAAACAGCCCGCCCACAAGCTGAAATGCCATCACAAGCAAGTGCAAGTCATAGTCTATCTGAATGGGAGAGGCTAGCTAGAGAGCGATCTACCCACGAGCAAGCTATACTGAAGGAGGAGCGAGAGAATCTCGGAGTCATTCTTGGCAAACTTGATTCAACAGTGGCAATGACAGTCAAGAAAAACTTGGAGCTTTACTCCTCAGCTCTTGCACAGGTATGCCCAGGAAGATGAGGATAGCGGTAGATGATATAAGTTTCGCCTATAAGAATCACTTTTTGCGGACTGGGATTCTATATTCGAAAAATTCTTTCTTCCTGCTTCGGATCAGTTTCATGGTTCGGATGCCCACCCTCTGATGCAGATGCGTCAAGATGGAATTGAGTTGAGACGCCTTATAGATGAGGCAAGATCGAGGGCTGAGGAAGCAAGGCTACGAAGAGAGGAAGATCAGCGCGTACAAACTTTACTCGCTTCTCAAGCAGCAACCATCGTAAGTTCGTTGTGGATGAACCGATATCTATCTATTCCCAATATCCACTATACCCCACCGCTCGTGGGAATGTTCTCTTTGAGTTGTGCTTGTACTTAAGACAGCAATACAGTACAAGATCTTACAGTTAGAAGGTTTCACACTTGATATCTCGATCTGACGGTGGTTTGAAAACGTATCGTGTCATTCGTTCAGATACTAATGGGCACATAGTAATTGCTTTCGCACTCACCTCATGTGTTTGCTTTTAGATGTTAATCATGTATGGTCTGTTTCCACCTAGAGTTGATACACGCTCAGATTGTCATTATCTACATAGGCGCAAGAGTGTTACTGAAACTCGTGACGAGGAGTACTAGTTCTTCTATCCAGTACGTAAGTAAGTCTAAACCGTGATGTGTTTTGATGAAGTTGTGCTGTTTTCGTATAGCTAGCATCCTCTTAAATCTTAAAATCACAATAAGTCAATTAGAGTTGAAATTAAAGTCAACAACAGTGAGTTATGATTATTTACCTTGGCTGATAATGCTTCATTAACCACAATAGTTTAGGGTTTCGGATTTATGTGAGGCACTGAAGCCTGATATTCTGATAATCAGAGTGGTAGTGCGAATCACCTCTATTGCCGTCTGAATGACAGTAGTTCTTGAAGACTCTCTTCCACTTGCCAGCACTAGCTACCATTCACCCTCATCTACAGGAATACTATGAGAAGTAGTAGTTACTGAAATCAGACTTATAGAGAAATATCCTCTATAACTATGATATAGTAACTATTTCTCTATAATTATGATTTTCTCTTTCTAAAAATCAGACAAAACTCCAATTTATTTTAGAGTACCAATCTCACCTCCACTCCAGAGCAATCCAATACTCAAAAATTGTTATTTTAAGTTAGGGAATGTTTACCGAGAATGTGATTATTACCTCTCGATCTTGATACATAAATGTAGAATCTGTTCACAAAGTAAACAGATTCTACAGATTCCGTTGCCGGGACTTGAACCCGCTCGGGTGAGAGCCGAGTATCCTAACCAATTAGACTACAACGGAGGATGTTAATGAATTTGATAGTTCTATTAAATTGTCAGAACTATCAATAAAAAGAAATTCTTGATAAGAACACATATTCGAAAAATGACCCAAATCCGGAACTCTATACTATTATGAGTAATAATAGTATAGAGTTCCTTTAGCCGCCAAGATAGCACCAAATCTAAAGTTGATAACCAAAACTTATTTATTTTATTTTACTTCTTACTGTGACTGAAAATTGCCACATTTTATATTTGAAGATTTCTTTACAATTATTCCAAAGGGCTCTCCGTGCGGGTTACAAGGATCCTACTTCCGGTCAGGTCATAGGTTTAGACGAAGGCACTTCGCAGGGCTCGGTGCTGACAATTGATTTAATTACAATTACAAACTCCAATTTAATTGTATGTTCTATTTCCTTGTGTTCTCTTCGAAGAAAAGCCACAGGAACAGTTCCTATACCAATAACTGTGGACTCTTCACCATTTCCATTTTCATCATACTTCAACACTTTCTTTATGCTCCTTTGTGAACTTCTGAATTCTGTTCTAGCAATTGAATGGGACGTATGTTAGATGTATGAGTAGTAGTATGTGATGACTCTCCTGATGTATCCATAGCTTGCTACCATCCTCCTTACCCTCAGGTAGTCAACACTAAAATCAAAACCTTAGATAACATCCCCCACTCTGAGTTGATACCAACTCCTAATGCAACTAGAGTGCTTAACTCCACCCCCACTTTCACATCAATCGAACACTCCAATATTAGGACTATTGGCGAGATGTGCAAGTTTGATATGTATTTCTCTACAAAGAGGCATGCAATATTGAAGCTTGAGCCTGATACCCTAAACTTGAGGTGACGATGATGCGACTGATGACTGTATCCTGCTCAACCCTAACCATGACTCCGTAATCAAAGAGAAACTGACTCCGTAATCATCAATTTATCACTGCTAAAGAGATGACTCCCATAACTAATATGAGTTCTGTAAGTTGAGTCGAGGTACCAACCAGGATATCTTACTTTCTCAACCTTCCTCTCAACACTCATTTTGCCAAAATCACTCTCTTCATAATCTGATAACCTTCCTCACCCAATCTAGCTCTCTCATTCTTCTTTACCACTCTCTTGTGCGCCTGTGTTCTTGTGTTAGAAGCATCTGAGCTCTATTAAGACATCATTCTGCACTAGGAGCTGAAATGACCTCTCTCTTACCAAATGAGTAGCTCCAGGATTATGCTCCTTCCTTGTATATCAATCTTCTGTTTCCACTTCATACTTTTGTCAACAAAAAAAGCAATTTGCTTACTAAGATTATGAAGCCTATTAGCAATCGTGACTATCTTGTTATGTCATGTGTAGAGTCACATGACACTTGTTCTACGTGATGAGAATCAAGTGGTGGAATAATAGTCTCATATTTTGGAGATAGACTACTAAACAGATATCCAAGCTTGAAATGGGGAGGAATAATCAGATCTGATTCACCTAGTGTATTGCAACTTAGCTAGATGACCATATCATGATAATCAAGCTTCCCGGTAAACATCTTTGCACACATTAATTTTGCATCTGAAATCTGGATCACAGATTTCATCTTGGACTCAATATACCATGCATATGGAATATCTTCCACTGTCTCAAGATTGACTGTATTGAATGTATCTTTCAGCAGCCTCAAGGTGACAAGATGGTTGTGTTGAATCGTCTCCTCAAGAATTTGCTGAATGTTCTTGAGGGGAAAAATGTCGGACTTCCGATACCCTTACTATTTGAGAATGTTCTCTATATTCTGGGACCATATTTTGTAGTTGAGAGTGTTGAGCCTCACAACTTTGTCAATTTTTCTATTGGCCCCCAATATGGGCTCATAACCATACGTCCAAATTGTGATACTTGGTGATGAAGTTGTGGTGTTTTCTAATAGCTTGCTATATACGAGCTCTTTACTCAGGATGTGGTTTCAAAGAATGTTGTCTAGCCAGTGCAAACAGTTTGTACTCAAGTGTATCCGGTCTCCAGATTTATGAGTTAATGAAAATTCGTAAGTAATGGTATAAAATACTGTAGAGATTAAGATATGATGGGTCATACATGTTAAAGTATAGGATAGTCATCCTCGTTCAGTGCTCTAGTTTCTAATTGGATTGCTACTGCTTAAACCTATCTTTCGTCTGTTTCCACATTTGTCCCATGGTCACGTTGAACCGCTCTGATCCTTATAAGTTTCACATGCGCAGATTTCCATGGGTGCCAAAATAACTTCCTTGGAGGAAAAAGTAGTAGATTTAACGAAATATTCTGGAAAGTCGACGTTGCAGAAGAGTGTAGGTTACATTTACGAGGAAAGAGTTAGTACTCTCGAGCGGCAAAGTCTCCCAGATATATACTTGATTGGAGGACTTGGCGATCAGCTCTCGAGGTTGGAGAGTGTTATGATCTGGTCACCTGAGACGGATAAACTAAGAACTGCAGCGCCCATGCTGACCCCACGTTGCTGTGCTGGTGCCAGTGTTTTAAATGAGCACATTTATGTATTTGGAGGAGGTGATGGGAGCTCTTGGTATGACACTGGTGAGTAATTGTTGTCTTTGTGACTTGAGTTATTATGAAGAATGCCAGAATCTGTTGGATGCAAGCATTTGGTTTAACGTCCCAAAGGCGCACTTTTACAGTGGAAAAGTATGATCGTAGCTTAAATGAGTGGAGATCATGCGCATCCATGAAAACACAGCGTGGAAGCCTCGGAGGGGTCACTGTGGGAGAGAGAATATATGCTGTCGGTGGAGGAAATGGAATGGCCAGCTTTTCAGAAGTCGAATGCTTTGATCCACACCTAGCGTCATGGTTACCTTGCACATCCATGCTGGAAAAGGTGATCGAATGTGTGTCCGAAAGTTTAAGGCGTCTACTTTCTTGTACAAGTAGGAAGAATCTTTGAATATGCCTGTGGCCGTAAAGTCTAGATCCTCGAATTTTATTCTCCCATCTGCTGTTTAGCAAAGAGCCAAAGAATTGACCTTCAGTTCTTGCGGATCCCAGCGATTCTGTGTAGCGGCTGCTGAGTTAGGAGGAGTGTTATATGCTCTGGGTGGCTTTGATGGTGAACAATATCTCATGTGAGTCACAATGTAACTTCAATTTACATTTTTCGACAATCTATATATCTACTTCTTTTTTTCCTGATGCGTGGAGATGTCGTGAAGCGCTTGCATATTTGTTTATGAACGTACCGATTAAGATTTTAGTTTCAGATTGAACTGAACCGAGCGTCTTTGGTGGTCAGGTCTGTGGAGCGTTTTGATCCCCGTGAAGCTCTATGGAGTCGGTTGCCTTCAATGAGTGTGAAGCGTGGCAGTTTGTCTGCCGCTGTGCTCAATGGGAGAATGTAAATGCAACTTTCTCGGAGTATATGTATTTATACTGATCAGCTTTCATTTCTGTGACGCACCAATCTTTTTAACGTCTATAGCTTGAATCTGGATCTGATCGAGAACATTATTTACAGATACGCTCTCGGAGGGTACGATGGAGAGGGCATTTTGGATATCGTAGAAACTTTTGATCCGCGGGCTGGTCGTTGGGATCAGGTAATTATTCTGCATTTTTTGCTGATAACGTTTTCTTGTTTGTTTATATTTTATCGTTTTCAAGACAGATGTATACTTTGTCTTGGAGCATGCTTTTTAACACACTTTTTTACTGCACATACATCCTTCATTTGGATAATGGTATTAAACTTTCTTTAAAGATTCCGCAGGTTCATCATAACAGGTGGTGAGAGTTTCTTCCCTGTCCAGTGAGTGAGTGAGAGGCTTTTGCAGATGGCGTACATATCAATATATGTAGCACATTAGACACCCCAACTTGGCTTCTCTGCCCCATCTAGCTCTTGTATCTTCCGATAATTGCATATAAGAGCACACGATAAAAAGTATGAATTAGTACTGCTGCACCTTATAGTTGCACACCTGTAACAAATATCGCCAGTTCTGAAACACTATCCCAGTTGTCTAACTATCTCAATTATTTTTTAATTTTCAGGGACCTCAAATGTGTTGCCGACGAGCCTATGGAGCAGTGGCAGTTGTTGATGAAGTCCTTTACTATTTGGGAGGCCTCTCCGAAGATGAAGCAGTGGACCCTGTAAGTCCTCTTAGCATCTTGTGTGGATTGGAAGTGAATGCTTTCATAAGTTTTTGATAATTAATGTGAGACTGTGATCCATATGAATTACTTGTAGATGACATCTCTACCTCAGCAGGTAATGTGGACTCCCTCACACTTGTGAGAGCTCGCAGACACTAAATCTCAATCTGACCCTTTGATTTTGAGCGATGCTCATGAGATCAGACTTCTCAATCATGTGGGACTCACTTGCACTTGCGATAGCTTGCATCCACTCAATCTGAATCTGACCTTCAGGTAAATTTAGGTGTACTTAAGCGATTCTCTTTATAATAGAAAATTCAATGTAATACACCCCACCTTGAACCAAGCTCCAACTCGTTTTCAACTAGACTGCTATTACCACCCACACATTTCTTTAATCTTACACATGACAAATGTGATTGATACCTTAAAGGAATGATAATTGGCAATATGAACTTTTTCACTTGACTGCTTTACTAATCAAATAAGTACGGCAATCAGGCTCAAAAAATTAGAACCATGGTGTCTGGTCACACCTTAGCCACAAATTTAATTTTAAAAGCATAAACCTAAACTAAATAATTTTTCACTTTCTGTAACTCACTATCAATCTAATCTACATTTCACTGTTATTAAGCTATTGCTATGGTTTCACTTGCATTAACCACAGAGTAATCACGAGACTTCCACTTAATGAAGAAGCCTTAACAGAAACATTTTCTTAGACAATTCCTATGCTCTCTTTTGAGATTGCTTTCTCTAGCACATCAGCAGGCATGCCCACATTTGTGCAGTAAATTAGTCTAACATTGTTGTCCTCTTCTTTCTCTCCAACAAATCTTCCCCTCATAGAGATTTGATCAATATGAGGATGCTAAACAAAGTTTTTACAATGCAATAGCTCCAGTGTTATCACAATGGAGGTTTTGCACTGACAAGAATATTGATGTGTTATCACACATCAATGTTGTTGATTACCATCCAGAGCAATGAATGATAAAATCCACTCGTACTCAGCTGGTAAACAGATCAAGTTGCGTCGAACATTATCAGGAACAAACCTGTCAGTGATCATTTGAATCAGTCATTGTAAGGCTAATCCTAAGATTCTGGATTGATAGTTCAAAATAGCAGTTCAGAGCTGTTTGAAAGTATCAATTTCCCACCAAGTAACTTCAACTTGAAGAAGCACGTTACCTGCATGGCTTGTGAAGTCGCCGCTGACCTGATTCTATCCAGGAACAGAGGAGTACAGACCTACAGAACGGTTTTCATGAAGATGAAGATGGCAAGGATGAAGAGGATGTAAGGCCTTGCATTGTAAGAGGATTCATTTGCTGAGGAACTAAAAGGAACACCTGTGTATGAGGGGTGTATGTAAATGATGTGAATTATGTCTGGAGAGCTTACAGTATGAATTGTTTTGACAGCTTACAAAGAATTCATCACTAGTCTCTGTTTGTCAAACGATAGCTTTTGAGTTTCTCGCATATTTAGCGTGCATGGTCTTGTCCCCGTTGATGCCCTGTATGCACTAGCGTGACCCCCAATTCTACAGGATTATAGTGAAAGAAAGTAATAGCTTTTAAATATCTACTCTGCTTTACTTCGTTGATTTGGGTAGGCAACTCACCTTTTGTAATCCTGTAAGTTCCCTAATTAAAAGCACAGTTAAGATGGATAGTCATTTACTCTGTAGTGATTTGTCGTGGAAATTGCCAGTTCTGGCTCTGGTCGTTGGTTTTCATTGTAAGATTGCAAAACTTTCGGGCAACACCCCCGGTGACATGGAAGAAAGGGAGCCACGATCTACCTGTTAATTTACTATCCTCAGTTCGAATTCATGCACTATCCCTTCAACAGTTTTCTTCTTACCCACTAGTAACCAGATGGGAGGGAAAGTGGATAATACAAAAAGGATGAGAAGACCCATCAATGCGAACAAGGATAAAATTGGAAAGTATATTATCACCTACATTATCTATAATATACGAAATATCAAAATAAACGGTTTACAGGAGTAGCATCTTCTCTTGTATCACTTTATTCATAAACTACACCCCATGCCTCTTACGAAGTATCTGAAGTTCGATTAGTCTTTTCTTCTAATTTTGCCAGTTTTGCTGCTCATGTTGACGGTCTCTTCTATCGACACACATTTTTATTGTTGTTGTCTCATTAAGGTACTCTGAGATGCCTTTTAATGAGTTATAGGTGATCATTTAGTATTTTGCACGTCATTTCCAACAACTTAACTAAGTGGTTATCAGGAACTCCATAGCATACCACCTGTCCATTCTTCTCTATAGTACAAGAATCTACTTCAAAGTGCACATCAAAACCAGCTTGACTGAGCTTGCTGACTGATATCAGAACATACCTAACTTTCTGCAGATCCATAGTGTGTTGTTTGTCCCTGTTCACTCCCCCAACAAAGTGCAGAGAAATTGTACCTATTTCAAGGATTTGAAATTCTGCTCAATTTGCACTCTCTACATACCTCAACATCTCCTTAATGGTGATAATGTGATCATGTGAGAGCTGCATGCTGAATCTAGATACCGTCTAGGATTTCTCACCTCTCCTTCCTCATCTGCGATGCAGGTGTAATCAGTGTCAATGTCTCAAGATTCCTCAGCCAAGACTGCACTTTTTGTGGTCTTGAGGATTTTCTTTCTCTTCAATCTTGAAAGAGTTGAAGCTACTATTCTTCTTGTTCTTCCATTTTTGACACTGAAAACTCCAATTCCCTCTATCATCAAGTGTAGCAATTTCGAGTCTCTTGGCCTCTTGCTGATCCTCTTCATCTATATATCTTCTTCTTGTGAGTAGCCGCCATAGCTGCTCCCTAATCTTCCATCTCAAATCTTGTAGTATTAGTAGCCAGAGGTAGAGAAAGAGTAAGAGGCTCAAATTTCTCATGTTAGTTAACAAGATATGTGCAACTTGAAAAGAGAGTGAATGATTGAGCCTGATTCACCTAGAGAAACATAGACTCAAGTTAGCCATATGTGAAATCACACTGCCAACATCTTCAGCTTCAGACTGGACAGTAATTATCACTATACATATGAATATAACATCAGCAAAAATACTTATCTTACTTAGGTTTCAACTGAAACCTAAGTAACCCAACTGTCCCAATCATGTGGGATATCTGCAACCAGGTCCTTGTTGACATGATCCAAAATCTTCCTCACCAGCGTCTTTGTCATCATGTGTTGTAAGGTGAACATCTCATTATCTAAACTCTCATCAATGTTTGCAGGTTTTTCAAAAAGTTTCCCATAGCCATAGATCCTTAAAATCTCTTCAACCTCAAGTGTCCATTCTCTGTTATTCATAGTGTTAAGCTTCATCATCCTATCAAGCTCACCAGCCCAGTTTCATGATTTCTCATTGCCTGATAATCCCTTTGGTGTAGCCATAGCTGGCTGTAATTTACCTTACCCTTTAGATAGGCAACCCACTACTGATGTGAGACCAGCTCTAACAGATAACCTCTGAATGTGCAATCTGACTGTCCTTGATTCTTTGCAAACATATTAGCAATAATTACAGTGCTTATGGCTCAAACTTGAGCCAAATTACCTAATGGAAAACGCGATCTCTTAGAATTAGCGAACACCTCTAATGAAGAGTTGGTGGCTAATAAAAATAAGTTTTTGCCGATGGTAAAAGTTAGAGATCAATATTTAGAGAGTGAATCTTACTTCGAAATTAACAGTTTCATCAAATAATATTCTATTTCAATTGTATTTGTTCTTGGTTCAAGTAAAGTACAGGTTTATTTGCTTCTAGGCAAGTTCCATAAGTGGTGGATGACTGTTCTCTGTTCAATTTACTGTTCTTTCACTTGGATGTGGAACCAACATGTTTGGACCTTGACATAATTACCTTGAAGGTATGAACAGATAGTGATGGTATTGTTCAAATTATATTTCCCCTCTTTACTTCGTTTATCTAACTCGTAGTAACAAACAGTCTTGTTTGGTTTGCCGATCTTTCCACCCTAAAGTTGTTTTCTTGCTGCTCTTTACTCTCAGTCTTTGACGTTACCTACATTTAAAGATCATACAGGGCCACTTGATAACCTTGTACCGTTAAGTCATTGGTCTTTACTTGTGTATATTCTCTAACTAGTAATAGACAGGCCTCTGCGGACAGTGCGTGGACGTTGGTCAGTTTCTTGAGGGAAACCCTCAATAGAGAGTAGATTTCTTGGTCGCACCCCTTCAAATTTTCCGAAATACAGAGGTGGCTTGGAAAACTACGTTGCTCATTGTCTATCGACGAGTGTATTTCTTCTGTTTCCCTCGGTCAGCCAACTTTTAGTCAAGATGGAGATACTACTTAAGGAAGAGTGGAGTTACTTTAATATAGAATTTTCGATTTCTTGTTACCGAAGGATTTTTTCTTATTAATTTTGCAATAAGATCATGCATTATAGATTTATTTTACATATTATGATCTTTCGGCGATCAAATTTGGCCTTTGGATCTAATGTCTCTTATGTTGTACAATTTGCAGATACAACGGTTTTCTGAGAAACTTGGCTGGCTATCTGTCCAACCCTCCATCATGGGAAAGAGAAGTTGTCTTGCGGCAGTTGTCCTTTGACGAAGAGTACACCCCCACGGAAGGGAGGTAAATCTCAAGGACTTCAGTCATATCCGTCGTAAAAAAAAAGGTGTTTTGAAAGCATTCATTGCTTGACGTCTACCACATGACCGTGCCCATCAAACTAACTCAATATGGCGGGATTCGTAAAATGATTCACTAAGGATAGATAACTAAGCAGTGTTCTGTTGAGACGTTTTTCAAGTAGGCAAACCTCTACTGATAAAATGTGTACCACCGTGTGGCGTCCTTGTGTTACGTTGTCATCATAGCAACGATTTCAGTTTCGTGCATTGATTTATATCTGTCATATTGTGGGGTCTCTAAGGGCACGGACAAATCGTTCTAAGTACCAGGGTCTGCTTCCTTGCTTGGTTTTGCTATCCACGGAGTCTTCATTCTTTTGACGTCCACTTGAGTATACTGATTGTTGAAGGTTGCTATACTGTTGTACGCATCGTTTATTTCGTCTACAATACACGTAGAGCAATAAGGATTATTCTAAACCTTCTTGCAAAACTAGGAATCCGTCAACATTCAGGCCTATTTTACTGAAAGTTCTTAATTCCATTTGCAAACTCTCGTTAAACATAGCCTGGACGTGAACTTTCTTTCGGTACTTAGTTCAGCATGCTCGCGATTTTGTTTTTTCTATGCTATTTAGACTAGCATCGACAAAAGCTAAGCTTTATGTTATATTCTTTTCTCTTTTGTATTTATCGTGTTTTCTCAGATATTGAGTACATTATATTTTTGCATGTAGTGCCGTGTCCATGTAGGCTGTTCTGTAGGTTTGTAATCCTTTGTTCGGTACGGTATTTTTTAAAATATTATTTCATCTATGATATCTGGTCTATGTGTGTACTCTTAATTTGTCCTCCCGCCACTTCTCCGCAATTTTTTTTTTGTTGGTATGCTTCCACTTTGCATCACTTTCACTTCATATGTCTTTCATCCTTTTCTTCGACTCTGCTGAATATTATGTTTACTTTCTGTATGTCTAAGTTACAATACGTTTCTTTCCATCCATTCACATTTTTTTTAGCTGTCATTGTCATGTTTTTGTTGGGTTACCTTCTATTTCTTAGGTGTTGTCTTCATATGGCCTTAGCTGGTTGAATGATCGTGAAGGCTGATGCCTGTACAGGATGGTCGAACTCTTTTCTATTTACCAAGATACGTTCAAGACCAGCGCGAGTCTTGAAGAAGTCTTGACGCCGCAATTTGTGATTGTTTTGTTTCCCAAATGCAGTATTCGCAAGCGAGTTGGCTGTTGCATTTTAAATGTGGGAAAATAGTCCTCTCCAGGAAGCCCATACTTAAAAGTTTACAGGAGAGAGTGAGTTTAGATGTCATTCTTTTGTATTATTGGAAATTGATGTCAATCGATAAATCTGTAGAGAAAGGGATTAATTATACACAGCGCAGTTTACTGCAGCACAATAGATCAAGTTCCGTTTGATATAATTTGGGATTATTGTTCATTACTTTTCTTATAAAATCCAAAATTTATAAGACTGCTTCAGAGCAAGATTATTATGATTGATTGCGTGGAATGGGAATGGAAGTTGAAATTTTGGAAATGTCTAGAAATAAAGTTGCATATTAGTACAACCACATTGCTGTTCATTTTTCCCCGTCCCCAACCGTGAGCAGATATTACTGTTACATGTCTTGGTCATTTCAAGGAACCAAGGATCAAACACATTCCGGATTTTCCCTTACATTTTCAATGTTTGTAAATAAATTTTGGATTGGATTTTGCAATGAAATGATCGCAGTATCACTGAAACTGGTGAAAAAATTTTTCTTCATGAGATGTAGGTGAGAAATTCTTATTTTTATTTGATTCGTCACAGACCACAAGTCACGAAGAATATTCATATACCGGTGTGCATTTACTTTCAAATTTGTCTTCAATGTCACTCTGTGTAGAGAGCAGAATCATAGAGAGAATCATTCTAGAGTGACCAAACTAGAATGCAACACGGTAGTGAAGGACCTGATAGATAGATAGATAGATATCTCGACTCATGGTGTGCGCACTATATAAAAGGCACACATCACTTGCGGGAACCAGCTATCTTAACCTTTATACATAGTTAGGACTAATTATTCTAAATTAGTTCAGCTGACGGGAACTGATTAGCGTAGTTTACACAAGTCAGTGTGATAGAGTAAGTACACAACACCAGAGAGCAGAGACCCTCTATAGTTTTCTAATTTGTAATTCTTATCAATCTTAGTGGCAATGCTGAATAATTGGCCGTCGGTGCAACATAAACCACCTGCAGTTCATTATACTTCATCTTCTATGTAATGAATGGTTTTGAATTTTTCTACGTTTGATCATCCCATATACTAGGGTTGTGTGCACCATTGATTGGATCCACCGGATGCATAACGCATCATAGAAAGAAGCATTTCCAACCATATGATGTAAAAAACATCTCTACTCTAATCTTTGAGCTGCAGTGCTCTATTTCCTATCCTAAACATCTTCATTGTGATAGTTGTTTTGTATCCTAGGACAAAAGTGAACAATTCTCGTGTACATACATTAGACAAACTTTCCATGCTTAATCCCAGTTTATGTTGCAAGATACGACGATATGTTTATTGCATAATGTTTGAGAACGTTTGTAACATCTCCGTGCGAGAATAGATTCCAATCTGGCGATACAATATTGCCACGTATGGAACATATAACTAGTTTTGAGCAGGGTTTGACATTCCCCGGGAATCCCCCCGGGAATAGATAACTTACTTCCGGAACAGGGGGTGAAACAGGGGGACAACCGGAGGAATCCGCTGGTGCACTCTTGCTAAGAGGGGGCTACACCCGGAGGATTTTAATGGTTAAACCCGGGGACACCCGTTGTAAATGTCATTTTATTGAAAAAAATTTGGGAGCACTCACACGTAAATAGCGGACTCAATAGCTTTCAATCCACTGAGAACCCCCGGAAATCTTTCCCGAAAATATCCGGGCGACCCCGAGAAATCAAGAATGCTCTAGTCAAAACGTCGGGGCGTAGCCCCGGACGTTTTATGGCGCATTTCCGGGGTCACCCGGTGGTTTTGAGCCATGCCTGTCAAACCCTGGTTTTGAGTATGTTTCTACGTTTAGAATGTTGTAAAGCAATATTTGTCAAGATTCAGATTTGATAACAAATTTTTCTCATCTCAAATACAAAATTATTTAAGTAGCCCTCCTCAACTGAAAGTTACTCAATTAAGATCATGGTCAGTGATTATTTTCTTGAAACTGATCAGCAATTTAGATTTTTCAAATGCAGCAAGACCTTTGGCAATCATACTTCCCTAACACATATTACAATGTTGTGTCAAATTTTTGATTTTTTAAGTATAATTAGGCTATAACATAAAAAAAATTTAACTTCTTGATTTTCTAATACAAGTGTAGACTTTAATTAATATTCTAAAATAGAATTGAATTATATAAATATAAATGAAGAAGTGCATATTTATTTCAGACTACCATGAAAAATATGTATTATTTCTAACACGTGAAACATTTTCTGAATCAATAACTTTTTTTAAAAAAATGAGTCAAACTTTAAATACAGTTTGAAAATTATTTTTTGGCTTTAAATAAACTATAGTATAAAATCAATTAGTCAAAATAAAATTTTAAAATCACAAATTTTCAATTTAATATAAGAAAAAAATCACATATTTTATATTCTTATTCTTTTTAAATATAAAATTTTTAAAGTTTATTTGTTACATTGGTGAAGAATAGAGATTTCTATATAAATTTTTGTCATTATTTTTGAGAAAAAATCTTTCCATCATTATTCATTGCATGTCTGATGTATCAATTAGATGATGGATAATATCAACAAGCATAAATATTATGTATGTGACTGTATCAACTAACACACTTTAATTTTTACCTTTCAAATTCAACTACTAGGGATGTGAGAAATACAAAAAGTCATAACATATTACTTTCATATCACTTAATTTCATCTTTAGTGATACACATTAATAATTCTGATTTACTATAGATTATTTTCATTTTGTTTCAATTTAAAGTGTAAAATCTTGAACGCAGAAGTTATTTGATTTTTGAACTATAAAAAATGCATTGATTAGATTTTCAAGTTGATTTGTATAAAAAATTTACTTTGATTGAAATCAAGTATTTAAAAAATTTAATTTAAAAAAAAATATGATCTTAAATAGTTTTTCATCTAAATACTTTCAAGATCAAGAATTAAAAGGATTTTTTTAAAATTGTAAACTTAAAAAATCATGATACACGTTTTTATAATACAAAAAAAGAAATACGAGATTCTTTTTCATATGTGAGAAGTTTTAAAAATTGAAGATAATTTCATCAACATCTTTTAATATCAATACATTGAATAATAATCTTTAATGATTCATCAAGAATCAAATTTGATGTAGATAATCAAACATGATTTAATGTAATTTTCCTTTTGTGATTGAAGTAATTTCAAGGTTTACTTAAAATGTTTTCAACAAACCTATGGTCATTGTAGTTTAACATTCATCTTCGGGATTTAATTTAATTATGACATTCATCTTAAGCATCTATAATTTTTTTCTATGCTCTTCATGTGAAAGAAATTCATGTTAATTTTTTCACATGATTATAGAAATTAAAATTGTTTTCCAAAAAAAACTTATGAATATGTATATGCATTAATAATATATAATCAATATTCATGACAATGTTATGTTAACAACATAATGATTAAATTCATTTGTTTATTTTGTTGAATATTTATTAGCTTTAGAAAATAAGAGGATCATTAAATGTCAAGAATTTTTATTTTTTTTAATATAATATAGAATATTATATAAGATGCATCTATATAATATTTGATAAAATGATTTAGATCATATCTCTTGAAAAGTAATGTGTTTTCATTTTTTTACTTAATAATTATTTTCAAGTTGATCTTTGTTGAATGTACACATTGAAGCAAATTCATTTACAAATTTATGACTAGAAGTAATGAATATTAAAAAAAATTTATCGTGTTTGAATATATGATGTTGTTCATTGTTTAATGATTTATATTATCTCATACATCATTTTTGTTGTGATGTTTTGATACACTTGATCTATTTTGTTTTCTCATATTTATGTTTTAAAGATTTGACATATAATTCATTCATGAACAGTACTTAAATAGTTCTGGTAAATAATCATTCAAAGTTTTACCAAAGATTAAGTTGTGATTGACAAACACAATATTGTTGAGTTTAACTTTAATTAAGAAGTATCTCATATCCTAGCTTATTATAGTTAAGATGGTCGCCTTGACTTGGGATAAATATCTTGGGGTTCTCCCTGTATTGAACGTCATCCTGACAAGACTTGAAGTAGAGTGCTGAGAGTTTGGGGTGGACGTAGTCCTCTTGCTCAAGAGTGAACCACGTTATTTTTGTGTCGTTGTGTCTCTCTTGGGTTTTACCCGTACAGTTGATATCCGAGCTGGTTTCGGTTTAGACTCTGTGTTAGAGGTTGTAGCAAGAATTTTGTCACGAGATCACAGCCATAGAAGTTGACTTAACTTTAGAAAAAGGAACTGTAAAAATGCATGACAATTTTTTTGATAGAAGATGAAGTTGAAAATTCCATGACTGTCACAACGTCATAGTCGAAGTTCAAGGTTTTTTCAGGTATGGATACTGGAGTGCATGCTCTAGTTAATGTTTGCCACATCAACGCCGAGCAAGTGAGCAAGAGAAAGCCTGAAAGATGTCATTGGAGACTTGATGGTGACAAACGTGCGATGTGTGCCACTTTACTTTCATGTTTGATTTCAAGCCAGTCAACATCATGAAGCGGCAAAAGTGAGGGAAATGGCGACCTTAGACATAAATGGCCTCACAGACGCTGCGGCATAAGTTTGAAATCGTAGAAAGCATGCTTTTATTGTCACGTTCTTGCCGAAGGTGTTCATTCTGTTGACTAGAGCGTGCAGAGATGTCTGCGGATATCGCACCTTCTCTTTGAGCCTCAAACCTTATCAGGTTGTGTACCTTATCATCGAAGAGGTTTGAAAAATTGCAAGAGCTGGTGCTGCAATAGGCTACTCTGAGGTTATGTTCACTCTTGGGGACAAGCTAGAGCTTGTTTATCCGCAAGCAAAATTAGAACTTGCTGCTATGGGATATGCTTCAACGATATACTACGTTGCAGAAGCTGCAGAGTTAGTATTATAAGAAATTGGTTTGCTTCCTCACATTAAGTCATGTCAAAATGAGATAATCGAGTAAATAAGCAAGAAGAAACACACGCGCGGTTGAAAGCTTATAGGCCGCGGCCAAGCGCGAGGTCCAACGAACGAGTCTGAAGGAGTGCATGGGGAGTGGCGAAGAGTACCACATGCACATACAAAGAGTAGATTACTCACGATTTAGGTCCCGGAATGGCAAGACAGGGGGCCGCAAGGCAAGGTGCTCTCTCTCGCACAGCGCGCACTTGGCAGCTTCCCTCGTGATGGTTCCTCCGCCCCATTATGTGATTAATGATTGAGATAAACGTCGGTAAGTAGTTGTGGGGCAATTTGATTATTATGTGATCAATGATTGAGATGAACATCGGTAAGTAGTTGTGGGACAATTTGATTATTATGTGATTAATGATCAAGATGTGCACGATACAAGTTATTTATAAATCTGTGAAACACAACGATATCAAGTATTTTATCTGACAAGAGTGTGATAAAATGATTGAGTTTGTCAAGATGTATGGTAGACTCTGGTGATTAAGCTAGTCATTCTTGATGGTAAACTCTGATGATTGAGTTAGTCTAGATTGACGATAGACTCTGGTGATTAAGCTAGTCAATCTTGACGGTAAACTTTGATGATTGAGTTAGTCTAGATTGACGATAGACTCTGGTAATTGAGCTAGTCCATCTTGACGGTAAACTGTGATGATTGAGCTAGTCAATCTTGACGGTAAAATTTTGTTGATTGAGCTAGTCAAGACAGACGATAAATTTAATCTAACTAATGTGTTGGTCAAAGTTATTTTTTTGGAGAGTTTCAGACGACACTTTGCTATCATGCAGGTTGTGCATGATGAATAGAGTTAGAGTTTGCAAACATAGTATCTTCAATTATCTCTTTATATATTTACTCTATGTTGTGATGGCTACGGCTTAGTTCTTGTTAACTCTCTTGTAAAGAGTTGCCTTGTATTAGGTTTCTTTCTAATACTTTCCGCGGAGTAATTATAAAGGTTACTAGATTTCTGTTATCTCTATGCTAGATGGTTTTTAGTTATCTCTTTATATTATTACTCTATCATGTTATGGTTAGGGCTTGGTTTTGGTTTTGGTTAGCTCTTCTGTAAATAGGAGCCCTATGTTAGGTTTCTTTCTAGAACTTCACGCGGAGTAATAATGTAGGTTATAGAGGTTACTATTCCTTAACGTGACTTAAGGGGGAGATTGTTGAGTTTAACTCCAGTAAATATGTGTAATCTCGGATTCTAGCTATTTATAGTTAAGACGTTCGCCTTGATTGGAGATAAATACCTTGGGTTCTTCATGTATTGAAGGTATTTTTGACAAGACTTGGAATACAGTGCTGAGAGTTTTGGGTGGACGTAACATTCTTTCCCAAGGATGAACCACGTTATTTTTGTGTTGTTGTGTCTCTATTGGATTTTACACGTACAAATATTAGATTTGTATACACGGAAATGAAAAATATCAATCAATTGGTATGAATGTAATATGTGAATTTGTGAAAAAAAATGATATACTTCATTTGATTATATATTTTATATTTGAATGATATCATTAGGATATCAAATTAATCTATTTGAAATTTAATCTTGTGAATTTTTTTCTTTTTTATTTGTATTAAATCACATTTGATAATCAAATTCAATTCGATGAAATTTCTTGTTACGGAAAATTGATGATAAAGTAAAGCAAGTATACTATTTGAACTTTGAGTTATATCAATGCATTTCAAATCAAAATATGAAATTTATATCAATCTTCATAATTTATTTGGAGCAAATTTTAGCCTTGAATTACTTTGTACCAGAAAGAGATACTTTATTTGATCTACGGTGCAGATTTTAGTCGTTGTAATAGGTTTGATATTCATGGAGTCCACGTGAGGGATCAATTCTTTTGAAAAAGTTGTAATTAGAATATCAGACACATGATTGTTTCTGGGTGAACTGTACATTTCACCTCCTCCTCAAACTAGCTAATCCTCATGTGATATCAAACTACCCACTTCTGAAAGATAAAGTCATATCTCTGTCAAATATTTCATCAGTTTACATGTAATCCAGGTTTAGAAATGTCAACTAGATGACATCCATACAAGGGATGACGAGCTAAAAGTAAAAGTGCAATTAGAGTCAATTTCTCAGAGAAGCCAGTGTAGGCACTTCACTGTTTTTCGTAGACATCAGATACTTCAAGGTGGTAATATTCGGTGCAATACCTAGGACAAAGATCAAATCTTCACTCCCTCAAACCTACCCCGAATCAACCACGAGACATGCTACTAATATTAAAAATAAGGCATGCTATAGAACTAAGGTAACCATCTTCACTGGACCAGGGGTTATACAAACGCCGAGCACTTTTATTGCTTAGAAATATTAGAGACAAAAAATAAACACTGTTTGTTCTCAGAGTACGGGAGAGGATTCGGGAGTCCAGGGACGGGATTAGCAACCGCTGTACCGTGTAAAACAATTATAAGATGGTTATGTACATACGGAGTTCATGGGAGTCTACCGATGTCTAATGATCACGCAACATGCAGCCCGTCGATTCGACAGATTCGTAAAGAACTTCGCTCGTGCCTCGCACAGAGACAAGAAAAGCCTTGCGGATGTTTGTGCTTGCTCACACTCGTAGACCCATCTTTCCGCAAACGCCCGACTTTCGAGACTACGTACCAAAATCACTCTGGCTCCAAAGCCATACGTATGGGGAAGCAGCGAACCAGCTCGAGGCGATGGAGCAGAGTCCGTGAAAAGCTCGTCAAGCGTTTGCGTGTTCGCAAGTATTCTGAAGGTTCTGATCCAAAGAGCACAAGAGGACGCAACAGATCAGAACACGTCCCGTACGCGGTCAGGTTCGTGGTAGGACATTTATAAAGTACGTGGTAGACTCGGCAGGCATGGCATGCGTCTACTGCAGTAGAAGACTCGGGTTGGACTCGGTTTAGACTAGATGGAAATGCTGTTGGGGACGCCTCGGCCGGTGATGCCGGGCCCGGAGGTGGGCAGCAGCAACTCGTAGGGAAGAATACCGGCGCCGTTTCGGTTCCTCAGGTGGGCGTTGTTATTCCGGGCGGTGATCTCGCGGTCGATGGCCGAGACGGATTGCTGGAACCGCCGGAAGGCTTGCAGGCCGTCGGGACAGCCGAGCCACTTGGGGTGCGAGATCTGGCCGAGGTACTCCTCGTCCGGCGAGTGGGTGGACAGAGACTCGATCACGGCCATCAGAACGGTGGCCTGCAGTTGGCCGGGAAGCATGGACAGAAGGAACTGCTGCGGGTTGCTCTGGAACTCTCGCCACTCCGCCGTCCCGGGCTCGGGCACGAGCCGCCGTACGTGAGTCGGCTTGTTGGGCACGTACCCGGCGTAGGCGAACTGCCCGAAGTTGACCGCCGCGTGGAACCCCGACGCGATCCACATCATGATGGTCAGAATCCTCGTCAGATCGGCTTCGCTCTCGAGCGCGGGCCACCAGCTTTCGTCCTTCTTGTCGGCGTGGCCCGAGTACCGGATCTCGGCCCACCAGCTCAGCAGCTCGTGGTCGCTCCGGACGCTCTCGGGGTCTTTGTAGTATATGGCCACGTACTCGCGCACCCATGTCTCGAGAGCCGTCCACATCAGCAGCCCGTCCGCCGCGAACGGGTAGTCCTCGATCGCCAACCGCAGCCCGTGCGTGGCGCTGGGGTCTTCGACGGCCATTCCTCTGCACGCAGTCAAAGCCAAGCAAAGCAAGGCGCGCAGTTTCAGTCGAAGGAAGGGACCTGGACGATAACCTCGACGGAGCGAGACCCTCTCTCACCGGCTGCACCGGGTACGCACCTGTCGATCAGGTCCTCGGGCAGCCCCTGGCGATCGAACCTCCAGGACGCAGCGTAGTATGCGGAGCTGATCTCCATGGCGGCCGGGCCCGGCTGGAAGCTCTTCTCGATGACCCCATCGGCGCAGATCAGACTCTGCCTCGCGGCGGCGTTGATCTCCATCGTGTACCGGAAGTGCGGATGCAGCAGTCTGTACACGGGATGCATTATGCTCAGCTGACGATTCGTGGCGATCACGTACGGTTCCGTCGCGGCATGAGTCCTCAACCTGCTCACAGCGCGGGATTTCATAATATTATCTTCGGTCCGGCCCAACTTTCTTAATTCTTCAGTCAAGACGAGGAATCGATATCGTTCTCGAGAGGATGAGGGAATGAATGAGTCCGAGGCGAGGATCATTGTCACTGACCAGTGACTGACGAGTTGATGGAACCCCGCGTCGTTGCAGCTGACATGGGCCTTGGCCAGCTGCCATAGCCAGTGCTCGGTGGCGCTGTGGCCCGGCACGAACACCCGCTGGCTGCGATGCGGAGGTGGCAGGCACAGCTCGATCACCAGAGGCTTCAGAGTGCCCTCCGACGTTAGGAAGTAGATCGTGCGCGAAGCATAGCCGGCACGTTTCTCCAGCGAGTTGATTCCGTTGACGTATGGCATGAAAACGTCGTGGTAGTCCAGGATGAACAACCGCGCCTCCTCCAGAGCCTGCACGCATCATTATGCCCACATCGTAAATCCGATCCCAGGCACTCGCAGTGAAGTCAATTCCGAAGCAGTTTGGATTTCATTCTCCGGTAGGCAGCCGTACCTGCCTCACGGAAAGACCTTCCAGCCTGTCCGCAATATGCTCCTCCTTGATTGCCGATTCTGGTGAGCCATATACCTTCGGATCGAGCTCACTCATTGGAGGAAATACCTGCCGCATCATCGTTGTCGGCCATGCACACACCATCAGAATCTAAGCCCCGCAGACGAAATTTCTGATGTCGAAGAATTGGAGGAATCTGAGGGTTGTGTATGGGGTAATTGCTGACCTTCAGGCGCTGAATGGCACAGGGGTTCAGTCCGGCAAGAGTTTGACGTCCGAACTCGTCGTCCCGTAACCAAGCAAACCTGTCCTCTGCACGATAGAATCATTGCGGACCTTATTCCCACTGGTGCAGGACGCATGCATGATCAGCAACCAACACGAGGAGGAACTTGAGGTTGAGTTTGAGGAGGAGACGATGATCGCTCACTGGAAAGTAGCTGAGGACGAGGATATCGCAAGACGCTGGGCTGCTCAGCGCCAGCAGCAGATGTGACAGCTCGTACGATATCTGGGAGCATGCCATTCAGAGGCGTATCTTCGAGCATTCTCAGAAACTCATTCGCGTCTACCTTCTTCAGCTCGACTCCCTCGCAATACAGCCGGTCGATCTCCTCGAAGCTTTCGAATTCGTCGGAAGAACCGAAAAAATGGTCTCGCAGCTTGGGCATGGACTGGTGAACGAGTCCCCTGATTGCTGTACTGAAATAACTCTCTTGTTTCACGGCCTCGAAAGCTTCGTCTCTCGGAACGTACGGAACGACTTTTCCCTCGAGCCTGCTCTCTTTGCTGCGATCTGCACACGGTGCTGCAGCTCAGACACTCCATGGAAGGAAGGAAGGGACGGGTGTAGTCCGTGAGAAAGATCTGAGTTCAGTGCGAGGTTCGACTGAGAAGGTTTTGGACACTGACCATGTCTGGCAGGAGGCCTTCCAGTGCGACATCGACGGGGATAAGGATGTGCCTTGGAGCCGCCCAAAACCGGTCTGATGAGCTTCGCATCCTCATCGCCGTCCCCGAGATCGTTGTACACAGCGTAGTCGTACACATTCTCCCACGATTTGCGCCTTCCCTTTCCGTCACCTCGAAGAGATTTCAGATCCGCTTCGCGCAGATCTTTCAACCCTGCCGGAGTGGTGGAGGGCAAGTACGTCTACAGGTCATTCGACACGCAAGAACATTACTACCACATACGAAAACTTTGGGACCTCGTGAACGAGTCATGGGTTGCCACTGAAAATCCTCATACCTTGTTGCTGAAGAAAACTCGCTGCGCTGGATTATCTTTGAACGAGTGCATCCACGAGTTGCAGGGGAAGTGAATTGGTCCGGACTCATGACCTTGAAGACATATGGTCTCCAGAAAGAATTCGTTTTGGTGCCTGTTGATAATCACAACAGCTCCCGGAACACCGAAGGTTTTGTCAACTACAAAGTCTGCAGTATATTGCACCTTATCTGCAACCACCGCTGCTTTCTCGGCCCAGTCCTTGATTCCTGAAATCCTACTCCGCTTTCCGACCTTCGTAGCTGCAGAAAAGGAAGGAAGCATTCGCTGGCAATCAGACATCGGATCACACACTGCGTGTTCGGTTCTACTCGAGGACAAACGCATGAATCGAGCTGGGTACTAGCCCAATTCAAGTTTCGACATATTCTCACTAATTACGAGAATGTCTGCACTTTACTGAGGAGGGAAAATGAGGCCGACCTCACTGACTGCTTGGTATCAGAAGCTTTGCGGGTGGAGATCAGAGATCAACGAAGCCACCAAAGCGAGGGGAGGGAGGGGAATACCAGGGTCGACGTCCATACTGACGAGCTGCAGGCTGATGTTTTGTCCCAAGAGATCCCCGATCACGTCCATCCGATCGACCATCTGCTCATCTCTGTCAGGACGCCTCTTTTTCCTGATTGTGAGCCACGCCTGCAGTGAGACCATCGTGCTGCCGTCGAAATTGGAGCTGACTCGTGATGAGGGTCGTCCGCTGCTCCCATTCGGGCCTGACTCGAAATTTGATGTTTGATTGGTTGGCCGAACATTGCTCAGCGTAGCTCGGACGCTCCCGAATTTTCGGCTAACTGCAGCAGCAGGCGCCGGCGAGCCCTTCCCGAGAGATTTCAATGCTCCAGCTCGGGGAAAGAGAATGCTCGTAGAATTGGGACTGATTGCCGAGGCAGGGGCCCTGGAGATGTGCGCCATGCTCAGATCGACAGCTGGACCTCGCAGGCTCACCATGGATGAAAATCACTGTCCAGCAGAATTCCAGCTCCTTGAAAACGATGGAAGGTTCAGGCGTCGTTGGAGCCTGGCTGGAGTCATGCCCTGCCCTGCCCTGAGCTGCTCTGCTCTCAAGTCAGAAACTCATCCACCAGACTAAAACTAAATCCGCGAGATTTCATCGAGTTTCAGAACGTTCGGAATTGGAGATGCGTTGAGATGGACCACGGGGATGAAGAAAGGGTCACAAACGCACCCCGGCCGCCGAAAGAATGAAGACGGGCTAGGCAGACGAGGTATCCATCATCCAACTCCCGGAGCCGGCCATCGCCGAGAGAAGCATATCAGCACGCAGCCGCCTCGCGGGCACCAGAGCGCAACGAAGATCCGCTCTTCGTTGCAGAGAATGCTCGATTCATCGGGGCAGAATCGCGACCTGGTGGACCGTGTGCCTCGATGGGGCCTGCCTGGGTCGAGCATTTCGGATGACGAGCGAGAAGACCGCCCCGTCCATCAGAGTCTTCAGACTCTGCTGTGCCAGATGCGCAATGCAGCCCCACAGCGGCGCGAGTTGCCTGGAGACCGAGTCGAACACCATCGCTGATTGTCTTCGACTCACTGCTCTCGGGCTCACGAGCCATGCTCCAGCGCTGACTTGTATCTCTGACCCGCCAACCCGGTCAACTCAGCGTATTTATATATATTATATTACACTGCACACTAAAGCAACCCCGACCTTATTCCTCCGGGACGACGACCGATCCCTTCATACGCACACCTTCATGTAAATCAAGTGAACTGCGTAGCTAGTCAGGTTTTGTGTTATCTGTAGCTAGTTAGATATGGGCGCAGTAGGGAGCTGCGGTAATTAGCACTCCGCGATGGGCTTTGAGAGGAGCGAGGAAATAGCTAGACGCCACGTAGTTTACGACTTTACAGTTTATCACAATGAAGTTACGCAGTTGAGTTGGCTTGATTCACACGACGTTAGCGCAAGATCGGTGTACGTATGAAAGGCCCCGGCCCTGAGCCCGGATGGATACGGTGGGGGTGGCTTTAGTCAAAAGTGTAATTACCACCATGTTCGTAATTCCCTGGTTCTATGCTGGGCACGTCGTTCTCATGATGCACTCACTGAACAAACTCTCGTGTGCTTGACATTCCCCAGAAGAGCCTGCTGGCTGGTCTTTCAGAGGCGTAACGGAAAACATTCCTTCGTTTATCTGAATTATGGTCCCGAGATGCATGGCAACAACAAGTACTGCTGATTTATTCTCTCACCTGTTCCACTTATTCCTGCATACTAAGATGACCATTCAAGTTGAATCATTCACTTGCAGTTGAATGATTAAACTGCAAGTGAGATGCACAGTGATGACCGGGATACAGACGAGTTGAATTCAAAAAGCATCAGCTGTTTCGTCAGGAGAGGAATTTGTCCGCTCTTGAATTGTTGCATAAAATGAAACTAGATTGAACATGCATTCAAGATACAGACGAGTTGAGTTTAAAAAATAATAGCTGATTCGTCAGGAGAGGAATATTTCCGCTCTTGAATTGTTGCGTAAAATGAGACTCGATTGAACATGCATTCAAAGTTTAGATATATATATTCACTTTCAATATACTATAGTAAAACTATCAATGAACAATTTACGATTTTCATCAATAAAGTATTTTTCTCAGTTCGCATAAATGTAGCCTATTGTAGCAAATCCTGTAATTTTGTATAGGTATTTTTGGAGTTTTGGTGTGTGTTTTTGTGTTCTCCGTGTTTTCTTCACAAAGATCTCAACAATAAATATATATGGAGACTCAAATAATCTACATTATGTAGAAAAGCTGATTAGCTTTTAAAAAAATAGTGATATTCAAGTACACATTATCATCAATTACATTTTTAAGAATATAAATTTGTTTTCTTGAATTCACAAAATGAATGATATTTAGAGTTATTTACAAAATGATTATTATGGAAACAGTGTGTGAGATGTGATTTGTTTGGAAAAAAAATTAAACATATTTCATGTCAAAAGCTTGGTTTATTGTTATGCCAATAATACAAAGTTTTGTTATTTATACAAGATGTGTGCGTGTTTTTATTTTAAAATGTAATTTTTTCATGTTATCATTTGTTTATTTGTTGGGAAGTATTAGCCTTAGGACCGCATGGGTTTTCTTACACTCACAACTTTTAAGTATGAGAAGAAGTAGATGGTGAAGAAAGAAAATACTATGCGACAACTGATTTTAAAGATGTTCAATGATCTCAATTTGTGTTACTTCTCCATTTAAATCAACAATATTTTTTAATGATTTTTCTTCTTTATAGCTATAATGTACACATGTTTCAAATGAGCAAGACATTACTGCTTCATACAAAACAAATGTACAAAAAACAGTAATATTCTTTACGCATTTCTAGTACTAACTCAAAATACAAACAAAATGTATCACAAGATTCAATCATACATTATTTGATTGTATAGAACATATAGGATGAAATCAAATAAATACATATATTCATATTCAAATATTTATATTCATAAAATTAAATACCAATATTGAATAACATAAAATTGAAATTGTGTAATTTTACAAAATAGATTTAAAAATTTTCTAAGTTGAACACTTTGAAAACATCGTTTTTATTTGTGAGATACAATAACATAGTGATTTGTTTTTTAGACGTTTTCATTGTTCAAATTTGAAAAATATTAAGCTGAAGATTAAAATATCCATCACTTCACGTTATGTAAACTTTAATCATATTGTATATAAAATAATATAAGTAGTGAAAATTATTTTTTGATGAGTTTATGAAAACACACATATTTATATTCAATGAGTATGATTGATATGTATGTATGAAGAAGATGAATAAAAAAATCTTTAATCTCATTATTCTATATATTTATATAAATGAAATTTTCATTTTGGTAACAATTTTAGCATTAAATTGATGCAAACATATGAAAAAAAACCAAAATATTTACTCAAAAAAAACTATTTGAATTAGTTTAGAAGTAATTCATGGATAGATGTTTATAAAAATTTGGACAAAAATTATATGATTAAGTAAAAAAAAGTACATTCAATGTGATTGACAAGTTTAACATGATGGATACTAAAGTATTTTGAATTTTTTTGACAACAATTTCTAAATTTTTTGAAATGAAATCTTTTATGAATTCAACATGTATCATTCATCTTTGAATGCAAACTTTGACTGATTCTTGAATTTGTCAACATCAGATTGGTTCTTCAATAAAATGAGCATGTCATGCACGTAAAGTACTAGAATAATAAGATTGAAGATCTTATTATTCATTTTCTTTGTGTATACACAAGTATCATACACATTCCCTGAAAAACCTCGTGCTTTCATGAATTCATCAAATTCCACATTTCAAAGCATATGAACTTACTTCAATTCATGTAATGATTTTAGCGATCTACATCCAACTTCTCATGAACTTTTTCCTTAAAGCCAACTGGTTGATTTATGTAGATTTTTTAATCTAAAGATACATTGAGAAATATTGTAACTAAGTCCATCTGATCCATAACAATACTAAGTATTGCAGCCGGTGCACATACTAGATTAATTGTAGCATACTTTCTTACAAGTGAAATAACTTTGTTATAATCCACAACTTTCTCTTGTATGAAACTTCTAATCACCAACATGGATTTTATGATACTTATTTCGTCACCTATTAGACTCTTCTTTAGCTTCTACACTCACTTGCCATCAACCAAAGCTTGATTCCTAAGAAATTCAACTAGCTCATAGGTCTTCTTTTCAATAAGCTATTGCATTTTTTGCCTCACAGCAACAATTCATTAAATCTTATTGACAAAAGTTTAAGATTTTTTATGAGGAAGATTCTTTTTACTCCAATATCAACGCAATATCATCATCATTTTCAGTATGAATATCACAAAAATGGATAAAGCAACCCATAATCCATATTTTATAGGAGCTATATTTATCAAATTTGATGATGATATAGCAAAAGATTATCTATCTTCTGATGCAAATATTTAAGCCTCATGAACAATAACCTGCTTTCGTGCTTTCTATCTTTCAAAATTTTGCTTCATATGTATTGGAGTTTCTATTTGTGTCACATATTTAATCACATAATGATACATCTTCCCTTCAACAACATTCGCGCGTGAAGATTTTTACTTTTTTGTACGGAGAGCTTGAAAACTCTTCCCCTTTTTCAATAATCTGATCTCATCGAAAAAAACATCTCTATTCATTATAATTTTACAATTATTAATTAATAAGTTATATAATATTCACACCATTAGCATATAAAAAAAACACTTCTTGGAAGTAGAATTCCTTGGATATAAGAGTATAAACATTACAATCAAAAATTCTCAAACGATTATAATCAATTGTTTGTTTGTAACTTTATTCAAATAGTATCAAGAAATTGATTCTACTAAAAGTAAAATGATAAATCAAATACACTGCACACAATTCTCAATCCAAAATTCATATGATATATCATATTGATGCAACATTCTCTAACACTATTTTTTTAAATCTTTCATAGTTTACAATCTATTACGGAGTATAATCTGTGATGAGATGAATAGTATTTTTCTCCTTTTGTATAATAACTTCAAAACTTCTTAGAATATACTTCCTGTTATTATCCGCACATAAATATCTAACCTTGTCTCAAGTTGTTGATTTAACTTGGATTTTTCAAATTTTGAAAGTTGTAAGCATCCAAGATTTATGTGTGAGAAAATAAAATTACATAAATCTTGACTAATCATTAATAAATGATACATAGTAAAACTTCTCAAAGCATGAGACTTTAGGAAAGTGTTCCCACACGTTATATTGTACATACTCAAATAATTACTTCAAATTGTGAGTTCCAACACTTAAGACTTGAATATGATGCTTGCTTGTAATACAATATTTGCAAATTCTAAGACAACTTTATGAATACTAGGTAAAAATTTACACTCGCCTAGGAGCTACATGTACCTATCACTCATGTGTCATGATCTAGAATGCCACATATGAGACATCTTAATTTGAAATCTAGTAGTATTGACTTTTCCACAAATGGTAGTGTCCTCTAGCAAGTATAAATTGTTGTGTTTATGACATCTAAAGATTATTTTATCACAACTTTTTTCCTCAAACATTACTTTTTAGATTTCATTTAACATCCTTTGAGTCTAACATTTTGTAACACTAGGGTTTGAAGAGAAGTTCACTTGAAGATGGAAACATAAATTTTGAAGATGAGAGATACCAACAATGGTTCTACTTTTCCTTATATAGCTCTCACCAAGAAGTACAAGGAGATAAAATCTAATCCCCATCATCCATACCATTCCTCATTGATGGATGACGTGACAGATAGCCTTAACAAACGCACTGATTGCTGATCTTAACAAGCACACGGATCGCTAACGTGGCGTTGTCAACTAACACACCTACTATCTATCTACCAAGCGCGCTGATTGCTGACGTGGCAGCTATGACTAGTGCACGCTAAAGTATCTATATCAACATTTAGAGTAACCTCTACTTTAGTTCTAACTAACTAAAGATGGTTACAATTTGAAGAGATATCAAATTCATTCTCACATTAGATTTAAAACTAACCTAAGTCAATGTATCATGGAATCCATCAAATATACATCAATCCATATAAATTCAATAATTTTAAATTTACAAAGTTGATGATTTTCTATAAAAAAAATAAATAAGTCATATTAATAAAGTATTAAAAAACTTTCTAACATAATTGATGTGATAAGAACAAGCATAATCTAAAATTCATACATCACCAATAACCTTTGATGAATGACATAATGCTAGTATCATAGCCCATTTTCTAGCAAGTCATCCTCCTCATTGTCAAACTCTTGAACCACATTTGTTATTGGAGGATTAACATTTGAGTCATATTTAATATGACTCAAATTGATGCCTCAGCGTCTAAAAAGCATACAACCTGTTTGACATCTCTTTGCATAAAAATCATTGCTCAAGAGCTTTAAACGAAAGAATAATTTGCCATATTCGTTTACTTGTTTCAAGATCAAAGATTGCAAATGAAGTATGAGAATACTCATAGCTTGTTCTTGGAGGTCTTTTTTTTATTATTGTGGTTTGAGATTATTGGTCTCAACATCTTGTCAAGATCCATGACCTTCAATTTGCTCTTCATCTACCTCTTACGCAGCAGATATTCATTATGTCAATCCTATTTTATTATGTTGTATCCTGCTTGTCCAAATTTAGCTATCTTCATCTTCTTTTGACAAACATTTGAAATTGTGATTGGAAGTATTTGAGTGAAATTTTTTTCTTTTTCACTCATTTGTTAACCTAATGTCTCGCAAATCAACAAAATGTTACAAAAAAATGATTTAACAATCAACAATGATCCTTAGTTTTTTGTTCAAAGATTATTTGATCTTTGTCCAAAGGTCCTTCAATTTCCGTCAAACGGTGGTCATTCTACGTCAAATGATCAAACATCTCTGTACATTGATCATGATCTTCTGAGCTTCGGTTCCACAATCTTTTAAGAGCCTTTTCTTCTTTGCCGATGTTGTATCCAAAAGAACAATGGACAAAGATTTTTTTTGTCTCAAGCTCGGAAGAGAAAATCAGAAAGACAAAGGAAAAGACGACCAGGCTGCATTCAAGAAGATCATGGAAATTCAAGGAAAAAAAGTTCGTACAACAGCAAATCTTCTTCTTCGACAACATTGATAAAATGTAAGCATGTTGGCAAAGTAATTAAAACAACTACAATGGCACTCGCAGCAGCAAAGGCTAAGCAAGAGAAGGTTAATAAGCTAGAATCTTCCATCGGTCGGAAGCGCAAAGCTCTCTTGCCTCTTGCTAATGACATCGGGAAGCAAAAATTTTAAAAAATTGATGGTCGGTGACAAGGGCTTTACTCATAAGACAAAGATGTCTTTCACGTGGACCAACAACTTAAATATCGCTTTGTAGTATTGTGTATCATGACAAGTAAAAAAAAAAAAACATGTAAAAAGCACCAAGGAAAATCCATACTAGACAAAAGTGATCAAAGATCTAGATTCAAAAGTAGTAAGTTTGATAGAGATTTAGCTGGATGAAAAGTTTTGTCGGATGAGGAACATATAAGAAAAACTTAAGACGTGGATAATTCGTTGAGAAATTGCATGAGGAGAAGCTTTACATGTTTTGAAACAATTTATTGATATTTACAAAATATGTGTTCCGTTTGGCTAGTAGCCAAGCTATATTAGATGACGGAGACGAGGAAGGAGAATAATCTAAAGAAAAAAATGAAGTGATTATTTTAGATGTCAAAGATTCCATAGTGCTACCATTAGCTAACAGTAAAGACGAGTCATTCAAATAAGAGTAAAAATCTGACGAAGATGAAGAGCTTCAAGTTTCTCTTAAAAAAATGTGATGATTGTTGTATGTGTGAAGAACTATATAGAAGTAGTGAAGTACTTGATCATGATTAGCTTGGATATAATTAAGTCTATCTAGTTGTGAGTAGATTGAGTTACAATGTTCATATTTTGTAAAATAATTATGTAAGTTCTAGAACATCTTAGTGAGCATTAGTATTTTGTCTTTTACAAAAGTTAAGATTTCAAGAAAAAATAATTTTGACTACATATTTAATTTTGATTGGTTTGAAATTTGGAAAAATATTTCACTAATTAGATTAAGTATTAAGTTGACTTAGTGATAAATGGAAGTTATAGAACTTTGAAAATCTCAAATGTCATGTTGTCATCTCATCCTAGGGGTTATTAAGTTTCTAGATTGTTTAGATAGACGAATCATATGTTGTCACGTATTGAAAACTAGTTAAACTACATTGGTTTATCCAAGTAAAAGTAAATTATGATATAATTATCATATGTTACTGAGATAATTTTTTTATTTGTATATGTAGAGAGTTAAAGAAGAAACTTCCGAACAAGTTTGAAAAATTGTGTAAAGACTTGTTTTGTCAATATAAGTTTCAGTTACACTATCTTTTTTGGAATATCGATTAGTGTTTGTGATTGAATGATGAATGGAGAATTTGTGTGAATAGGTGTTTGGAACACAAGCGAATTGAAACATCATTCACTTCTAGTGAGAGTGAGACCAAGAGTTTACATAACACAAACATTATGTTCAAGGTGACAAGTACATTTGTCGTTCTAAGTAGTCTAGTAGAAAGATCAAACATCAAAATTTCTTATCTAAGTGCATCAACTAACTGTCATCGAGAGTATAAGTTACTAACTTGAATCATTGCTAACACATGTGTGGATTGCATAATTTTTTTTTTAAATTTTAGAAAATTAATTTTGTTCATATTTTTAAATTATTTACAGCCTATATGAGATAAATTGTTAAAAAATAAGTGTATTTTAGATATGGAAAAAATACATAAATACATATGCATATGTAATTTTGATCTAGTGTAATAATTTTAGTAGTAATAATTTGATTTGATGATCAATGAATAAAAAAAAATAAAAAAAATAAAAAAAATATTTAATAAATTTATTACAATCCTTCATATATAAATAAATAAATTTAGTTAATTTTTATTCATTAAATAAGAATAAATTAAATAAAAAGATGAATATAAAAAATCAATTAATATTATATTTCTGAAAGTTCTACATTTAAACTGTAATTTCTATATATAAAATTAAAACTTTTCAACGTTTTTCCATAATTGTGTACTTTTGAATTTACAAAATGAAAATTTTGCATGTATAAGATTTTAACTAAAATGTTAATAATAATTTAATAACTTTAATTTGAAAAAAATAATTTGAAATTTTAACTTTAATTTGAAATCAAATAGTTTATTATTTGTTGGTATTCAGGAGCATTAAAATTTAGCATCAATTTTATGCTTGAAAATTGTAAATGTTTCAATTTACAAATGTAACATTTCTTTAAAAAAAAGAGAGATTCACTAAGTTGTGGTAATGATTTTAAGTAACTAAGTATATGTTTTTTTTAGTGGGATTATCTTCAATTTCATGGATAGTGAGCATTTGAAAAGTAGACTTTTTCTCAAAAATAAATTGTGCGACATGCAAAACTTGACAGTTTGAATTAAAAAATTCCCGAAATAATCACTTAGTCCAAAAATATTGGGATTTATTTTACATTTGTAAATTTTTCAATATATGTGAAATATATAAATCACAATTTTTACTATAAATCATCACAAGTATTATCCTTTTGTTGTAGGTTACAAGGGACACAGGAAGTAATTTTTAAACACAGCACGTTCTTGGATATCCACCAGCGAAGAGGAGTACATACTTTATCCAAGCTCTAGGTCTTGTCTGGTCGTTGTACATTTGACATAAGTAGCCAGTCAAAAAACAAAGCAGTTGACTCTTTCGTAACTATGCTCTCATGTTCATCCCTGTTTTGTCTTCCTAACTCTACTGAGAATCGAATCTTACTTCAAACGATTTAATATCGCAGAATTTAGTCCATGAATACGCTATCTTTTCAAAGAGTAAACTATGAAGCACATGTCTTCAAATTGCTTTGCCAACAATCTATCGTGTCAATAAAAGTGCAACAGTTGTATCTTTTGAGCCAAATATTTGAGCTCTGTGTCGAATTTCATACCAAATCCCAAGAGTTTATTTCGTTTTCTAAGATATTTTCCACTTTCTTCTCTAGATTTCAAGAGTCTGTCGATTGTGACGTTCTTGGATTTCCCCTCTCTCTACGTACCCGTCTTTCCTTAAGTTCAATTCTGGCCTTCGGCTTTTGAAACACACGCTAGTTCAACGTGTGTCGTCAACGATCACTGGAGCACTCTGATAAGGCTGTATCAGTATGCATACATATAGTTATAGGTCGAAAGGAGCAGCTCGGGGTAAAGCCTGCGTAGGGCATCACATACGAACTATAGCAGCAACTTAATGATGGAAGAGCCCATGCAATCCCATGAGTAAAGGTAGGAAAGCAGACATAACCTCATCCTCCGGGGCCTCGGAAACATTGTAGGCGAAGGAAGAAGCAAGCTCTGTGATCCGCACAAATATGTTGCATCTCTCTGTGTCGATATCAACACACGATTCCACTCTGGATGCCGCGTCAGCAGCCAAATCACTCTTGCATGCCACGTCAACGTCGTGACAATAGTCGCAAGGTACGAAACCTCAAAGAGGGCTGATGAAGGGATGGAACTACGGGACAGAGGTCAGTGGCGGCACTCTCGTGAGTCCGTCGAGCTCCGTGAACAGCAGACCAGCGACAGAAGCGGGGACGTACTGTTGCCGGTCACCTCATTGATTTGAGAAAGGACGCCGTCGTTTCTCCAGCGCATATCTGCCGGGACCGGCGGCGGCAGACGTAAGGTGACCGATTGGGTGCGGTCGACCGCTCAGCTCAGTCCGTGGGAGACCGACGGACACCGTGAGGCGGGCGAGAGAGTTTTGAACGAGGGGGAGGGCATGGCATGGCAGCGGGTGATGGTGCACATTCGGGAATCCGAATCCGCTCGTGGGGAGGCCTTCTGTCGATCGCATTCGCGTGGCAGACGGGCAGAATTGTGAAGCAGATTTTCGGAGCTTCGTGTGGCGGACGGGAGGAGTTTAATGGCTGCTGCCGCTACCGGCGGAGTGCGGGTAGCTGCTGTTGCTTGGAGGGCTTCGTTTGGTGATCGCGCCAGCAGCAGCAGCAGCAGCAGCTCGTCGTCGGAGTTGTTGCTGTGCGGAACGAGTTTGCTCGGCAATTCGAGAGCGGGAGGAGGAGTAGGAGGAGGAAGACGCAGCAAATGCTGCACTTCTTTGAGTCGGGATTTCTCGTCCAGGGGATGGGGAAAACCTGCTGCCCGCAAGTTTGGTGCACCTCCGGCTCTTGCTGCAGCCCGTCAAGGTGACAGCGAAGCCGAGACAGAGCGGAGCACCACAAGAAGGGCTGCATCGGCCGAGCGAAGTGAGAGCTGCAATGAAGAGCTCTTGCTTTTCCTCTTCCAGTTGGATCTCTCCACCAGACTACAGGTTGGTTAATTGCCTCACGAGTAGAAAACAATTCCGGAACTTGGGCAGTGGATTGGCATCGTCATAAAGTTTTAAGAGGGTCCGAGACGTCGTTGCCACCTTTATATCCATGGCCATTTTTCTTTGTGGCCCGGTATATTCTCAAAATTGGTTTATGTGAGCTGAATATGGCATTCGACGCGAGGAAGAAGGTATGGCTGGTTGTTCAGGATGTCGCGAAAATGTATTTTCGGATCAAATTTGCAGTTTGGTCTAGTATTCTCGAGCGGGTTTGTCCGCCTGAAACAATCTCAATTTTAGACAATTCAGAGTCCTACAGCCACGCCACCATCACCATACGAACGTGCATCTGTTACCAAGTGATGGTGCTCGGAGCCTGTCGTAATGAAAGCTTGCATGCCATTTAATTGCTTCAATGTTTGACAATGCCTAACTTTCAAGGACATAGGTCCAGATTCGTTGAGGAGGTACAGATTCTTCTGCCCGAGGACCCCCTTTAGAACTTTCACAATTGTCACGAAGTTCTGAGATCAGCAGCTGCCATCCTTTAGGGGGTTTCAACATTCATGGAAGGAAATGTGCCTTGTGCTAAACCCATCTTACGCCTTGTCTGACCGATTTTATTTTATTTTTCGTCCTGTAGCGAGCGTTGAACAATGAGCAGTATGAAGCAGCCCAGCAACTTCGGGAAAAGATAGCAGAGGTACGATCCGCTTTCAGTCTTTCGTCGACTAGTCTTCTGTGATCGTTTGCACAGCGTGAACACTCAACAACTAGAGCTCGCTATATCATATGGAAGCTCTACAGAGATGAACGGGCTTAATTGTACTAGTGTTCACGCAGAGGATTAAACTGAGCTTCGTAATTTCGCACACTAAAATTTGTCACACGTAATTTTCTTCATCTCGACTGCAAAAGTTGGATTGTTCTTCCAAGTGTTTGAGGGTTTAAGGGTGATCACTTGCAGGTCGAACAGGAAGTTGCGCGACAGCGTGAAGCAAAGATGGGATCAGTATCCTCGAAAGATGAAGCGCAAGACGCTGCTCTTACTGTTTTGCGACTCAAGTATGTTGGATTTCTCCTTATCTTAACCGGAAAGGATCAGTAAGAGTTACCAACGAGCTTTGTTCTGTCGTGTTGGGAAATTATGATTCAGCAACACGACACTTAATTTCCTGTGCAGCAGGCCCTCAGAGCCCTTGCTCATATACGAAAACTCTGTCTTGGAGTCTGGAGAAATTCGTTCATAAGATTCTCCAGTTTTCCTTCTGCATAGAAGTGACTCTGGATGACCTTCACAAACAAACTCTCGTATTTTAGCCTCACAGTGCTTCAGTTATCCACTTTCCCCCTTGTCAATCGTAAGATCCACAAACATGCATGAACAATCAACGCAGAGTTTTACCTAGAGCAACTTGGATGTTTCTGAAACTCAGACTTCGTCGTGGGCTTCAGGGCTGACCTGCAAAGAGCTATAGAAGGCGAGGATTACTCGGGAGCAGCTAGAATCCGTGACCAGATTTCGAAGCTTGAGGTACACCAATGAAGTACAGAGTGGAATGTATTTGAAATGCGTATCTGCTATGTAATCCACTGCATTTGAACTTTGTTAATGAATTCTCTATTTCTATTTCTAATTCTAACGATTCTCTATTTTCACTGCGTTTCAACTAGTCTGAGATTTATCTGACCAATTTTCGATTCTCATTTTTCTCGTGCCATTTAAAAGTTTAAGTTAATGAGTTTATCTATCCTGTGTTCGCTGCAGTCAGATTCTCTAGCTGCCTCTGCAAGAGCTCTAGTTTACCAGAATTTGAAGTACAAGTTTCGACTAGGTCAACGTGTAAAGCACGAAGTTTATGGTAAACCCACGGTTCCACAACTAGAATGGATGTTTTTTTTCAAGCTTTTGGTTTCAGTTTGAGTCCTTTTGACCTCCTGGGCTTAACAGCTACCAGTTTCATGGTACAAGCAATGCCGCGAGGCTCTCGCAATGCATCTTTTATAACCTGGGGTGTAATGTTTCTTCTAGGATATCAAGGAATTATCAGTGGAATGGATCCAAGATGCTGTGAATCAGAAGAATGGGCGGAAGTTGCTGGTGTGAACCAGCTTACTCGCGGAAAGAATCAACCGTTCTATCAGGTATGTTGGGTGCAGTCAAGACATGCGTTAGTACTGCGGGTGGTTTCCACTTAAGGGCTCAGAATTTAAGTAGATACTGTGAACCAAGTCAAGTCCCGCGAGTTTCTGCATTATACCGTGGGTCCTTACGTGAAGTGCCTTAGTTGCCCTGAGATAAAATAGGACCGCGCAGATACTCGGCCAATCAGTAAAGGCGCTTCATTCGTGATTACTTACGACTAATGGAGTAACAGATTTGTGTCATTTCACTCGGATTAAGCTTTTCTATTGGAACTGACCAGGTATTGGTGGATGTGCATGAAGAACCTTCCTTGCTGGTTGCTTATGGTAAGCTCTTCTTGCACCAGGGCAAAGAACACATGTTTTACGCTCCCATACTTACTGGACAGTATATGATTTTCTGATGATAAATTGCCATTAGTTCATACATCTGGATAAATAAGGATTCGTGTTGTCTGCCAATTTCTCGCCCTGACAGAACCTTATGTCTTCTGTCTTTGCTGACCTTTGCAGTCGCTGAAGACAGTCTTTCAATCCCAGAACAGGAAGAAGTCGTAAGTACTCCTTTCTCTTTTCTAGGAGTCTCAACGGGCGCATATCGATGACGATTAAAATAGTATCGGAATTATCGAGCTATGAACGAAGTAGTCTTGAAGAAGAGAGTGACATCTATGAATGACAGAATACACATCCTCAATTTAATCGTGGCTGTACTCACTTGATGCTGCTGTTGCCTTCAGGGACGGTTTGATCATCCGTACACCTACTTTCTCTTCTACGGAATGGACAGTATAGGAGACTTCATTCCATCTAAGCAGTTACGGGAGAAGTACAATGCTCCTCGTCATGAGCTACCATATGATGAAGATAGTGATTCTTCGTCTGGCAGTGACCGTTGACATTGAATAAATCTGTGATCTACTTCATTCCAGTGTAAAGGAATACAGTAGTCAGTCTATCGGAAGTCAATCTGTCAATAGGCGGTGTTGCTGGGAGGTTTTGTAAAGCTTGCAGCGTTCCGATCCTCCAAAGGAGAGGGAATCTCCCTGTAAGATATGGAATCAGAGATAGGCCATCACGTACAAGCCGTTAGCACTGAAATAAATGCCCAGTCGAGATCATCAGCCAGAACTAATCAAAACTTGTGATGTACAAGCTCAAAATGTTTAGTCTGAAGAAATTTTTGCTGTCATTTGCTTGAGTGTTTTGGACATCGAAAGTCTCGTTCATCTTTCATTTCAGGGATTGACCTTTGGGGTCTTTTCCCTAGTTTGAGTTTTTCGCTTGTATTGTGTTTTTCAGCCTTTCCACCCTTTGGGTCCCTCGGGCTTGGTCTATTACCATTTACCATTCATCTCGTTCTAAGGTTGCTAGGGTGAAGATACCAATGCCGTTTGGTAATTGTCAGGATTGCCTGTCTTCCTGAACTCAGATTAAATTTTTATGCAGATGGTGCGTGAAGGACAATTTCATGTCAAACCTTCACCGGTATCGTGTTTGAAGATACGCAGATGTGTATCTGATTTTCCTACATCCATGGGCGACCTATCGGTTGCTAGGATAGCATTTATGTCATAGGACCTAAAAAACCTGAGCCTGAAGAAATTGTTCAGTTTTCTCTATTCAAGCTAATATATCCGAGGTATCTTTCTAACGTGCATATTTTCTTATGTTTTCAAATCTATCATACTTGTATCTTAAGATGAATTTTACTGCAATAAATTCAGACCGGAACATGCTCATATTGTTTTCTGATATCCAGTAGTCTAAATGTCTAATTTGCTGTGAAGTTCAATCTATACTCACGTTAAAAGATTCATTGATTCTGGACAGAAATTTATGTTTTGAATAGTTCAATCAAACTACTGGGGCAAGAATAAACGTCAGATCGTATTCGATCTTTGTGTTATTGTTTGAGTGTTTTATCTGAATATTATTATTCAATTAATCTGTACATTTTAAATATAGATAGAATAAACAATGTACATCTTATATACATCTTTAATAAGCATTGAAATCTGTACATTTTTTATTTCTAAGTAGTACGTATAGAAATAGAAAAAATAGAAGTATAATGATTATTAGAGCTAATGAGGAATTGTTGAATACAAATTGTAATAGCTTCGAATCTACAAAGTAAGTCCATAGCCGGGTGACTCTTACGTACGATCATATGTAAACTCGTGCGCCAAAATTATTTTCCAAGTAGGGACGTTTACGTCAAGGTTAGCGTTTAAAAGAAATATTTAGTTTATTGATAAAAAGAGTAACTACAATATTGATAGGTTCGTAGATTTGACTTGGTCTGTGGATCATAATCGTTTCATATGTTACTAAGATTTTACCTTTTGTTATCGTAAAGCAATCCTGGATGAAGAAACAAAGTACTTTCTTTAACTCAATGTAACGTAAGCTGAAAAGATGTCGGTTTCTGATTTATCTTCTAAAATGTGCATTTTTGTTACCTTAGTAAAGTTGTACATTAAGGATTAAAACTACCTTTTTCTACTCAATCTATTTGGTAATATATTTAGATGTTCAATCAGAGTATGTGCGATTTAAGATATGTTTCAATCTCACAACTAATGGAGAAAAAAAGAATTCAAGATAACCAGGAAAACATAAATCCAATCAGCACATTCATTACGAAGCATAGGAAAGGATTTGTGAGATCCTTGCCCCATAACTTATATATGTTATATTACTGCATCTGCCCATCTTTACCGATCTCATCCTCTGTCTCTAACATACCTTAAACTCAACAGATACATAATCATCAAATATAATATTTATTGCCGAAAATGTGGAAAGTCTACTCTATATGTTTCTCATGAAGTCTTGAATTCATTACAAATGTGTTGTGTAAGTTTGGTTTGGTTCGGAAAAATTAAAATTTTTGTATATTTCCAGGCGTGATAGTTATGCTTAGAATATAGTGACACATTTCCCCATGTATATGATATGAACAGGTGTTCTGAATATGTGCGTTCGAAACTGCACGATGTGCCGTTCTAGCTGCAAATTTATTGAAAGGTTCAAGAAACTAAGAACAAAGCCTTGAAAATACATTTTTACCCAATATTATTCAACTGATTATATCAATGTTTACGATGCCTCACGCTAATGTTCTATCTCATGAAATATTTTGTACATTGCATTCGTTGTAATGCATCTCTTTTATAGAGTAAGGTACTGGGGCTTTCAGTACAATACGATGGAAGTGATATGGATACGAAGTGTCTAAAACAAAACCCGATGCTTTTTACGTTTTATGAGAAATTCTTTCCCCACTGTCGGGCTAGAGATACGATGGAGGTTCTTTCAAGGAGAAGACTGAAAGAACTAAACCAGAAGTGAATCGACATGAAAGGAACAGAAATCCAGAAAGATTTCAAAAGGAACCGATGACTCGCCTTCCCTCTGGGATGAGAGACTTTAATGAAAAATGTACATTGATGAATTTAACAAATTACTACTCGAGACTCTGAATATACAACTGCTTATATGTTTCTGGACAGACGCACTTTCACCCTGACAGTTCGACTCGCTCCTTAAAGGTCGTATTTGATTTCCATTCGTGTCATTCAGTAAGACTTTGCTAATCATAATACGTTACTCTGTACAATTCTCAATACTGTACATTCATCTAACTGAATTCTAATTTGAGTTCACCGTTAGCATCAAGTGAAGGACCTGCGAAAATGACGCCATAATCTCCAGCTAAATTTTGGGCTATCTTCAAATCTTGCCCGCTCGTCAGAGGAGGATCACCTGGAGCTGAGGAGTTCATCACAGGGACCCCGATTCGAGTGAACCACTTCTCGAACCCTGATGGAGCAAATGTGAGCAGCATCTGCGCAGGTTTGTCAAAATTGTTGGCAAATGTATGAGCGACGTAGGGAGGTAGATGCATGAATGATCCTTTGCGGGCGTGAAATGTCTGACGGCCAACTGTCCATATCATCTCGCCGTCAAGCAAGTACCAAGTCTCGGCTTCATGTGTATGAATGTGCAGCGGTGGTGCCACTCCTGGACTTACAGTGTTTTCGAAACAAGCATAAGAACCTCTTGTTTGATCTCCAAAAACCTTCATCGTTACAAGGATTCCGAAAACCCAAAAACTCCGTCCTTCGCCTGCACACAGAGCAAATTTGGATGTTCAATCTCTAGTCTTGCTGAAACAGCACACGACAGTAGAATATAGATCTGCCTGTGGTGAACAAGACTGCCGAGAGCTATTCGGCAGAGCTCCAAGAAAAGTACATCGGATTCGGAACGCAACTATCAATTTCCGACAAAACCATGTGCAGAACTTTTCCTGAAGCCCATTTTGGAAATTTGAAGGACAACAAACATTTCCACGTTCGAACTAATTACCTGCACCGACCATGGCCACGTAAGGTGCGGTGACGGCAGAAAATTGGTCACCAATGTAGGAGACCTGGTCCATGTTTTTTATCGCTAAATTCAGTCCTGTTGGGATGATGATTGTCAACGTTGTTCCCTGAATCTGTAGCTACAACACAATCGCTTCACTATCAACTGCTTGTCTCTCTGATTCTCTGAAAATCTATAATTCTGGAAAATCCCGTCCATGCATCTCCAGATCTGCATAACAGATGACACAGGACAGTTGCTCCAAATTAATCTCAAATTTAAGAAAAGCTCAACAGATTCTAACAGCATGAATAGGGGGAGATGCTGAGAATTCTGAATACTGAATCTCACCTCAATTCCGTCAAATTCTTAATTCTGAACAGATTGGATACGAAGTCACTCTTGCCCTCTCACCTCGGGAACCCAACATCAGGGGGCTAAAACCAACACCGCAAGCACACCGACAAGCAAGGGGCAAACTTTGACAACGGAGCCTGAAATGTTGACAAATTTTCAACGCATCTAATGCCAAAGATTCGGATTCGGTCAGGCCTCGAGACATTCCCAACTATTAAGTACTACAATACGCACGAAATTTCACTTGCTGCACCAAAAAACAAGGTCGAGCTCTCCGCGGCATCATCCACCAGACGAAAGCTCATCGGCCGCACCGCAATGTTCTTCGCATGCGTCGAAGCACTTTCGAAATCAAATCGGCGAGAGGAGACGAAACGGATCACAATTTCGAGTGCCGATCGTTCTGAAGCTGATGAGACTTTGCATCCATCGCTCGCACTTGTGACACGAGCCCTGCTGCCACTTGGCTCGTGCACCGCCTCTCTCCATGCTCTGCAACTCCGCTCGACTCGATTCATTGTATAAACTGACGACAATCAGCAACTCTTGAGACTCGCGCTAACCATATAATTAGTGCAGCTGCATTAGACTAATCATTCTTGTCAAAGAGAAGGTATGAGACAAAAAAATACAATCCTCCGGTTGACATGAGATACACCAAAACTCTGCTACATTGCTTATGTTATTGATTTAAAATGGTCCCTTGGTCGCATTGATGGACTAGGAATTTGATTTTTATATGACTGGCGATGGATACATGCTCGTGTGATTTCATACTAGTGTAGATCTTCTTTATCAAATGTAATTTTGTATAAGAAGGCGAGATTTAAGAATTTTTTATATATTGTTGATATAAAGAGAATTTGAATACTTTGAACCTCGAAGCGAAATGACTGTGTGTTTATAAAACTTATTTTCGGTTCTTTCCATACTGAAATAAGGCTACTTTAAATGCTAAATATTCGTTTAAAATCGTCAAAATGAACTATACTGTATGCATCATAAGCTTGTTATTCATTAAACAGCTTCTAACGGCTGGATCGATCAATTCGATGCTAAATGAAAATCCTCGATGACAATCCCAAAATTAATTCAAGTAAAAATATATGAGATAAATTTGGAGTTAGACTGACCTGATCGGTAATGATGGTGATACTGAGAATGGAGATTGTTCAAAAGAAATGTCGAATGTAGAAATCAAGGCGTAATATATGTCACATAATGGACAGAGAAAGCAATGATTCGGGGAGCTCTGCCTGCTCTTCTCTGGGATGACGGTCACGTGAGATAACCGGATAAGAAAGACGATGTCGTGGCAGGGCACGCACGCGGGCCCCGGGACCGAACCGGTGGAGTCTCGAGTGCCGGTCTCCGCCGTCCCCTTCCGGTCACGACTGGCACCGGGAGCTATGGGGAGCATGGCTGCGGACGACGACGACGACGACGAAGAGCGAGCACAAGGAGAAGGATTGCGAGGAAGAGAAGTGTTCCTGCAGGAGGAGGAGCTGCAGTGAACGATGGCGACGATGCTGCAATTTCGGCACTCGGCGTGTCTCCAGCAGCGGAGCACGGTCGTCTCATCGTTTGCTCCGGGTTCCTCCTTGCAGCTGGCACGGCATAAGAATTCGAGGCCGAAATTTCGGCTCCTTCGGTTTCCAAGCAATGCGGCATGTGTCTCTCGCAAGAGGCATCGTTGCTTGAGAATTCGTAGTGCTGGCAAGTCGGACTCCGACACCATTGCCTCGGAAAATGCTTCTTCGGCAGCCACAGCCAAGGAAGCTGTCGAACTAGGCCTCGCGCAATTCGCCAAAGGCAGGGTACTACTCCGATTCCCATGGTGTACGCAGGAAGCGCAGAGTCTACTCGTCCAGGAGTCATGTTCTCTCAGATATATAAGATTCAGGCTAAAAATTTCCAATAGCTCGGAGAATTCGACGTTTTAAAAGTGGGACTTGTTATTTCTGTCTGTTGAATCGAGCTTCATTCAGAGGAAAGGGCCGAATTTTCTCTTCATTCTTTCCCCTGAAGCTCAGATGGATATGGCATGTTTATTCATCAGCTGAAGAAGGATGGACTTTGTCCTACAGGTGAAGGAAGCATTGGATCACTTTAATGCAGCTTTGAAATTGAATCCTGCTCCAGAGGAAGCTCAAGCTGCTCTATACAACAAGGCTTGCTGTCATGCCGTGAGGTCAGCTTCTCCACCTTCCGAATTGGTTTTAGTTCAACAAGGAACATTCATAGGAAATGTATGGCGTTCTGTAACTGGCAACAATACATCTGATTGTAGGACTAGGTATTTTACTCTGATGGAGGGTTTCGTCATTAACCAACACCTTAATTTCTCAACCGTATCCACTCGATCTTCAGGGAACGCGATCCACTCCGTCAGACCCCTGACTATGGAATCTTCTGTGGTTACTTCGTGATTTGTCACTCAGTTGTCTCATCGAGTAAGGCAATGCATGCAGGATGGCAATCCCGACGCTCGCTCTTGATGCGCTCCTCTTCCCTTTGCTTCTGCTTACTTCCACAGAGTTGGATGTGTATCCTGATTCTATAGGCTCTTCTTTCTTGGTACAGAGGGGAGGGAACCCTGGCTGCACAAGCACTGCGCAAGGCACTTAAGGAGCATGATCTCAAGTTTAGTGTCATTTTGAACGACCCTGATATGGCGGCGTTTCGAGCAATGCCAGAATTCAAAGAACTACAAGATGAGGTCTAAAACATATTTGAAGTTTTCAGTTGTCCTGTATCGAGTCTTTTTCCGCAATCTGCATGTTCATCTGATTTCTCGAGTCTTCAGCTCTAAAACTTGCGTTTGCAGTGGTACACGGTTGCCTGCAATCAAAGTTTGATAAGGACTTCGTTTGAAGAAATGCCTAGATGCATTCACTAAGATCAATTATGATTGGGTAGATTGTTTGTTTGTGGGTTTGTTTCGAGAAGATTCTTGACACAGTGAATCTGTTGCTGATCTGTTAGTTCAGGCAAGGAAAGGGGGAGAAGCAATCGGTAATAGCTTCAGAAGGGATTTGAAGCTTATTAGTGAAGTTCAAGCTCCTTTCAGAGGTGTACGGAAGTTCTTTTACGTGGCTTTTTCTCTGGCTGCGGGTATTTCAACGCTCTTCACCTTGCCACGCCTCATTTTGGCCATCCAAGGCGGTGATGGAGCTCCTGGTATCCCGGAAACAGCTCAGAATCTAGCAATCAATTTAGGAGGTAAAACTTCTTAGACTCTGAAGTGATGATATAGTTTCTCTCCGTTTTTTCATTTCCTCAAAGTCATTCACAGAGATCGTTCTTACCTTTTTCTAAATTTCACAATCGTTGACACCACATCCTCTGGCACACTCTCAGTGAATGAGTTGTATTTGTATCTGACTATCTCAATCTATCTCTTCTTATGTGTTTATTCTTTGGATAGGGATCGCTGCTTTCGTGGCACTCTACATTTGGGATAATAAAAAGGAAGAGGAGCAAATATCACGAATATCTAGAGATGAAACCCTATCAAGACTGGCAGTCCAGCTTCAAAGTAATCGCATTGTGGAGCTAACTCAGCTACGACAAAGCACCCGGCCGGTAATTTTCGGCTTCCTGAAAGAAGGCTCCGGGTGTTTTGTCAATCACGTTTGCCAATCTGTGGAAGGACTTAAATCTGACTTATTCTTATATATGACGTAACGATCTTTCAGCTGTTCAAGAGAGACCCCAGTTTTTTGAGGTCAGTAAATAGTATGTGAATGATGTTTGTATATTATGCCTCATTTTTGCAACTTTGCATTACCCGTGAAATTGAGTCAACGTTGATCCAGGTTATTATTGCTGGTTCGAAAGAGACTGTAGCAAAAGCAGTCCAAAAGGCTGCTAGGTATAGAGACGATCTCTTGAAGAGAGGTGTGCTAGTGGTTCCCATAGTATGGGGTGGTGACAAAGAAGATCCTATGCTCAAGAAGCGCGGTTTTGGAGCTGTGCAAAAGCCAACAACGTCCAATGCTATACCCGCTGGAGTATGTCTTTCCGACCATTCCAAGGACTCCTGGTTTCCGTCGAAATTCTGATAGTCTTTCCATACTTTTCCTTCAGTTTGGACTTCTTTCGTTATTTCCCCATTGTGAGCAAGGGTCAGTTGCTTCATAGCTCACTCCCTCCCACCAGTAAGTTGTGGGCTGAGGTCCTTTCACCTGGTTTCTGCAGGATGACTTCGAAAAGAAGGCTGAGGATGTTGCCGCCAAAGCAGTAATTCAAGCAGAGAGAAGGTTCAAAGCCGAGGCCGTTTCTCCTGGGGAGTGGGAAAGGTATGTACTTGACTACATTGGGTCACATGCTGTTAGAATCTGCTTCACTTGGTCCAGTGATTTTCAGATGGAGGACCTCACAATTGGTCACTTTGTATCTTCAGATTATTCCATGAGAGAAAATACGCTGTTGCAAACCTTCTGAAGACATTCGTTTGAGACACGTCTAGAATCGTTCATTACTTCTCTCGAGTAGTTTTATCTCTTATCTCTATATTCTGCTTGTGGAAACTGCAACAGATGGATTCGGGACCAACAAGCATCGGAGGGCGTAACTCCTGGTGAGGATGTGTACATAGTACTACGACTTGATGGACGTGTTCGAAAATCTGGCCGGGTAAGTTTGTTGTTTATTGATATCAAAGTCCAGAGGCTGAAACAGTTCGGTGGTAGATTCAATCTCTTCTCTCTTCCTTCCTCCGTCTGTCTCTGTCAGGCAGTATGGTGTTTTCATATCAGTTGGCATGGTCATTTCATTCACATGGTCAGATATGTCTTCGTGTTTTTACTGGATTCCTGTTTGACTTGAGATGCCTTCTGTTGCTGCGTCCAGGGCATGCCGGAGTGGATAGAGCTGGTGAACGAGCTTGCGCCTCTGGATTCCGTGGTGAGTAGGCTAGAAAAGTAGGGTCGTGCACATAGTAGACCAGTCGACATTGCTTCGAAAAGTTAGCAGTCCAGGCTTTCCTCACAAGTGTCATCATGCACGACGAGAAAATTCTGAAAAGAGCGAGTCGGATTTATGTGATGGTCCGAACGACAAATTCGAATTCATGTTCTTACAATGGGACTTCAGTTGGGACCATTGCAAAATTTGTATCAAAGTTAAAGTCTAGGAACCTCTCCCAAAGTGCATGGCCGCCAATTTTCCATACTACGAACTCTCTTGTTGATCGCATGCATGGTCTGTGAATGAATAAATGAACTGTGTCATCGATTGTCATCAGAACCTTCAACTGCACAAGGAGAAAAATATGACGCCGGGCACAAAGCCCACACCTGACACTGGATTGTTTTTCGTCCTAACATATGTCCAGTCTTTTCCTTGACAGCTCACGAGTTTGGATATTCATTCTCGTACTAAACGTTCATTGTAACGGCTTGAAGTCAACACATAGTTTCATATGATATTGAGTGAAAGCATGTACATGGAAGATAGTTAAACATTTACTTTCTCTAAAACCTTCCTAAACTGGACGGTATGTGACGCTTTGTTTACAGCACTACTTTCAGAATTGCACTCAAACTATTATGACCACAACGGTTCATCAACCGCCACAATCAGGTAAAATGTTACTCCCAAGGGTAGAACTCTAAAGTTATGGGTCAAAGGTACCGAAGTAATTGCAGCCATCTCAAGTTTGCATTGTCAAAAGTTCTCTTAAGGCAAACTTCATAATTCGCACCGGTCAAGCTGTTATTCTATGTGAGTGCCATTGTGGCCGGGGCCGATGAATTTCGTTGAAGTCCAGCCCATCGCCAATGAACTGCACGTAGAAGTGATGAACAAACTAATTTTAATATTTTCATTCTTGAAAACTGATTGGAATGTCAACATGTGAACAATGTCAAAAGAGAAGTGCAAAAGAAAAGAGGTAATGCATTGGAAAACTCTATCGAGTCTCACAAGGACGAGACCAAATGGGTAAGCAGGGACTAGACCCCAAGAGCGTCATAATGGAAACGTCGTCTCCCCTCAATGCATCCTGATTAATGACTCCTTGTCATTCGAGATATTCGTTATCTTCTTTATGCTGATTGCGCATCAAGTTCTCTTTGAGATGAATGATGAAATATGAATAATAGATTATATACCTTACGACCACTCTTTGGTCATAGAGATACTTAGCTCGAGAGTTACAATACAAGCTCATGTATTTTTCTCCTTTGCCAACTAATTGGAATGGAATTCTGCATCTACATTTACGATGTCCCAACAATTTCAACTTGCTTGGTATTCACTTTTAAGGAATCTGACCGATTCCCATACTAGTCGCACACACTTACATTCTTTCTCTAAAAGAGTGCAGGGTTATGGATGGATTCACCATTTCATGACGGCATTTTACTTGCAACAGTTGCTTATTCTACAATTGATTTGACATTCCGTGTATTAACTGGTGACATTTATATTCTTACTTTGATGAGCATACAACAAGGCATGGTCATCGATCGTGAATCGACCAAATATTGTAACTTTTTTAACTTCATGTAGTTGATTAATCTACAACAATGAGGTTTGAATTCCGTTCGATTCATCCATCTGCATTCTTCGTAACTAATGTGTGTGAACGTGTGTTTCTTTATATGGAAAAAATTCCACATTACTTGCAACTCGTTTGGTTGATAAAACATAATTACTGTTATGGTTTATCATGATGATGCACGTATAGACGAAATGTTTCTGATGTTGCATAAGGATGATTGTTACTTTATGGAGCATTGACATGTTTTGGAGTCCAGAAGGGATATGATACATCTATATTTGGTTTTGATAGATGAGATTATCTTTGCAGACATGGTGGTTATCAATTCACATGTGAGTTAGTTTCAGATTTGATTATGATTCATCTTCTTGGATGAAAAGCAAGTGAAAATAAAAAGCTGACGATTTCAACATATGGAAGTATATCATCTCTTTGTTATTTTAGCCTTGAAGTTATGAAGGATATTTATGGATCTATTGATATTGAATTCGACATGTGCATAATATAATTCTCAAAAGTAAGCTGAGTATATATAGATATACTAAGCTGCAAAAGTATTTATATAATACGTAACCTCTTTCAGTCAAATTACTTTTAATACGTTACGTAGAAGACGAATGACACTAAGTGAAATCTACAGCTTATTGTTTATTTTAGATTTTTTTGAGATCTAGAGCGAATCTATGTTAGGTGTGGTGATACATATTTATGATTACCATGTGACAATAACGAAGCCGAGCCGTGGCTGGCAGATAATGCTCGTAGTTACTGATTATCAATGTGTGCTCAATCGATTTCGACAGTCCTCCTGTGCCATCAGCTCTTTCCGCTTCGACAGCAATAAACTGTAATGACAGGCTGCATCCGACGTGGTTGGAAAATGCTGCAGGACGGAGCTCGTTAGTCGGTACTGTGGTAGCACAGCGTGGTCGGGACTCGGGCCGTGGGGTTTAGTGTTTTGATGAGAAATGGAAACTCTGTGTGTGGGTCGAGCTATGGATCTGGCTCCGAAGGAATGTGTCAGGCTCCGAGAGCTGATGGGAACTGGGCGATGAACCAGCTCGAATCCAGTGTTTTCTTGGCGCCTCAGAATTTCTGGTGGATTCGTCGTGTCTCAGGATTTGGGCAGACTTCAAATGTGCGATGACGGCCCCGAGGCATGTGAAGAGGGTGGTGAAGAGCTCGATCACCTGAATGATGTGCCAGCTGCAGTCGCGGTGCGGAGTGACGCCGCTATGGAGTACATGAGGACCTCTCCTCGAGCCTTCTGCTGTCAGTGCTGGACGAAAGCTGCTGTCATCCGGTGAAGCATGGCTGGTGTTCGGTTCCTTGCCGGCATCGGGGTCGTCGGCGGGATCTGCTCGACCATCTCGGGACAAGGAGAGCTTAGACAATAGTGCCGCAATGTCGTGCAGCGTGGTGGAAGGTATTCTATCCCATCGTTTCGTTCCGTACGTAAAATGTGAATCGAGTATTCCTGCCTTGTTCTTCATGAATCCTCATACCGTCGTTTGAGAAGAGATTCGCGTTGTCTGGTTGCGAGTCGGCTGAAGTTGGAAGGTCTCGACGCTGATGCTTGCAGATATGTTTCGAGCGGCCAGGAGGCTTGGGCGTTCAGCTCAGTTCAGTGGGATGACTAGCACTCTGCCCTCCCTCCCTCGCATTCCTTCTCGACACATTCACGGCTTGGGCTCGGCCAGAGCAGCGGACGTCGAGCAGGCAGCGATTCCTTTCAGACGGAGGCTTGCGAGCACGGAGTGTTGTTTTACTGCCGGCTCAACCATTGTACCATATGATACCCTAGCAAGTGGATTCGAGGGTCGACTGTACAAGTTGTGTCAAGTCGGCTCGTTTCATACCTCCGGCATAAGTTGGGGGAGGGCCAAACCTGCACCTCTTTACGAAACGATCGTATCTGATATTCGAGAGGAAGTGAAGCAGGCCTTGTGTCAGTTCATGCAACAGGATCTGAAAGTGGAGAAGAAACTTGCTGCGCAGATTATAAATAACAGTCCTGATTACGTGAACAAGCTTGTGGAAAAGCTGAAGCCTACCGTGCAGCCCCACACGAACCTGAACCTGATGGTGAGGGAGGTGCTGGCCGAGGCCAAGTTTAAGGGTGTGGAACCGTACTTCGAAAGTATAGGATTCACTCCTCAGGAGATAGAGAAGGTGAGCATGTATTCGAGATCTGGCCTTGCCGGTGTCATTGCGAAGGTTAATCTGATCAAATCTATCGGGATAAGGCCAGAAGAGATCCCCAGGGTGGTCACAATAAACCCAAGATCTCTTAGTAACGCTTTGAAAAGTCAAGAAGTGAAGGTCCATTACTTGAAGCAGTTAGGCCTGTCGTTCGACGATATTCGCAAACTCGTGGTGTCGTATCCGAAGGCTCTCAGTTTCGGCTTGAAGAATGGCAGTTTGCCTCTTGTAGACTTTCTGAGGTCCAAGGGCGTGAATACTAGTGAAATTGGGAAAGTAGTGGTTCGGTGTCCACAGCTCCTTACTTTGAATGTGGAGAGGAAATTGCAACCAGCAATCGAGATTCTGGGAAGTGTTGGAATCACAGGGAGCAACTTGGCTAGAGTTCTGGTGACTCAGCCCTCCCTCCTGAGGCGGAGATTAGGAGCAAACATTGAATACTGTCGAAAGTTGGGACTAGATGCGAAACCTGGAGTCATAGCAAGGCTTCTTGTAACCTGTCCTAATTTCAGCGAAGATGGATGCAAGGCGCGGATGAGCTATCTGGAAAGTACTGGCTTGACAAAGGAGCAGGTTGTTACCATGATCATAAAGAATCCGGCTTGGTTAAGCTTCAATGTTGAAAGTTCATTGTCTTTGAAGGTCAATTATCTGGTCAATGTGATGGGAAGGTCTGTCCAGGAACTGGTGACAGCTTCTACCTTTCTGACCATGAGTTTAGAGAACCGTATAATGCCTAGGTGGACAGTACTCTCTGCCATGGAAAAGGTTGGTCTGTTGAAGAAAACGTACAGTTTGAGCACTCTTGTGACCTGGAGTGACGATTATTTCTACGAGCGCTTCGTCGACAAATGTCCGAAAGAGATCAAGAAATTGTGGTTTGCTCCATCATGTGCAGAGGAAGATAATCTGCCTAAGGACCAGCAACCCGTAGCCTGATTCATTAGGTCAATAAAAATTCAAGGACTTTTGTAAGCACTGGATCTGGTCGAATGGCGAGGGTACGGATATTCACTGCACCAATTTCCAGGTGCTTTCGTCTCGAATGAGTTGTGGAAAAGGTAAGATTACTCATCCAGAGCTGTTACACTGTTCCACATAGTTTGGAGAAGGTAGCCCGAGTTTTTTTTCAAAAAAATCTATGTTTTGCGAGTTTCTCTCTAAGCTCTTGTCTTCTTATCATATAATAATATGTAATCTATTGTAAAGACCTAACTGTTGTCATCAGTCATCTTAAAATTATTAAGTGGAATTGGAAGAGGAATTGAAGACTTTAACGTTCCATGACTATGACGTTTCATGATGAGACTGTTTGGTTTTTCTTTTCCAGGTCTGATACTTCTAAACAGTGCATGGCGTGAAGAAAAGTGAAAGCTGCATCCTAGGCCTTGAAGTCAGTGATATGCCTTTTGCAGAAGTTGGGTCTGAATGAGGAGGCGTATGCCCTGGGATGGAGGACGTGACTCTGTGCTTGCATTTTGTCATCTAGTCCGATGGCGTCTGGCCTGTATATTTCTTTCATTTCGGATTTCATAGCAGCCTTTGGACAAGTGCTCACATTTTGAGCCATAGTACCCAGATGTCTCTGAAACAAGTTCTTGTGTACAACCAGTCGGCCCATATCGTACGGGAGGGACCCCTGACTATAATGTCACTGTAGAGGATCTATTGATTTAGCATGACGAGACAAGCAGTCGAAGTTCAGAACTGTTTAAGTGGTGTTACTGTCTGTACACTGCACTCTCTGCTCTGGGTATCTAATCCATCAACATCTACCTTACATGCTCTTCTTTGCCAGCATAGTTACATCTTTCAGCTCGGCTACTGATTTCCCTGCTCTCCTTACTTTTTGAGAACTTATCATCATTATCTGGTAACTATCAGATAATAATGGAATTATTTCGGTACTTGAAGATTACGTATCGGTTGCTTGTTTTCTGATTTCTCTAATTTGAGGGATGATCATCGTTCGATACCAGAAATATCATGTTGAGTGCTGAACGCAGTCAATGGACATCTTCTGTTCTATGGTCAGCATAGTACGAAAGTCATCTCATCGATCGCAAAGGTTGTATGGAATACGTCGGCAAGTTTTTGCTTCAACTAACAGGTCAGTTCTAGACCATTGATGAGAACAGCCAGATAGCCTGTTCGTTCATTAAATTTGTCACCAATTGTTAAGATGTGTGACAGTTGTAATAACCGTATATGGATATGCACTAACTCCTGTCTATTCCTACTGAATATTTCGCAATGTATTCTATACCCTTTGTTTAGGAATGCAAGTCGCTTCTCTTAAGAGTAGATTCACCTTATTAGTTTCTATTGTGGTGTTTGTCTACAGTGTATGGATTTGATGTCAAAAGCCGAGATTTCTGTACGTGGTATCCGGAACTCTGCTGTTTTATTGAATTTTTTTAGCTTTCATTGAAATTGAGTTTCGACCGCACTGGGTCACTAGAGGTGTGTAATTTGGTTTCAATGACATTTGTGTGTAATTCTTCCTTCATTATCTCTGTCAATTTTTTTTTCTTCATTTTTATTTTGACACAAAATATCTGACTCCTTGCCTCTCTTCTCTCCAATTGGAAGCTTAACAAATCACCTCCCAAGCCTCGCGAGCGAGGCTTGGGATGAAACATTCTGTCTTAGAATCCAGTATCACGCCATCTCGTGAAGTCTACGGTTAACTATGAAAACAACCTTTAGGACACTGAACCTAATAATAGTTCCTCAGATGCAATAGTTGATATCCTTGTTAGGTGCGAGCCCGGCCTCATGCACACTCCTCATGCACATGCATGGTCCCACACGAAATACTCGCGTTTACATTAGTCAGTCATGTCTTATGCTGGTAAATAAGTACCAACAGCAAAGTGACATTACGTGGATGCTTTCAACCTTGTCGGAAGATGTTTGTCCGTGGATTCCTGGCCTGGCGAAGCTTCCGCCCAGTCCAGAATATAACATGTCCTCTTCAGCCAGCGGCATAATTCTTAGACTTAATAAAAAAAGAAATAACGAAGATTTTGTATTGTCAATTTCTACATGTAAGGCTTTCTTAATATGTATACTCATTGAAAGTGTTAAAAATTTTTTACAGTAGTTTAACCTTGTGTTTAACACTGTAAATAAGCATCTAACACTACATTCTGTTGGTTACCTTCCTACTTCCCTTGTCTCTCCATAGCCTCCACCGTCTCCAGCTCTAATTCCTGGGCAGCAGATTTCGGCCTGTTCGGTTTCGAGTTCATGTCCACTGCAGAGATCTCTTCTCCCATGACCTTGTTGATGAAAGAGATGACGATGATGATGTGATGCAACGTCGGGTAAATCTCGTTCATGGTCCCTGGTTCCTCCTCTGCCACTACCCAAACTGCACACCTCTTCTCTTAGTGTTTGTGGCGATGAGTTCTACAGCATGTATTCATGCTTCCATGATTAAGGTCCTGTTCGTTTTCTGCGTCCTTTCCTCGCATGAAGGTTATGCGAGGAAAGCAAGCAAAGTGCCATAACTCGCTCATGTATCTATTGCTCAACAGCTCTCTTCTGCGTTATCAGCACTACTGGTTATTTTGCTATGCAGGAAGTGGGCAAAATGGATATAAGAAACGATGGGAAGACCTCATGATATTGAGAATATATATTAGAAAATGTTACCCGATGAATACGTTTTATACCATATGAATTATCAAGATCAAACATTCTATGAGTAAGGAAAGCGTCTCATGTAGCATCATCTAATATGATTGCAACTTTGTGGATAGCTTAGGCTAATGTTCTCTATAGACAAATGTACACATGCTACCTAAAATAGATCACACGGTATGTTGAAGAATACAATATGTCCGTTTTGTAAACACTAGTGTACTTTTTCACATCATCTCAAAATCTACACCTATGAAACCTTTACCATAGAAATAAAACAATTGTCTCTTTCCATACTTGGAGACCTTGCTTATTATCAAACCCAAATCCTATCCATCTTCATGGATAGCATTTCCATTAGCATGGATGATCATTCTTTTGAAATCTTTATCAATTGTAAGATTTGCCCCATCAATCACTTTTTAGTCATCATATCAGCAATGGGTCATTTGGTACCCTCAAACCAAGTATAAGATATGCCCAAACCCTGGTTGATTTTAACGCATATCAAAGTCGTCTTCATACATCAGTTTTGTATCTATTTCATGAAGTTTAAGACATCTATCTCGCGAGATTGTGAAATATATTTTGTTTGTATTTAATTTTCAATAGATATGTGTGTTGGATCACATCTTGCTTTATATGACCTCAGCAATATGAATAACCATAACAAAACAAAGTAAATTTAAGCATATTTTGAAACTAAAATCCATATTTTGGTATAAGATCTTGCTAGACGTTTATGAGGTTTTTAACAAAAGCAGAAGTGTATGGATGTGTTTTTTGTTTTCCCATGGAGTTAGTTGTGATTATGGAGTTTTATTTGCATGATAATGTATATATCATAGAAACTTCTTCCTTGCTATAGTCATAATATTTTATTTTTTATTCTTTGAATCTACTAAGCTGTATTTTTGTGTTGCTTCAAGATTAAGCTTTCTTTATTCAAGATTCATAAAAGCTAATTAGATTTTATCTGCAAGAGTACAATAATATTTTTTTCACCCTTCTAGTTTCAATCAAAGTAAATTTATACTCTTACTTGAACTTGCTTTTATCATACTACAAAAAAGATGAATTTGAACATTTTGTATTATTATCTGAATTTTTTTGATTAAACAATATGATTGTTCAAGTTATCAAAACTATTTAGTTCAAAACTTCAAAAGAATAGCATTCAAAGAAGCTGAAAACAATGAATTTAGATGTAATTGGCTAGTAGTAATTTTAATGTAGAGCAAGGTATATATGTTGCATTAAATTCGCTACTTAAGAATATTTTATATATTTGAGAAATCTTGTAGGTTTCATTTCACTTGCGATAGATTTAATAAAATTTGATGATTTTATTTAAATCTTTGTCATGTGTAGATTGATAGGTTTGGTATATGCAATTAAATGCAATTTAATACAAATTTTATTCTATGCCTAATTAACTAGACACAAAGGAATGCCATTCAAGTATATAAATGTTCACATATTATAACGAATATTGCATTCTTCATTGCATCATTAGTGAATACATTTTTTATTTTAAATTTTAAATTTATTAAGAAATGTTGTACAAAAGATAATATCTCTTTTACACATAAATTATCCAAAAAAAAGTTTCATTGATTTATCAGGTCAAGGCCCAAAATTATAATTGGTTTAAGTGAAGAGCTTTAATTTGTGATGAACTAAGATACTTAAGTTTGAAAAAAAAATTGGTACACTAAGAATGTGCTAGTGTGCTAGTTGGAAGTGCAAAACACGGAAGTGACAGTAAACACTCGACACAAGATGTAACTTGGTTCATCCCTTCAAAGGGGCTACATCCACCAAGAACACCTACACTAAGAATGTGCTAGTGTGCTAGTTGGAAGTGCAAAACACGGAAGTGACAGTAAACACTCGACACAAGATGTAACTTGGTTCATGCTTTTAAAGGGGCTACATCCACCAAGAACACGTTGTGCTTTACTCCAAGTTTGTCACTAAAGACTCTCTGTACAAGGCAAAAGCCGAGGTATTTAATCCATGCGACCTTACTTCTTAACTGAAATTAACATCAACACTAATGGTAAATCTTAGAAAAAAAAACTTTAAGTTGAATCATAAACTTTCAATTCAATCAATCTATAATATAATAGTAATTTATGCCAAAGTGCATGTCCTATTTTAAACAATATTATTCTTACTATACATCGAATACTTTATACTAATATTTAGAATAGGGATGTTACTTTCAATTTCACGCATGAAAGTGTGAATTGTGAAAGTATGTGAATCTTACATACTTTCACAAGAGGCCCTTGTGAAAGTTGGTTGGTGATTCTATGTCGTGAACTGTCGGACCGGATCTTCACTAGAGATTTTTTACCATACGAGAGACTTTGCATAACAAAAGAAAAGATTGGCCCCAGCTTTGTAAGCTATCTCTAGAGATCGGCATCGATATTCTCCAAGACCAGATCCACCTCGAGCACCTTCTTTGCATCGTCTGCACCATCGTTCAAAAAATTGTTGATGTTTCTTGCATGTTCCGCGATTTGATCATCGTCTGACACTTCATCATTGATAAACCACGCAAGCGGTGGCAGTCCATTCGTTTGACACTTTGATAGCAATCGTGCGTTGGTGTAGATGTACATTAGCTTCTCCACGCACTCATTCTACAGCCTGTTGCGAGATCTGTTGTGAATATATCCGAACGTAGACCAATTTCGCTCCGCAACACCTGAGCTAGGGTGAATCGAAAGCAGCTTTTACCCCAGCGTAGATAGCTCAATCCTGTAGTGCAAGCGCCATCACATAACATAATTGATTTGTGCATCCAACTCCAACAACATCGCATCCCCAAATGGACCAGATTTTGCCCTGAACTCTCCAAATTGATTGTCATAGGAGCTGTCCAGCAGACCATGGACTAGAGCATTTCTCGATGGAGGCATGTAGCCCGGCCGTAGAGTCCCTAGCATGCTCATGGAGCCAGAGCTTCGATCAAGCTAAAGGACAAACCCAGATGATAGATTGTCATTGCCAGTTGCTGATCGATCTGCTCTTTCTCAACTAGCGTCATTGTGTCCACCCATCTTAGTAGATTTGTCTAACTTGATGGAATGCTCATGAAGTATGCACTCATGCAACGCTCATACTCAATAAGCATGCTTGAGTGCGATCACTTCCCTCTGGCCTTTTCATGGTGCTCATTGTAGGCAGATAAGAATCCAACCATGTCTCCGGGTAAGAAGTCCGAGCAAATTTTGTGATGCTTCATGAGTCGCGCTAGATCATTTTTCTGCATAGTTTTGCAAGCTTTGCACTCGTAGCCGCCAGGGACCTTGATGT